ACCGTACGATTTGTTAAAAAAAGAAAACGCTAATAGGCAACAGAACATGATAAAAACACAAACAGGAAATCATGGAGGAGACAGTCAAGTGCACACAAATTAAACGTATAATGGGGAGCACTACAGTGAGTAAGCAGATTTGAACAGGTGGGTTTTTAATTGGGATTTGAATATGGTGATTGTGTCTGACTGTCGGATGTGCGGGGGGAGGGAGTTCCAGAGTCTGGGAGCAGTACAGCTAAAAGCCCGAGCACCCATGGTGACGAGGCGTGGGGTGGGGACGGTCAGCAGACCAGCAGAGGAGGAGCGGAGGGAGCGAGAGGGGGTGTACTCTTGAAGGTCAGCCAGATATGGGGGGGGGGGGGGGGGTTCAGGTTATGTAGGGCTTTGTAAGTGAGCAGTAGGTTTTTGAAATTGATACGGGATTGAACAGGGAGCCAGTGGAGTTGGATGAGGATGGGGGAGATGTGTTCGGAGGCCTTGGTGCCGGTGATGATCCGGGCTGCAGAGTTCTGTATGATTTGTAGTTTATTGATGAGCTTGGTGGGAATGACTGAGAGGATGGCGTTACAGTAGTCGATGCGGGACGTGACAAATGCATTGACCAGGACTTCAGTGTTTGATTGAGAAAGGGATGGGCGGAGTCTGGAGATGTTGCGTATGTGGAAGAAGGCAGTCCAGGTGATGTTATTTATGTGAGGTGAAAATGAGAGGGTGCTGTCCAGGATGACACCAAGGTTCTTAACTTGGCCAGAGAAGGGGATGGAGTAGCCATCAATGATGAGGTTGGAGGCAGGGGAGGATCAATCAATCAATGTTTATTTATATAGCCCAATATCACAAATGTTACATTTGTCTCAGTGGACTTCACAGTTTGTACAGAATATCAGTATGACAATACGACACCCTCTGTCCTTAGACCCTCACATCGTACAAGGAAAAACTTCCTGAGAAAACCCACAGTTTAAAGGGGAAAATGGGTATCATCAGCGTAACAGTGGAAATGGACATTAGGATGACGGAGGATAGTGCCAAGGGGGAGTATGTAGATAATAAACAGGAGTGGACCCAATACTGACCCCTGAGGAACACCATGTGAGACTGTAGAGCAGCTTGACCGGTGGGTGCTGAGACGCTAACACAAGAGAGTGCTAACACCTCTATCAGCTGACGCCAACAGGCAGGAACAGGGAGACAAAACACTGAGAGCACAGCAGCCAAGGTTACAGGTGTGTGCTCAGTCAGTACAGTATGAACTGATAAACTGGGTCAAAGTTATGGGCCTTGGAAAATATTTCCCCAACACTGTGAATATGGGAGGGGAAGAAATGGTGTAATAAATGCTTTGGACAATAAGAAATATAAAGTTAACTGTTGAATTGCTTAGTTTTTTTAGATTTACAATGCTATTACTAATATCTCATATCTGAGGGTTTAGTAAAAAACAAAAGAAAGAAGAGGCACCCTAAAATAAAGATTGGTCTGGTGTTGGTGTTGTAATGTGTTGATTTTGTCTTTTGAATTGTTTGTCTAAAGTCAAGTAGCTACTGTATAAACTGGTACTTATAGTTTTAATTATACAGTCTGGTTATAATGTTTGGAGGAGGCATCACAGGTAAGAGCACCAGATTGATTTGTGTGTATTTCTTTATCTACTATATCTTGAGTCATTGTCAGTCATTATTGTATTGTCACTACAATATCTTGAATATTTTAGTTTTTACATCACTACATTTATCTAACAGCTTTAACATCGTAAAGGTGTCACTTCGGACTCTGGGTAATTATGACAGCATGTCCTACTATTTTGAGAGTTTTAACAAACTAGACCTTCATCTATGAATGTAGAAAATTACTGGGTAACTGGAGCGAGTTATTTATGGAGGGGCACATTTAATTTAGGACAAAAGCCATGTCAGTAGAGGTAGATGTCAAGAATTTGTAAAAAGTCTGTAATGCTAACTTTTTGCTCTGATAGATGCTTTTAAATACCATGAACTTAGTATCATCTTATTATGAATTTATATTTGAGGTTGCATTTTTTCAGAATTTTTAATAACAAAGGATACTTGGTGAGAAAACAGAAGACCCCCACTACTTAGTTTGTAGTGATATCAAAGTCACCAGATAAGTTGAGTGCAGAACTGCAAAGAAAGCATTGTAATTTAGTGTCAAAACTAACTTCTAAAATGTTTCCAGGATTTTGGCATTGAAATTATTTATGTTGACTCTAATGGAAAACTGCACAGTACAAGAACGTGTACTACACGTTCTTTTCCTTTTTTTAAATGTTCTGCTCCTGGAAATAATCTGTTAAATGGGTAGTACACTACTTTTTCATTTCATTTAATTTCAAACCTTTATTTAATCAGATTGGTCCCATTGAGATCATAGATCTCTTTTTCAAGGGAGACCTGCAGCATATAGGTTCCACATGAAACATAAAACAATAAAGCACATCATACATTATATTTACACTTGTATCCAAAGTGACCAGCATTAAAATGTAGGTTGGGCCCAGAGGCCCCCAACAAATGTATTGGCTTCACCTAATCTTTGCTAAAATGTAAGTGTGAAGCTGTTTAATGAATTTGATTCACTCACTTCAAATCTTATTAAGCCCAATATTATATATTGATTGTTCTTGGGATTTATGTCTATATAAGTGCCTCTAGAACAGCGGTTCCCAACCTTTTTCAACTCAAGGCCCACTTAAGAATCTAAAAAATGTTCGCGGTCAAATCAGAATATGTGACACGTTGTAAATCCAGTAGAACCGACCGCTGTCAAGGACTGTAATGACTGTTGCTAAGGAGGATCGAGAAAGAGAAAGGAAAGGAGGTTCAAATAAAAAATAATCTAAGGGCGACTGTGGCTGCGAGGGAATGCAGTCGTCGTTCAACCAGAAGGTTGTGGGTTCGATCCCAGCCCGTGCAGCCAACATGTCGATGTATCCTTGGGCAAGATGCTTAACCCTGAGTTGCTCCCGATGGCATGGCCAACGGTGTGTGAATGTTAGGTCCTAGAGCAAGTGGTACTGCTCTGTATGAATGGGTGAATGACATGTAGTATGTAAAAGCGCTTTGAGGGGTCGTAAATACTGGATAAAGCGTTATATAAGTACAGTCCATTTATCTTAATAATGAGAATGTTTCCAAACAAATCATAATGTTTTGCAAATTATTTGGCGGCCCACTTGCAATGCCTTTGCGGGCCCACAGGTTGGGAACCGCTGCTCTAGAACTTTATTCAAACATTAGGCTTCCATGTTAGGCCAAGAAACATAAAAGTTGAATGCCCATTAGTTTGACCTTCTGCTGCAGAAGAACATGACAGGTAAACCTGTGAGAAACCCGTCACCTCTGGTGACTTGTAGAGCAACACATGTGATTGTGAAGCTGCCTGGTGAAACAAAACTGAAGAAGGTGAAAGAGCTTGGTAAGTAGCAGGATGGGAGCATGCATGAACCCAATTTGAGTCAGGTGATAAATCCACTCCTAAACATTCATTCAGACCCTTTTTTTTAAATCATAATGTGAAGCATCATGTTGAGATCTCTGAATGATCCAGATCCTGCCCCAAGTTCATGCCCCTCTGGCGGGTCCTTTGCGCACCCATCCTGCAGTTCTTTTTTCCTCCTTCTCTGACCCATCTCACAGTTCCTTTTCACGCCTAGAGCACCTGGAGCAATTCCCTTTCCCACCCCTCCAGCAGTTCCTCCCGCCTCATCCTGCCGTTCCTTTACACCCTGTCCGACAGGAAAATTATGATCTATCTGATTCTCACCTATATTTTGTTTTTGTGCTCTGTGTGTGTGTGGCGCCACGGCAACAGAACACTAAGTACCGACTCTACAACCTAGCAACAGGAATCAATCACACACACAGGGCAGTCTTCACAAGGAGACAGGTATGTCCAATGTTTTGTCTTTTAATGCCCATGTATGCTTTAAAACATGCAAAAAATCTAAAAGATATGACGAGGATCTGATAAACTAAATATAGGGTGCATACCATTTTTATTTCCAAGGCATTTTTGAGTAAATGTACTTTTTGTTATATTCACTGTTAGTCGGATCGAGAACTAGTTAAACTAAAAGCTTGACTATTTATGACTTTCACTGAAAGTTTGCATCTTCTGTTTTTATATGGAGTTATTGCATTAAAGGCACTGTTATTCCTTTTTATAGTACAGTATGGTTAGACAGAGATACAGACAGAGATAATGAATTGTGCTCCACAATGACTTAACATGCACTGGTTTCAATAGCTAAATATAATTTCTATTTGATTTTTTGTATTATAGTGACCTTGCAGTATTCAATTTTTATAACAAGATAATATAATATTTATTATTTATTCTATAATACCGCATCAATTAAATTCCAGATAAATGTAAGTGTTTCTAACTGTGCACTTACATTTATCTAGAATTTAATTAAATGGTCAAAATGCATGCATTTTTCTCGTTCTTATGGTTACAGTAACCTGAAGCCGTACCGAGAACACGTTGGTTAACAAGAAGCAGGGTAAACCTGAACCGGTTGCCAGGCTCTCACAGTACCAACACACACTTCAACAATATTCAACCCAATTCACTCATACCCACAGGCAAATAAAAGTTGTGAATTTAACTGCATTCAAAAAACCAACACAGACAAGAAAAGGTGTATATGACCAAATCAAGTGGGTTTACCTGATGTACTAGAACCATCATTCTAATGATTTAGATTTCTAATCTTGGAATTTATTGATAACGGCATGTGGCGCAGTGGGTTGTGCGTATGTGTTTGGATGTTGGTGTTTGGATCAGGGGGTCACAGGTTCAAACCCCACTGCAGTCAGCATGTCGTTGTGTCCCTGGGCAAGACTCTTCACCCCAAATTGCTCCTGTGGGGATTGTCCACGGTATTGAGTATGTAAGTCGCTTTGGATAAAAGCGTCTACATGTAATGTAATAACCGGATTATTTCCTGTCCTCCTTGACCCCTCCATCCTCCAGGAAGATAAGACATGATGAAGGATTTCTCTCTGTCCCTGCTTAGTCGTGGGTGTGGGCGATTAGTCTCGTCAAACGGAAACACAGGGAGGCATGATGGTCGGCTGGACGTCTGCTTCACACCACAGGTGCTCCCACACTTGCAAATGCTTTAATAGCCTTCCAATGTTGGAGGACACATTATTATAATATACCCAAGTTGTATGTTGGTCAATTCGTTTTTTTTTTTTTTACTGGTTTAGTATTTATGTTATGAAATGTATTTCCATTATGCCTTCTCTCATGGCAAGCTTTCAATCAAGCAGACATTCATTAATCAATCAGTCCATCATTCCATTCATCATATATTCGATATTTTGAATCAATCGACCAACAGGATTACTTTATCTGGAAGTCCCGGGACTCTCTTCTGCGGTTGTCCAACAGCGGCCGCCAGATTGTGAATGAAGAGTCAGCCCTTCCAAAGACTTACAGCACCCGTCGGGGCCAACTTCAACTCTATTCCCAGGTATTTGTGTGTGTGTGTGTCTATCCAAGTAACTAAGTTTGGCCCTAATGTAACAAGGGATATTGGTAATGCAATGGCTGTAGAACAAGGACAATCAGTGTTTTCCCTGTATAAACCTCACTTTCAAGATGCATTTATCTCTGCCACCAAGTCTCTGTCTGTAATTAGAATTTGTGGAGTATTTTAAAGGGGGCTTTTTGTCTCCCACAACGCACTGTGATCTATGATCACTGCAAACCATACCAAAATGCATTGGGGATTTCTATCACCCAGCGTCCAACACAGTTATCAGCAGCAATGTTGTCAAATCAACCAAACAAACCTCTTTTACAAATATTAGTGATTCATTACTTGTCCCTCCAAAGTGCAATGTCTTCACTTTTTTATAAAGTGTTTGACGAAAAGGTACGTCAGCATTACTTATGGGTGGTCCACAATTTTCCTAATTAACGGCTCAATCAAGTACAGTGTCAAGTATTTGTTTTATTTTGCTTATGTGCTCATTAAATAGTTGATTACACTGAAGTATCTATATAGTGAGTGGGGCGTTGTGAATGTGTGTGTAAAGCCCAAGGGTTTGTTTTTTTGTTTATTTTTGTAATGACCTTCTGTCAACAGGACTTGGTTACCATCGAAACCAGCGCAGTGACCAGAGATGGAAAGCAGAAAGTTGTACAGCGATACACTCGACAAGACAAGTCGCAGTTGAGCACCCTCAAGGAATTAACTGCAGCCATTTTGAGTTACAGCAACACCCAGGTATAAGGAAAACTCCTCTAGGAATATGTGCATTTATCATGTGTATATATACTGTATATGTGTGTGTGTGTAATAGCCTACCCATAAATGTATACATGTTGTATAATGTACTGTATGCCTAATGTTCAAGATTTTGTCTGTAGACAATTCAGACTTGAATTATAAATAGAAAAATAATAACCTAATGACACATAAATTATATTTTGGTAAACTAAATTCATTTATGAATATTATTTATATTAACATTGAAGTACTTTAAACTGTAAAGTAAGAAAGAGGTTGGTCATACACCCAACTTTTCAGCTCTACATAGCTTTACAGCCTGTTTTAGCTCATTGTTTTTTAATGAATTGTTTTGTTCCTCCCTAGCATTCTCATTAACCTTGTTAACAGCACTAGCTAACACTAATGTTTTTCTTCCCTCCAGTACACCTCCTCCAGACTCGGTCCACTTTTCCTTCCTCCTCTTCATCATCGCCCTCTTGCTCCAGACCTTCATCATCCCATTCCTCCGCCTCTTTGCACGACACAAGTGCAGCCAAGTCCAGAGTTGCTTGGACAGTTTAACCCTGAGTGGCTTCCTGCAGAGGGAATAACTGAATTCCTGGGGAACCAACCTGAAGGTAAAAGAGGGATGGATGGACATATAGGTTGATGCAAACGTATATAGGTGGATAAATCCAAATTAGAAAATAGGTTTTATAGCATGTTGGTATGAGCCAGGGAAATTATTAAATGACTGATGCACTTGGTCTTTTAATTTCAATAAGTGGCAAAGCAAGACTTGAAAACAAAAACCACACAGGAGCTTCACTGCACAAAGTTAACTTTACCAAATCAATTGTAAAACAAACAGAAACTTCTCCGCAGTTAAAGAGGAGAGGCAAGGTATCAAAAAAACGGTCCGGTTGGATCTGTTCCTCCAGATACCCTGCAGAGACAAGACTTCACAGGTGCAACCCCAGGCCTGGGTTAACGTTTCAGCCATGACCCCCGAAGAACTAGAAGAACCTCAGGTGCATGCTAATGACTGAAGTATTTTTCAATGCTCCTTTATCTTTGGGAATGTGTGTGAAATGTTGTAATGTTATGTTTAACCTATTGGCCAAATGTCTTTTCCACACACCGCAGACTTATCTAGACATGAGTCGGCAGCATACTGGAAGTTCACAGCACAGTACAGGAGGGGAGCGCCATCATTCAAACATGAACTGGGTCCATGATATGGCAGATGATCCAGGCTCCATTCAAGACAGTCTCAAGACTCATGATGAAGGCAACTATGAAAGATCGATAAGGGGGAGCAGACATGGCAGGATAGGTGTGTGTGTGTGTGTGTGTGTGTGTGTGTGTGTGTGTGTGTGTGTGTGTGTGTGTGCGTGGCCTAGCATTACTATACTTGTGGGGACCTAAATCTGTTTACACAGTCACGTGTGGGGACTCGCCGCCCTTATGGGGACAAATTGGAGGTCCCCATGAGGGGTATCATTAATTTTAGGGTGAAGACTTGGTTAGGTTTAGGATTAGGGTTAGGGTAAGGGTTAGGGTTAGGGTTAGGGTAAGGGTTAGGCATGTGTTGGTTATGGTTAAGGTTAGGATAAGTCTTCATGTAAGTCAATGTAATGTCCCCTGAAGTGATGTATACATGGTATGTGTGTGTGCGTGTGTGTGTGTGTGTGTGTGTGTGTGTGGTAAAGATTTGCAGAGACCTTAATTATCTGCATCTGTTCAACAAACATACTCATCTTTCGCTTTATCTGTAATGGGATAGATATGAAAGAGGATAAGGGCCACATGTGAATATTTGTTTTTAGATCTGAAGTGTTTTTTTCTTGATTTCACACAAAAAAACTTTTGGTTGTTTCCCAAATACATTTTCAAATGTGTCCCTAATCCTCTTCTGTAGATAGAAGACCAAGATTTGGCGTGGTTTACGCAAGAAATGGTGTAACATCGGGAAACTTTTTTTTTTTAAAAACCTAGATATTCATTCAAAGCATAAGTTTAATTTAATTTAGGCATATAATGAATTAAGAAATATATTTCAACCTCCTCATACTGTACTTTGAATTTCTAAAAAATGTTTATTTCCTGACTGCTCTCTAGTCAGGAAGCATTTAACAAACCTTTACATGATACAACTCCTCTGCAGTCGATGTAGATGAGGCTCTTTTTATTTCAACACACAGGCCTGCTTCCTCCTCTGACAGTGGGACAATCAGCTAGCCATCGACCCTGCTTGGAGAACACAGCCAGGGTAAGACTGTTCAGAGTCTTCAGCTTTAGGACTAAACATAAGCATACTAAACATTTATCCACATTATAATATAACAGCAGTATCTCAGTGCTCACCCACATCCCACTTATAAATAACATTTTATTGAGGAACTGAGAAAACAGTGCATGTCTGACAAACCATTTGAATCCCTTTTTTCAACACAGACATCTTCATCCTTATTGGATTAAAATCCTTATTTTTTCAAATTTGCTTTAAAATTCCAAATATTTGGTTCTCGAACACAACACATGCATTTTTCACTATCATCTTTAAAACTCGACATAGTCTCAACATATGAAAAAAAATGACAGAAACTGCTGCAATTTACGTCAATATTTCTTTGTAAAAACAAAACATGGACGAATGCCTCAAAAATAGAAATGAATTCATTTTTAATTCAAGTGAACTTTGATTGGCAGTTAATTGCTTACTTTCTTAAAACATAATTTCTTTGTTATTGGAATTACTTCACTACATTCTCTCTTTATATTTTATTAAAATAACAGTAAAATGAAACAGTAAAATACTTTTTACTAGAAAACTACACATTATTATTATTATGATATATTCCCAACCCCGGGCAATCAATATTTGTTTTTAATTGACTGCAATCCTAATTTCTGTCATTGCCATGACATGAGAGGATATGAGAGCAATAATTCCAAATCTCAGACCGATCTAAATGTAATGTTTCAGCCGAAATGGGAGGGCGCCAGGACTGATGAACACCACACTGCACACTGCCTTCCTCCCATAGCAGAAAGTCGCACCGTGAAAATACTCCATCAGCAGCCTCGGTTCCTCCCGCTGCTGTTTCCTGAAAAGGAGGGTAACAAAGACACATTCTTTTTCTCATCTGGACCATATATCTAGTATCTATTAAAACATATCCAGGCCTTGGAACAACCAGCATCTCAGGTTGTGGTAGGGGGACATGGGAAAATATTTGTTATTGTCTGCAAATGTTCAAAATGTTCTTTGTGTCTTCTTTTACATCGTGGGTTCTCCTTTTAGACCCTCCTCCTCCTCCAGTAGCAGGTAGTATTGCAGGACGGAAAGGCCCAGGCAAGCAGAGCTCTTTGGCCTTCTTACAGAACCGAAAGCTTGACCTCCAGAATCCCTGTACATCGAGGGATCCTAGCAGAGGCGTGGTTAGGGGTATTCTGCCTCTAGAGCTGAGAGGTATGGAGAGCTTTATGGGCCCTACTATGTTTTTTTGGGTTTTCCCTTTCCTGTAGTGTGTTATACGTTTTATGCATGCAAAAGATTCAAGAGGGAGTCCCCCCCCCTGCCTGAAACTCCTTTGTTTACTTCCATATTCATCCTTCTATGAAATTTGGGTGATTTAAGATTACTTTCTGCATCCAAGCTGAAATGTGGAAGTTTACCTACAATGGAATGATTTGGAAAACGGACAAGAACCCGGTCTCTCCAAGAATATACTGTTTTAATTGCATGTAGGGTTATTAAACTTAACAGACTAGTTACCCATACCTTTTGACATATAAATACAATAATCCAAGTTGCAAAAGATACAGTTATGCTACCATTCATCTGTCAAAGGGTGTATTTTTCAGAGTTAAAATGTATTGTCAGATTTGCAGAACGGCAAACCTGTTGGCAGCCTGATCTTGGGTCCTGATGGGGAGATCATTCAACTCTCGCTGTACAATGACAACCAAGACCATGACACTCAGGAGCAAGGTAAGCCCTCATGTGAAAATTCTATCTTCATATCTAAAATCTGCACATCTGGAGGAGAGATTCATAGATTATAGCAAAGCAAACTTGAGCCCCGCACATTCTCCTAAACCTCGCCCTCTTTTTAAGCTGCAAGATTTGCCATCTCTCACTTTGCCTCGCTAATGCTTTTGCTGCCCTGCTTCTATAGTGCTGCTGATTTTCTGCCCCACCACCACCCAAGCATCTGTGAGCTCTAGGGGCAGTTATTGAATCATCACTCCACAATATGTCAAACATATTTGCGGGGAGGCCAGTGCCTAGACACAACACTCAAAACGAATTGCTGAGTTGTCTGATTTAATTAATAACAATTATTTTTGTCTCAGCTCTCCAGGTTTTATCTGCAGAAGGAGAGAAGTTACCCTTGTTCATTGTGCTGCAGGCTGAAAAGACACATACAGGTGCACACACACATGCACTGTGATTTTTAAGTTAGAGGAGCATGTTCGGTAAGCAATGCTCTTTGATGCTGTTAAGGCGAAAACTTCTTTACGTGTTGGCGTTGTAACCATGGGGTTTGAACAAGCTATGTTGGTTTTTATATGAAACAGACTCTGTCCATACATTACAGTATATTTCATTACATGGTGAGCCTTTTATCCAAAGCAACTCACATCCACTTCAAAACCGTAGACATGCCTACGAGAGCAATTTGGGCATCAGTATCTTGCACAAGGACACGAGGGGTGTTTCTCAATGTCGACTAAAGCTGCTCCAGAGCCACTATTTCAAGCATACTACGTCATCGAGTGCCGCCGAAGGACTGTTCCAATGTCCAGCATACTTGGAATTCTACCGAGCCCGGCGTACTTCGTAGCGAGACATTTCGAGGCTGCACATGTGTAGACTCCGCGGTCTTAAAATCCCCACAATGCTTTGCGCACGGGTCAATTTCCCCAAATCTGTGGCGGAAAATGTAAGGCGGGGCCTCTCATATGACGCACACCTGCACACTTGCTCGCCTGTTCCACTCTTTGTTTTCCGAATGCCAGGAAGTGTTCTTGCCTCGTTTCTGAAGCATGTGACTCGGAAGACATGTGCTACCAAGCAAGCGTACTCGACATTGAGAAACACCCAGGGTGTTTCGCAATGTCGAGGAAGGCTGCTCCAGAGCCACTATTTCAAGCATACTACGTCATCGAGTGCTGCCGAAGGACTGTTCCAATGTCCAGCATACTTGGAATTCTACCGAGGCCGGCGTACTTCGTAGCGAGAAATTTCGAGGCTGCACATGTGTAGACTCCGTGGTCTTAAAATCCCCACAATGCTTTGCGCACGGACCAATTTCCAAATCTTTGCCAGAAATCGCGCTCCATTTAAGGCGGGGCCTCGCATATGACGCACACCTGCTCCACAATTCTTCATTTTCCGAGGCTAGGAAGGATTCTTGCCTCGCTTCTGAAGCAAGTGACTTGGAAGACATGTGCTACCAAGCAAGCGTCCTCGACATTGAGAAACACCCACAGTGTGTTAAACTGTTAACCCCCTGATTTGCCGTTCTGCCCACTAAAACCTCTGAGCCACAGCCCCCATACCTCTGTGTGAGTCTTTGTGGTTTGCTTTCGTAACTTTAGAACGGTTTATGCCATTAAGGTACTGGGATTGGCTTCTAGTCTACATCATAACATAGATTTGCGATGGCTTGAGCAAATGCCCACATAGCTTGCAACCTTTTTGTTCCAGGTTTGGATGTCATGGTCTTATAACAATTATAGTTGAATAATTCCTTATACCTTGTACCTGTAACTGCAATTTTCTAACACCTTCACTTAATGTTTCTTACTGTCTATAAATGTCTTCTTTCTTAGAGACAAAAGATGCTTTTACAGTACCATTTTCATTGTGGCTACACTGTCAAGACACCTGTACTCTGTGTTGGGGAAATATTTTCCTAGACCCATACCTTTGACCCAGTTTGTCTGTTTGTCCTCCCCTCAATGAGCACAACCTTGGGTGCTGTGCTCTCAGTGTTTTGTCTCCCTGTCCCTGCCTGTTGGCGTCAGCTGATAGAGGTGTTATAGTGCTTTGTCTTGTCATGTTAATTATTCTCTCAGAACCAGCTAAATACATGGGTCGTGGTGGGTAGAGTTCTTCAGAATTCGTTAGGCATCCGCTGTATCAACTCGTGGCGCACGACATGTCGTGTGAATTCTCCGGCCGAAGCTCCAAATAAACCATCAGTGTTTGCCATCAAAGTTCCTGCTCTCCTCGTGTCTCTCTGAGTCCTGTCTCCATTGCTTCGGAAGGTTCCATCACACTCGGCCAAACTCGTCTGCTTGTGTTTGCGTAGTTTTGCTGTCATGACTTCAACATGACAGAATCCAACCCTGTCTGTGTTTGTCCCCTATCTCATCCTTTGCAGGTGGAGAGTTAGAGCCAAACACAGATGTTCCTGATGGTGACATTCAGCACCATCAAGCCATACACAAGGTCAATGAATGACTACAATGCAAATGTTTAATAGGATTTCGGATTGCATGCTCACCTATATGATTCAGATCTTTTTTCTGTAGGTACTATACAAAGAAAGACAAACAATAATCCAAGATTTGAATTCAGTATATAGACATTGAGCATACATAATATATCGCACTATTTATTTTGTATTATCTTCTTCCACCAGCTTGTAGAATTTCACACATTGACCGAGATCAATGCATGCTCACCCAGCAGCCAGAAAGACCCAGGTAAAACTGCTGTTTCAGTTTATTATTATCTAAAATGTGTATTTATCTTGAACCAAACTTCTTGTTTGCTGGTCCAGAGGCTGTGACGGAGACAAAAACAAAGACTTCAGAGGCAGTGGCATGGACAAAAGTGATTAAAAACCACATTACCATACCTCCACTGAAGGAGCAGGTGGGGAAGGAGGAGCCAAGAGCAGGCAACACCGAGCAGGGCAGCATCCATGGATCACATCAACCAGGGTAAGTGTATATAACATTCAGATCTCCTCAGTAGGAGATCGGATTTGGAACACCAAGATTTCTAGTTTCATTATTAGTTTCAATGGTCAGCAATAAAGATGAGTGTTGAGTCTCAGTCTTTCTCCTTTTGCAATCTTCATTTTTAAAAGTTGCGATTCATCATTATACTTTAAAAAAAGTTAATGTCTTTTAAATAACATACAATATGCATGTGAAGAGTAATCATATTTGAGATGGTACCTGCAAGCTTATAACCATCTGACACTTGAAAATTGTTGCTAAAATGGAAATGTGAAACAAATGAAGTTTGCGTGGAGAAGCTAGCAAGCAGAACATCAACCCAAATGAAGCAACAACAGAGCTCACTGGGGACAAAAGGAGGACGAATACTAAGATGAAGGACGCTGGGGAAGGCGCAGCAACAACAAGGTGAACTGGGAAATCTCAGAAATGACCCTGATTAAAACATAGCAGACACTTAGCAATGAGTAACAAGCTGTACAAACGTTCACCATTTCATTAAGGAAAAGGGAGATGAAACCAGGGAAAAGTGAACCATCAGATGGACAGAAGGCATCGAGGGCGAGGACGGAAGGAGGATGGGAGAGGCAAAAGACGAAAAGTGATGCTGAATCAATAAGGAGGCGGACAGAGGAGGAGAGGACTAACAGAGAAGAGGCAGACACTCAGCGCCATTCTGCTCTACCGTCTGTAGTGAGTACTACAGTAATTGACTGGTTTCCACAGATGTGTGTACTCTGCAATGCTGTGAGGTAGCTGTGGCTGCTGCTTCCATCAGTTTGAGGAGAGCATATCAATCCTGCAGAGAAAGATGGGCTTTTAAGAACATTCTCTAAGTCACTGAAACAAAGATGTGCCTCAAAGCTTTCTATAGTATGTCAAATGTGTTAAATACACAGCGAACACATACAAATGAAATGAGATATCATTTGTCCTCAGAGGATGCCAGACAAAGGAGGAGGGAGAGGAGAAGAGAAGACGAATGAGAAGAAAAAAGAGCGAGGAGAAGTGGCGAGACAAAAGGACGAGTCTGCCGTAAGGAGGAAGAGGAGAGGGAGGCTGAAAGACAAAGAGTTGGCTGCTGGTAAGACACTGCAGAAATTCAGGAATGAGACGACTTTTGTTATGAAATGCTACCAAAGTGAATCATGAAAGTGAAGAGAAGTAATGACATAAAGAATTGTTATCACATCATCAAAACATCTGCAACATGTATTGCAGAAATGCATATTGTTTTGGAGCAGAGAAATAGCCTAAACCCTGATTTTAATGTTCTTAGGTCAAAAGACGTCATCTAGAAAACATTTGTGATATGAAATGACTGTAGTTGTCTCTGTAGAAGTGGTAAGACACCCAGCGTTATTTAGATAAGTGGCATCTCTTTTAATTAATTTAATTTCTCTGAAGAAATCAATGAGGAGCCCATGAAGAAAGAGGAGGAAATAAACCAGAACATTAAAAAGGCTTCTCACCTAAAATCGACCGAGAGGCCGTCTGCAACACAAAGACACAATAACAAAACCCATTTAGAGGAAGAAAAAGAACATGTTAACATCAACGCTGACAAACACAGCCAATCAGAGAGCTCGCTCAGGTCCGCTGCATCCCCGTTCAGCCCGAAGAGCCTGAAGAGGTCTTCTGCCTCTTTCTGTGAGGGTGTGGAGCATGCCAGTGCTACGGGTCTCGCTCCATCACGTGGCTGCTTGTCTTCATGTTCAACCGTCATGATAACAGAGGAAGAGTTGATGCTGAACCCGATAAAGCAAGAGGTTGGTACATTACATAACACTTCATTTAATCCAAAGCGCAACAGATGCAATAAATCATCATAAAACTCAGAAACATGCAGGTAGCATAGGTTTTCAAATAACTATATGAGTCATTCTACAGGAAAGGTGGAATCTGGGTGATACAAATCTGCTGAAATATATTCCTTCTAAAAACATCTAAAACCTGTTAAATAGCAATAACTAACTCTTAACTTGATGAATCCACAACAAGTAGAGCTTAAAATATTTTTTATTATTTGTATACATTATACAAAGCTTATTTATATAGGAACGTCACTGGTGTTACGTGTTACCAGGAAGAAGAGTAACACCAGTGACGGTAACACCAGCGACGGTAACACCACCAGTGACAATTTGGAGAAAACACTACCATTTTAACAAAATGGCTGCCATCTGTCAGACCAAATGTGGCTTCAGTCAATATCAAAATCGTTTAACTCTTCAATACAATACATTTTCCCATTCAAATGTTCACCCCTAGGGCTATGCAATGAGTAACACTAATGACAGACTTGAAAGACGCACGTAAAATTTGAAGATAAAATTACACCTTTAACAAACAAAGTAAGAAGTATCTGACTTATGTCTTTGTCCACTGCACTGTCTCAAATGATCTCTTGTTACAGGAGGCACTTCAGAGACAGTACATTATTTCAAAAATAAAAGCGTTTTGTGTAGCAGTAACACCAATGACGTCATTTTGGGTGACTGACATTTATTGGACGTCACATTATTAATAATTATTATTATTATTTATTTTTTACCATTTCAGTGTTATATTTAATGTATGTAATGTTATGTAAATATGAATGAGATTTATTTATTGAAAAAAATATATTTTAAATGCAAACTATAGGCTCCACTTCCATGTATGATCAAAGTGACAAGGCAGTTCCTTGAACTTGGCATTTGAAATAAATTGCAATTTATGTATACATTTTTTTTTTTTTAGTACCATTGCAAAGACAATCTCTATGTATTCAACATATATAATGAATGTGAGTATTCGGTCAACGTAATGTATTTTGGTGTCTGCAAAAGTAAGTGACAGCACTTCCACCTTTTCTGTAGAATGACCCACAAACCATTGTATTGCGGTTGTTTTTGTTTCACATATGTAGAATAAAGAGTCCTTTTTCATGTGTTTCACTGACATGTTGTTAATCTTTCAAATGCCTCCTGAATGACAGTTTATCAGAAAACGACCACATGATATTAGGTACTGCTGTAATACAGAGTTCTCATTACTTACAATTACCCTTATTTGACTCTTTTTAAGGCATTTCCCCATCATGTATGTTTGCTAGACACCTAATAATTGAACACAAAAACGACGTGTGTGTGTATGTGTGTGTGTGTGTGTGTGTGTGTGTGTGTGTGTGTGTGTGTGTGTGTGTGTGTGTGTGTGTGTGTGTGTGTGTGTGTGTGTTAGTCCTCCAGGCCTAGAAATGGCCTGGAGGAGGAAGAGGTAGCAGCTGTGCGTCTTGCCAAGCGAGCGGAGAGACGGAGGCAGGATGTGGAGAGGAAAAGGAGGGAGCGGGAGGAAGAGGAGTTAAAACAGCAGAAGAAGGAGGAGACAGAGGAGAGGATGAAGAGTGAGCTGGAAAAAGAGAGGAGGAAGAGGGCTGAAGAGCTCAGGTCCTACTATTTTTCTTCAAACAATATTAAAGTGTCCATATAAACATTGAAACCGACAGAACGGCCAATTAATGAATAGTCAATGTCCATCTCCAGACTGAGGAAGCTGGCAGAGGAGGAAGAGAGGAGGAAGCACGAGGAAGAGGAGCAGGAGCGAGTGAAACGGGAACAAGCACAACGAGAAAGAGAGAAGAGGAGGCAGGAGGAGAGGAGGCGGCAGATGGAGCGACTTCAGAGGATGAGAGAGGAGGAGGAACAGAGGAGGAAAGGTGAGAGGAGGAGAAAAGCAATGAGAAGGAAGTAAGAACAAGCGAACAAACGAATTATCATGAAATGCAAAATCAAAAATGACCAAAAGTGCTTCACGTGATCTGCTCTAATGAAACCCTGTAATGTTAACATGCTAGCTAATCAGTTTATGCTTACAAAGCCCAAGCGTTAAAACTAACATTGACTCACTACATCATTTGTTGTGTTACATGAAGCCTCAGAAACAGTCCTTCAACAACGCTTTGCATGCAACCCGGTATCACGGCAAGACATGAACATGTGACGATTTACCATGCTGGGAGACGTGAAGATGTCACGATTTCGTCCCTTCAAACGTGACAGTTACACGGTATTGTTAACATGGCCCAACCAGTGGAGAAATACCCGGAAATGCCAAGCAAATGCTACCCCGACGGTCGGTTGTTATTGTCAATATTAATATAATAATGATTTATTTTGTAATAGTCACACTCGATTTCGCCAATTTCTAGTTGCCCCAGCTGGTCGACACCTCTTTTAGCAGAAACAAAGGCTACATTAATGTATTAAATATATGTTAATCCATGCGTGTGGATGGTGTGGAATTAACGGACGTGACGTTGTGCGATTGAGTTGCTAGGCAACAGCTTCGGTTCATGTTAATTTACAAACTCTTCAACTAGAACCGTAGTTATATTAAAACACATTTTAGAAGGCCTCACAAAATACTTTAATGTAAATTAAAATTAAAATTGTCTACTTTCAACTTGGTCTACTTTCAAAGAAAATGTATTTTTCATAAAGACATTTCCACCAACAAGGTTCCTGCAGCATCAGGTCGGCATCTTAGCGGATGGTGAAGGGCTAATTGAACTTTGAATTGCCACATATGAAATACACGACTGGTAGCAATCTAATTTCCTGAAAACTATTTGATCCTCTCCAGATGAGCTCGAGCGTCTGCGCCTGGAGGAGGAGAGGCAGCAGGAAGAGGAGAGGAAGAAGCTTCTGGAGATGGAAGAGAGTGAGAGGATAGAGTACCTCTGCAGGAAGGAGCAGGAGGAGGAGAGCAGGAGAAACGAAGACGAGCAGCGTAAAAGGAGAGAGGAGGAGGCCACCTTACAGGCCGCAGTGGAAGCAAGGCTGCAGGCAGAGCAACTTGCAAGGTACGCTACGTTTCTGTCTCATCAGCCTTTATTTTATATTATAAATCCATACACATTCAGATGCTTCAAACCCATAACACGTTGTATTCTGTTCTCGTATCATGACATTAAATGATTGTCCAGCTCTGTGTCTCTTTCTCGTTCTGTCTTCCTGCAGAGAGATGGCGCTGTTGCAGCAGCAGTTGGCCGTTCAAAGGCGTCTGTTGTTGGAGGCTGGAGGTCTGGAGAAAACGCAGGGTATATCTAGACCGTGGATCTACTCTTACTTCACTTTGTTACAGTTACTGGGTGTAAATCCAACTACAGCTGAGACCATAACCCCTGACTGATTTTAACCTCTATTTGAGATCACTCCTTAAATGGTTCAATGATTATGAGAATTCAAGTTAATAGAGGACATCAACAGATGGGGGTCAGGCATCTCCGAATCCACAAATCAATAATGCTTTAAAGAAAATACCATTGCCCATTTGTCAAAGACAATACCTGATTTCCTCTTTTGATATTTTCTATGTTTCTATAAAATAAAAGGATTTTAAATATTGCGGCTGTCCTTGTTGTATGCATGTCTGATAATTTACAATTCAAGACCAGGTCAAACTTTTGACAGATTTAGGATAAAACTGAATCTCAGTACAGGAATAAAAGCCCTGATTGTTTTCTATGAAAGCTTTTAAACACAGAGCAACACAAGGGTTTGTAGAATATAGACATTTTATTTTATTTAGTTTTTCTCTTACCTTGATTTATCATATTTTAAATGTGGCTTTTAATTTGGGTTAATCTGAGTGGTATCACCGTTCATGTTTTATGGTTTTGTGATCAACTCTTTCTGTTGTTTTTCATAACTTGTTTTCAATCATGTTCCTCAATCTCTATTTTTATTCGTTGTTATTTCATGTATCTTGTCTTGCTCTGTAAAGCACTTTGGGCTGAATCTTGCATGAAAGTAACTATGTAAATAAAGTATTATTATTATTATTACAACTACATACTCTTTACCGTAGGTGGCGGTATGAATCTTAAGTTACGCCAACCACCCTGACATTGAAACCAACGAAGAAGATTCACCCGGAAACACTTGGCCGTTGTTATGGTAAAACAACACAGCTGTTGAGAAGTATTTTCACATTTTCGTTCAAAGAAGCAGTCTTTTGATAATAAAACTCAATGCAATGAAAACATAAAAGTGATCAATGTTTTTGAATCGACAGCTACTGTTACAAAGACTGTGAGAAGCCAACGATCTGTTAAAGGCTTTTTTTAGCCAGTTAGCAATCAGCTAACAGGCTAAGCTGTTTATCACCAACAACAATAAAAGGTAAGTACAATGTTTTTATCTTTCATCCTAATGTGTATATACAACAGTCTACATAGTCTGACAATTTTCAACTAGAGTTTCTAATATGGGAGATTACTATAAAGGTTACTAATGTATCCATAGCAACTTTACAAGTCGGAGGTCCAAGATGGTTCTGTGACGTAATTTATCACCGGTTTAAAGACCTGCATTCATATAAACAGAGGTGGAAGAAGTACTCAGATCTTGTACTTAAGTACAAGTAGAAGTACCAGAGTGGAGGAATACTCTTTTACAATCCAAATCATGCAATCCAAATGTTACTCAAGTAAAAGTAGAAAAGTACTATTATTACATCAGAATATACCTGAAGTAACAAAAGTAAAACTACTCATTATGCAGATTGGCCCATTTCAGAATAATATATATTATATGTTTTGATATATATATAGTTATTGATGCAATAATGTGTTTATCACAGCTGGTAAAGGTGCAGCTAGTTTTAATTACTTTGTTTGCTGCAGGGTAGCTTGTGGATTTACTCCAGGTGTACCTAAAGTCTTATTTAAGTGTTGATTAAAGTACACTATTGACCTTTGAATGTCCCCTTTAAACTGTGGGGTTTTCTCCGGAAGTTTTTCCTTGTACGATGTGAGGGTCTAAGGACAGAGGGTGTCGTTTTCTCATACTGATATTCTGCACAAACTGTGCTGTTGTATTTGCTGTAAAGTGTCTTTACTGTAGGCTATTTTTTATTATATGTACAGCACTTTGGCTCGACCAAAAATCGTTTAAAAATGTGCTATAGAAATAAAACTTGATTTTATTTTAAGTGGGGTATAGGGTAAGTACAAAGTAACACATCATTTAAATACTCAAGTAAAGTACAGGTCCCTACAAATTGTACTTAAGTACAGTACTTGTAAATGTACTTAGCTAAAAAATCAGTAATTCACAATAAAAAAAAAGCCAAAATGACCTACACGGGGCAGTCCTAGTAATTTCATGGAGTTTGATCGTAGTGTTTTTCTGTCTGTCTGACATGTCATAATTAGTTGTTTGTTTTCCTAGTTAGCTCCGTTCAGCAGGAAGGAACATGCACATATTCAAATGCCTGTCACTGCAGAGCTGTCTACTCGATATAATGTTATTTGGCATTCCTGCACGACAATAATGCATCTTTAACAAAAACTTGGGACTACATTTTTTGTTTATTTCTCTGTATGCCATTTTTGTATTCTCTTGCTATCTAGACTGTTGGATTAGGTGACATTGTTGTAGATTAGACAACAAGTTCAATAATCAAACTGCACCTTTTAATTGCAATGCATTTGTGGATGCAGGTAACATTTTGATGAACATTCTCCAGCCACTCTTTGGTCAGAGGTCTTTTCAAAATGGACGTCAGCATTGCCGTGTCGCTGATTCGAGGCCAGATGCGTGCCGTGGTTGAGCGAGCAGTGAACGGAGCGGTGGAGACGGTGTTGGCTGAGATGCTAAAAGTGGTGGGAGTCAAATTTGAGGAGCTCAAAGGCCATGTGGCGCTGATGCAGAGGGACGTTGCGTCATTGCAAAGGGAAAAAGCCCAAAAAGAGAAAGAGAATGAAAACATCCGAGCCAAGCTGCGGTATACCGAGCTAAAGCTAAAATACTACAGGCAAGGAGTGGAGGAGGAGCTGGAGCAACGAGTTTCTGCCTCCACTCTGGGCCGCATTCACCCGTCCATGTACCTTCAAGCACAGAGAGGTGGTGCGGGTGTTTCCTCCACTGAGATTTCTCCATCATGCTCAATAACGAACCCCGAGGGACCACTGTCAACAAGCAATCAAGGTAATGGCCATGGAGATGACTGATACATATTTGGCCCCCTCCACTGCAATGGGTCTTACTCCTTTCTGTGTGTGTGCTTCCAGAATGCAGCTCCCCACACAGCACAAGCAGGCGTGCAATCGGAGCGCTTTGTCATTCAGATGTGGGAGATCTGAGCTCTGACACGTCTGACCTGCTGCCGCCAGTCTCACTCTCTTTGAACACTCCAACAGAATCTAGTCAGGACAGCAGCACAGGTACAGAGCCAGTGAGTGTGTGTGTGTTTGTGTGTGAGTGTGAGTGTGATACTGCTGCCTTCTTTTCTACATGTTGTTCCCTTCAAACTTAATTTGGAAAAATATAAATGATATCTGTTGATGTAAAAAGTAGGTATTATCCTATATACTTTTATTATTGTATCTTTTAAAAGTTAAATACTGGATTTGAGAAAATCGAGTATTAGTCAGAATACACACTGAATGGAGAATAGGAAACCAAAAGGAATCAGAATCAGAAACGGGTTTATTACCAGGTAGGTTCACACGTACGAGGAATTTGACTTGGTGTCGAGCGAGAATCAGAATCAGTTGCATATGGACTGATAACATATCATTGTTGTTGCCGTGTATCTCTGAACAAAATACTGTGTTTGTGCAGTGTTCTTTCCTGTAGAGCGACACGTAGCTCACAGCCAGGATCAGGAGAACGACTGCAAGTGGACCGTCACTCTGCAGCCACACTCAGAGGGAGGGGACGCTCACCTGGTTCCTCCTCCTGTCCAGGCTCTGGAGCAGCAGTCAGCCGCTGGCTCACCCTCCCCTCATGTTTCCACCCAGGCCGATAGCTCCACTCTGCACTCCTCTGCTTCACAAGTAACCACACACTTCCAGACTTCATCCTATTGGTTTTGCATAAGCAGTACTGTTTGTCATAAATACACCCCCGTGCTGAAGTGGCCAACCTGCATCATGCCCTGACCTTTTACAGAAGGAGCAAGGATTAGCTCTCTATAAAGTTAAACAGGAACAATTACAAAAACATTACTAATAATATATCAACAAAAGCATGAATTAATTGATTAACCATCATGTGTCATTGTTTTGTAATGTTTCTTTACAACTTATTAGAAAAACCTTTATTGATTGGGACACTTTGGTTGTTGCAGCAGCATAACAACTGAAATGTAAACGGATAAATAGAGAAATACAAAAGTCTTAGCTGGTTTATTGACTATAATAGCTTATAATAACAACTTAGGGGTGTTGTTGGACACACTGCTGATACAACGGTTACTAGATATACCTCAAGAGGTGTAATACTAGTAGGAGCATATCATATCATTTATAAGAAAAGTAATTTAGTATAAAGCAAAATAAGTAAATCAGTCCAAAGGAGATGGAGATAATTGCGACATTAAGTGTGCCAGAAAAAACGACTGGCGGTATTACACTGTTTTCTTATCGTAGTCCTAAAGTCCTTGTTGTTTCTTGGTGTAATGCAGGTGAAGCAGGAGGAGGAGGAGGAGGAGATCTGCATAAAGGAGGAGCCAGAGGAAGAGCAGGATGTGATGGCCGAGCTTCTGCTGGACTGCCAGCTGCAGCAGGGTCCTCTTCCAGAGTCAGAGGTGAGGCGAGAGCCGAATATTCAATCTGACAGAACAAGGTCAGCACCTGAGTTCTTTTGAGAGTGTTTTCCCCAAATTGTTAAGAAGATATATATTTTTTTAAGAACCTTTTAAAAATAATAACTCTCTACATAAGTTAGTTTTGGACTTTTTTGTTTTTGCCTCTGATAGTTTCAACTGTCAATCAAGCACAGATCTCACAGTGATGAAGTCGCATCATTGTCATTTCCCCCCTCAGTGGGTGTGGACCAGTGCTTCTCAAAGTGTGGTCCGCGGACCACTGGTGGTCCGTGAGCGCCCCCTAGTGGTCCGTGAGTATATTGGTAACATTTCACATTTGAAATAAATAAATACATTTAAGTTTTCCGCACTCTCGCGGGAATATCTCCGCAATGGAACGAGCTTAAGTTTAACTTTCTATTGCATGATAAAGCCCAGGGCAACACCTTCGTCACACATGTTGCCACTTGTTTGTACCATTTCCAGGCGATTTATAATCTGTTCTAGAAAAACGATGTGTTTTGGGATATTTGTGGAGTTAGGTGGTCCGCGAGTGTTTTTTTATTGGTTAAGTGGTCCATGGTATGAAAAAGTTTGAGAAACACTGGTGTAGACAATGGACCAGAGTGCTTTGCAGCCCTTGCACGGTTTTTCTTTAGAAATAGAGTATCAAAGTTAAATAATTAAGATCCCTAATTGTACATACAAATGTTGATAATGCACTGAATATCACAGGCTATTTAAAAGGGTCTCTTGAAAGAAATTAATGTTTTTTTTCACTTCCTCCAGACTCAAAGGTCAGGACTTCCAGAAAGTCAGAGAAATAACTCTGCAGCCTACAGCTCAGCAGGACCATGCACTGGTGAGTACATCTGTGTATGAGAGTGAGCAGATGCTTCTGACACTGCTTGGCTAGTTTAAAAAAAAAAAAAATGCTCTCTCTTGATGATGTTTCCCTACTTGACTCCCCCTGGCCAAACAAAGCAGTATTGATCACTTGTATAAAAACAAGATGCCATTGATATTAGGGATGGGAACGATTAATCGAATATTCGAAATTATTCAGGTATTCGAATATGAGTTATTAATTTTTTTCATTATTTTTTTTTGTTGGGAGGAATGCCTAAGTTGATTACATATTATCAAATTGAATAATTTGAATGATTTAACAGTTCATGAGCGTGCTCCCCCGCCCCCTGTCAACACTCGCGACACATGGCCAGCCTAAACAACAATAAGCGCTGCTTGGCAACCGTGTGTGGCGGCAAAGTACATAGTCATTTTGACAGGAGAGATTTAGTTTTGCCGGTATTCAACATATTTTACCAGTCATAGTCCGGTAATTATTTACACTCTAAGAAGAGTCCTACACAACAGACATGGCGTCAAAAAGGAGTGTGGAAATATTTCTACCAGGTTAGTGAGTGCGGTGTAGAGGTCAAACTATGCCAAATTAAACTTATATACATGCTATACCTTGCCATACCCGCAACCTCCGTTCCAGCTGAAAGGGTCTTCTCTACAGCTGGGCTGATTGTGAATCCCGCACATGAAAGCTGTAGGCCTATAGCTGTCAAACTGTGATCACCAGTTCAATACATTTGACTAATTTGACTTGGTTGCTACACTTATTTGAACATGTATGTATTTATTTCCAAAAGTTATTGAAAATATATTTTTGGAATTTTTTTTTTTACCCAATTTTTTTTTATATAGGATATGTACATTTCGGTTAACCGGTTAACCATTTTTTTGGGGGGGTCGAATATTCGAATATACATTTGCTTTCAAATTCCCATCCCTAATTGATATATAAATCAGCTACATGATGTATTGATCTGCATCTCATTTAATCTATATGTTTAAAAATCACTGCAAACCTCTCTCTGTGTGTTTGCTCTCAGATCTGATGCCTCAGCCTTTGAGCTCCCTGCAGTCCATGGGTTATTCACCATCAGGTCTCCCATATCGCCAGGCGGTACGGCCATGGACTAAAGACCTCAGTCTTTACGAAGATTTCAAGCTGCGCAGGAATGAGCTCCGCAAGCGAAGCATCAACAGACGCAGAGAGCTGGAGAAGACGCTGCCTCAGCCGATGCTTGCAGACCTGGTTAGTTGACCTGACCCTGTCCTTACAGACGCACGCACACACTCACACTGCTGAACAGCTTGGTATCTCCTGCCTCGATTGGGTACAGTCAGATGTCATCATACCAATAGTCTTCCATGCTTTTAGGTTATTGAACGTCCTATTTACAGATATATGTAAAGGTTTGTTTTGTACATGGTGAACCAAAGGCTGTATCATGTTTCAGCAAGACTGAGAATTCAACAAGAGTAATAAAAAAAAATGCTCGTCATAAGCTTAGCCTTACAATGTATGCAGAATTAAAAAGGAGCAGGTTTCAGTGGACAATAATGCTTAATAAGACAAGCTGAGATAAACAGGCTACATCTTTGTGACATATATACACTTTTAAAGATAGTGGAGTATAAAGTGCCATTTTCTATCAAAGTGTCTTCTTACATTTCTCCATATTGAATGGAAAATATATTTTGTTCTGTTGAAGGTACGCGAGCGCAGAGAGAAGACCAGACTGAGAGTGGCCAGATGGAGAGCGAAAAGGAAACTCCAGGCCTGTGTTAACCAGGCTCCGGTCAGTAATGACTACTTTATCACAGAAAGGAGTGCATGATGTAAAACAAAGTCTCTGACTCAAGTGTTCTACTTAATTATTAATTATCTCTAGGAAACGTTTGCCAAACTTGTCTTTCAGGTGCATGAAAATGATTTATTTCTGTTTTTAAATGAGGCCTTCAGGGATACTTTTAGTGATTTTCTCTGTGTTAGAGAAGCTAATGAAATCACACCACTTATCTTCAGTGCTGTCAGTGACCACACTCAAGCTAGGAAGTGATACCGCCACTAACACTTGAGCAGCAGATCCTGCTTGAGACTTAAAGGTCAATCCATTAATTAACTGCACGGTATCTGCTACACGGTTTAGTTTTGAATAATTAAGAAGTCTGCTATCTACAGACCCCACTACTACCCACAAGTATCATTTACATACAATAACCTTCCTTCCCAATAAGACGAAGCCTGTCGTTTTGGTCTTTCTCATTCTTAGGCTCCTGATGGCGCTGCAGGTCTTTGTCAAACTGGTTTCCCTATCAGCAGCCAGCATCAGCAGCTCAGAGTGACCTGCGGTAAGATGCGCCCCAGTGGTCAAATGCCAGTGTCATCCCTCAGTAACACAGTTTTGAGTTCCTGCTTTCAAAGTCTTGCGCAAAGTGTTTATAATAATAAATAAGAATAATAACATTTTCGCGTCATCCAGAGTACATTTATCTGACTTGGATGTGTGACACCTATGTCTTTGCAGGTGTATTTCTCCCAAGGGAGTGCTTAGGGAAATTCAGGTATAAGAATAACATCGACAATAAGAGTGAAACAAATACAATTATGTATACTTAAAAATAACAACAATAATAACAGTTCAAACATGAAGTAAATGAGTTCAAATATATAAGTGAATATAATTATAAACATGCATACATATACATCTAAAGTTGTTTTTAAAGAGTGGTTAATGAGAAAGCTGTAAGCAGCATTATCACAAGCCCAGCTTTCAGCCCAATTCAAACAGGATTAGTTCATATTGTTTTTGAAGTGAAGGCCAGAAAACACGTCTGCAATTTTTAAACTAATAAATTGCCATCTTTATGTTTTAGCTGCCACCTCCAGCAGTCAGCAGAGACAGATGCTTCAGTCCAACAACTTCCTCAACATGTCGAAGCTGCATGCGGCAAACAGCATCCCCTTCACTCCCTCCTCCTGCTCCTCCTCTCCCCTCCTCAGAGGCCCCAACATGGCCCCACATCAACACACTGTGACATTTTCCTACCCCCAGGTCAGCTTACTGCAGCAGAGCATCTCTCTGACAGACACGGATATCTTGCAGTGAGATCAGAGGTTTTTACGAATGTATTTGTCAAATATGTCATGTTTGTTGTTCAGGAAAGGTCAATCAGACTCTTAATCATTGAGACTTTTGTTGTAGTTTTCTTACCTTTCCATCACAAAACAGAAGCCTGCACACTAAAACTTCAATAACAAAAAAACAAGAGCATCTTATATGGATTACCTTTTAAATCAGTTCAACATAACAACCAGTCTTGTGTACAAGCTTATCCCTGTTTGATTTTAAAACACATTTTAAAACCGTATGTAAAAAACATCCCATATACAGGAAATGATTTCAAATGTGTATATATGTAAAAACCTCATCTTGAGCTTTCCTGTACATGCTTAGTGCTTATTTATTTTAAAATGAAAGGTTTGTTGGGTACATGGATAATGCAACATGAATAATATATGATTTTGTTTATTTAAATGCATGTTACTGTCTTTTAAAAGTCTAGACCAGCGGTTCCCAACCTTTTTCAACTCAGGGCCCACTTAAGTTAAGAATCTAAAAATGTTTCGCGGCCAACATTCAACCATAAACAATACGGAGGCTAAATGAAGTTCTGATTGGTCGATTCAGAACATGTGACACGTTGTTAATCCAGTAGTTCAGACCGCTGTGAAGGACTGTAATGACCGTTGCTAAGGAGGATCAAGAAAGAAAAAGAAAAGAGGTTCAAATAATAAAAAAAAAAATCTTAATAATGAAATGTTTCCACACAAATCATAATGTTTTGCAAATTATTTGGCGGCCCACTTGCAATGCCTTCGCGGACCACTAGGGGGCCGCGGCCCACAGGTTGGGAACCGCTGGTCTAGACAAGAAAGGGGTTTCCAGTGTGATGGTAAATGTACTTTTTGCACTTTGTTTTGGAGTTGAAGTGTGTAATACACAAAGAAATTGCCGGAAAAGTATTGCAAAGACTTGAGGCTGCTAATAAGAATACAATATTTTGTAGTTTGTCTAAAATAAACTGAAGATTGGCAATCACCAGATCAAAATGAGAAGCCTGTGTTCAGTAACATTAAAGGCAGCTAAAAGAAGCTCTGTGTTGAACTCTTATTTTGACAAAGCCACACTCCTCCTTAATATAACACATGTAGATAAGTTTGGAGTACAGGTTTTTATCTTTGCACATCACTAAGATACGTTGAAAGAGCTTTTTGGCTAATCACCCCCCTCTTCATATTGGTTGTAAAGCACTTTTGTACGTCGACTACATTGTAAAAGATGTAAGATAAAAGACATGATTCTCATTGTGTGTGAAAGTGCTTCAGGTCAGCGCAAGTTCAACCAGGAAGACCTTCTTTTCTCATTCATTTACTATTTCCATGTTACTACTCTCTCTCCTCTCAATAAGTGATCGGGGGCGTCACTCCCCAGCTTAACCAATCACTTCGCTCTATTCTCACAAGCCTATCATAGCGCTCCGCTAAACCTTTTAAATCTGCTCCCCCCCCCTGTCAGCTGTCATTTCAGGTGACTCGATGCAACCCTCCTCCACCCCTTTTCACCTCCTGTCCCTCTGAATCCAGGGTCAAGCTAAGCCCCTCCTCTTCAGACCGGACCTAACCATCCATTCACCACCACCAGTGTCTAGACCCCGGGGGGTTTCATCGGATCGGTTCTCCCCTCCCGAATGATACTCCTGCACAACGGGGCCTAATCGCCAAAACTCCATTACATTCATTTGTGTATTCCTGGCAATAAATATGTATTCTTACATCAAAACCGTCTCTCCTGATTGAAATTGAGTTGATAACCATTAAACCCTAGGAAGACGATGAAGGCCCTAACATACGTCGTGTTAGCAATGTATTGAGACTTCAAAAACTCAATATTCCATGTTTTTGTTTTACAATTTCCATTTAAAGATATCTAGTTCGTCTGTCGAATCTTAAAAAATATCTACATAGCCTTAGCCCAAAGTCTAATTGTTCCTACTGAAGTCAAGACAAATCCAAATGAAAAGGGACTGACCATGTATATCCTTATTTTTATTATATATGTTTTTAAAGATGGGCACTTAACCAGGTTTGTCCCTTTAAAACTTGGTATATAAGACTTTGTAGAAGCTGCCCAAGTTTTTCTTGGGCTGTCATGAGAGGAAGGCGGAGTTGCATCGTCTAAAAGTCATCCATTATTTTAAAATAAGATGTTAGCGTGTGTTATCCATTGACTATCCTCTGAGAAATGGCTGATGGCAGTGTGTAGAACAGCAGGGCGAGGAACAGCATGACGATGAGCAGCACCAAGGCGATGATGATGTACTTCTTGTAGCTCCGCCACACCAAGTGGAAGAAACACTTGAAAGGATTGACGAACCACGAGAAGGAGGTGTCAGGACGACTGGGGGCAGGGAGAGGAGGAGGGAGAATTTGAGTTTGAATTATTACTACACTTTAAAGTATTTAGTTTGAACAGCTTTATTAAATGTTGGACAGTTTTTCTATTCTTGAATGAAAAAGCATCCACAAGAATAACTGATTTTTAAAAACTTACTTCGAATAAAATGTGTAAAGAAATGGATAATTCTCATTGTTAAGATGTCGAGATGTCATACAAAGTAAGTGTGTATGTAAAACAAGTCAAGTTTAATGTCGACATAGTATAGTATGACTTTCTTTAAAAAAACGTTTGATAAACTATGACTTTTTTTCGGTTCAAGTGTACCTGTATAGTGTGTACTACATAGAGAGTATATACTGTATGGTTATTTTTGATACACAGAGAGCAACCAGGCCCATCTTGTCCCCTTTATGTTGGCAGCTTCACTCCAAACATGTGCAGAGGTTAACAATATTTCCCAGATCAAAGGTATTATTAATGGACTCATGAGAAGGGCATATTTTCAGATTCATCACAGTTTTAGTGTTAAAGGTCCCCTACTGTCTTTCATCAATAGGTCCCAGATATGTACAAAACATGTCTCTGAAGTGTTGGGCTCCAAACACCAAACAGATCATTACCCATAATCCCTTCTGTTTCAGCCCTGTTTCAAAAGTGCTGATTCTCTGTCTGTTACTTTAGATGAAAAATAAGGAGCCCCTCCCCACGCCCCTCTGAGAGAGATTTGGTTAAAAAGAACACAATGGTGCTCTAGGAGGAGATTCAGGTGATAAGGGGTAAGCCAAAAAAAATGGTTATGACATCCTAAATCTGATCAGCTCATTTTCAGACAGGTTTTTATATAAATGGATCAGGACAAAAAGAGAGGGGGTCTTTGTTCCTGACACTTTCAGAATCTTTTTACACAGAGGAGGGGACACATGTTGATGCATAAAACATGTGATTTTGCACAATAGGTGACCTTTAACTTATTGTTTTGAACCTCCTTTTAACACATTTACTCTGTGTGTTCTCTCAAGCTACTACCTCTGAAATCCACTGTTAAAGCAACACAAACCTTCAGAGAAAGAACACACAAACAAACCAGATTAGATTTGTCTTTAGAGAGACTCTTACTTTGGTTTTGGAAGCGGCTCCGGCTCCTTGCGTGCTTTGCCAACTGGATTTTTTTCAGCCTCCTCCCCTGTCACAAGATGGAACTCTGCCTCCACTTTTCCCTGATGGATTAAGAGCACATAACTCTATTAATTCAACGTTTTCACAACTGTGAGTCAAAGTTGTAGTCTGGGAACTTTTGGGCACATCTAGTGTGTACATCTAGCGTTGTCACTGTAGTATATAACTCATTTCAAATGTTTTGACACACTACAGTATTTTTTCATTATATCTTCCACAAAATATACTATGACATTTTTTGAGTTTGATAACATTTTGACGGTTATCACTACAACATCATGGTACTCATACTTCACATCGGAACGTACTTGAAACAGCAAAAGTAAGTGCACAATTACGCACATTGAGACACAGCATTGTTTTGTGCAGTGTGTGTGTGTGTGTGTGTGTGTGTGTGTGTGTGTGTGTGTGTGTGTGTGTGTGTGTGTGTGTGTGTGTGTGTGTACGTACCGTTAGCTCTCCAGCTTTGGTGAAGGGCCACCAACCTCTCGATCTCTTCTGCTGGAAGATGGAGATTCTGTCTGTCCCGTCCGTCAACATGTCCACTTTACACGACTTTGCAGTCTTTGTCCCTCGAGGGAAACCATGCAGGTCCAACTCCAACGTGCCTACTCGATAGAGGCAAAGCACTTTATCGGTCAAACATGGTTGCACATTTTCTGCTCTGTTGCAAGGATGGAAAGCATTCATTTATTCCTGTGAGTGATCATTAATCACAATGGATACCAACATGATAGCAAAACTAAAAGTATATAGAAAATAGAAAAACATTTAAAGGGGAATACAAATTAAGGGGAAATTACAAGAAGAGTTAAGAAGAACAGATATTCTCCGTTTTTATCAATTCCAGCTATTTTATTTGTGTTGCGAGGGTCTGATCAGGAAAGAGGACATTTGACCAGGTTTAATTGAAAGGGACTATCCTTTAGGGTTGAAGACAGCTGTTCCAGGTTTGTTTGGTCTTTTTAATGGATGAGCCAGTGGTAATTGATCATTTGCAGTGGAGTATAATGTGTTTTTTGGAAATAGCTTATATTATAAGAGTTTGGCGATGAGAGAGGAGGCAAGACAAGGTTATATTGCACCTTTCAACACAAGGCAATTCAAGGTGCTTTATAAAAATGAAAGACATTGAGACAAAGGCATTTAAAAACAGGAGAAAATAATGGATATATTATTATTATGTCCACACACACACACACACACACACACACACACACACACACACACACACACACACACACACACACACACACACACACACACACACACACACACACACACACACACACACATACACACACACACACACACACACACACACACACACACACACACACACACACACACACACACACCTAGGAAGTCGTCAGAAGACAGCGTCTCGAAGTCCCAAACCTGCAGACTGAGGATGGCAGGAAGCTTCTGCTCTGTTTTGTCCAGAGAGAAAATGTGCTCTCTCTTCCTCACCACTACTGTCTGTGAAGAGGTATGTGTTATTCATTTCATATTTTTTGCAGGTCCTACTTTGTTTCAGCAGGGATCATGAGGTGTGACCGTCAGTGTATTTGCCAGTACCTTCTCAGCAGGCAGGTAAAGGAAGGGAAACACAAAGCGCCAGTTGAAGTTTCCCTCTCCGGTCAGAGAGTTGTAGTGGACGTCCGTCTCCTGTCGGTCGGCCTCTAAACCTTTCAACCAGCTACAGTGAAACAAAGACAGCAGCAGTGTTTACATAGATATTCAGTCTTAATTTGAAATTGAGGAATAAGTAGGCTAATGTTTGTACGAGAAAATATGCATTGTGCTAATTATGAGTTTGGCAGATGTCTGCTTTTGTAACATAGAGTGATCACATATCTTTTTAATAAGATCTGCGGTTAACAGACATTTATGATACTTACACAATTTGTTCTGCAGGCTAATCTCCACATATTAACACTACTTTTATGATTTTTTAAAAGCAAAAATGCATTCGCCAGGAGTAAAAGCTCATTTTAGGCCATAATTGAACTACATCACGGGTGGTTGCAGGGGACGAGATAAGCGAACTGGGGGTCGTAAAAATGCTAACTCATCTCCGGGTTTCAGGACTGATTCCTGCACCACCCTATACAGAAAAAGAGCTGGAGTTACCCCTTGACGTAGATATCACTGGACTGTTGACCCGTCAGGAAGTTGCTATCCTCCAGAATCACATCTTCTGTGTTCCAGATGATGATACGCAGCTCGTACCTGTACACAACGCATTGGGGTTCAACATGTCATTTTAGAAACAAGCATTGTTTTATTGCCTCTTTTAAAGAATGGCCTGCAGCAGTTTAGAGAGACAGCTCTCACCCTTTTGGTTTTCGCGGTGAAATGTCCACTGAAGGTCCAGGGTGAGGTGAGTCCATGGGAAACATATCTACCCACATCCGGACCTGACCCTACACACACACACACACACACACACACACACACACACACACACACACACACACACACACACACACACACACACACACACACACACACACACACACCACACACACACCACACACACACACACACACACACACACACACACACACACACACACACACACACACACACCACACACACACACAGTAGAATATTCAAACAGTTTCTGATGCAGATACATCTAAATACTCCTCAACATCAGTCTGTCTCACACTATTGCACTCAACCCAAAATAAGTAGCACTCTACTAAGTGTAGTTCTAGATTGGCTCCATCAGATCGTATTGGACTTACAGTTGTTAAATAGTTTTTAAAAAATACCTGATCCATGCCGGGCCGAGCCTTGTTGAACAGAGTTCTGGTCTCGATGTGTTCTGGCACCAGCTTGCATCCCACACTCGGGATCTCTGACCAGCGGTGCAGGATCTTTAGAGACAAGTGCTCATAGGACTCCAGAGGCTCGTCTGAGACGTGTGCACATCATTAATGTCACACACACACACACACACAAAATGCACATACAATATACATGCTAAATATGTAGTGTGAACAGTCTTCTTTACCTTCAATCATGAAGAGCGTCTTGCCACCAAAAACTTTGCCCGCCACTGTGATGCGTCCTGGTGCGAATTTAGGTTCCTCCAGACCGTTATCTCTGCAGCGCTTAGACAGCAGCTCTGAAGGATTCAGGCAGTCCCTCCAGGCATTATAACCGTCACTAACAGACGAACAGAGAGTGTCATTATCAAACCAATTGTAAGGTTTTGATTCAAAGTTTGGAAAGGTTTCTCCATGGCAGTCCTTCCTACTTCCTACTACGCTCTGCATCAGCCAAACGACTAGCTGCACCCTCGCTGCGAGGGGGACCCAAGTTCCCATCAGCAAAAACACGTGGGTTTGCTGTCCTGGCTCCAAGATGGTGGAATGAGCTCCCCATTGACATCAGGACGGCAGATAGCTTGCACATCTTCCGGCGCAAACTGAAAACTCATCTCTTTCGACTCCACTTCGAGCGATAGAATCACTAACAAAGCACTTATATACTAATAAAGGACTGGCTTACCTAAAGCCAGTTGAGTAGCACTTGAAATGTTTGGCTCTATGAAACCTGATGTACTTATATGATTCTGTTTTTTTCAAGGTTGTGTCTTCCTGGTCGAATGTACTTATTGTAAGTCGCTTTGGATAAAAGCGTCAGCTAAATGCAATGTAATGTAATGTAATGTTAGATTTGTTTGGATGAAATAACAATTCAATAGGAACACAGAGATGAACAACGTATGAATTATGAGTACAACCAGCAGGATTAATCACAAGAATGAAGTGTGAAACATAATTCTGGTGAATAGGACCCTGGTTTCCTCAACAAAAACACATTTGTCTCCAAGATGGTGGAAAAAGCCCCCATCAAGACAGAAGAAAGTCTACATATATTCATACAATTGCAGAAGAAAACCCATCTGTTTTCACTGCACTTTGGCCAATAAAAAAAACATATTTGTACAGTATGTTGCCTTTTTTTTTTTAAGCCAATGCAGTAGCATTTAAAATGGTTTGGATTATTGAAAGCTAATGTACTTCTTCATGGTGGATTGCACTTATTGTAAGTTGCTTCTAATAAAAGAGTCTGCTAAGTAAAATATAGATATCATGTTCACAATCAGCAGGAGCTCCACGAAGGCACAGGCCCAGACTCACAGGCTGTACTCAGTCGGGAGTCCACAGGTGGCTCTGTGTCGGCTGTAGAATCGGTTCTCCAGGTCGATGCGAGTCTCTCCGATCAGGTCGTCCCCGCCCACCATGTCATAGTCATAGATCACCACCGACAGCAGAGACTCCTGAGGAAATGACGCCTGCATCTCAAAAGAACTACAAGCAGGAATTGGAGAAGTTATGTTTCAAGTATAAAACAAAAATATTGCCTGAGTTTAGTTGTACTTTTAAAATAAGGGAAAAGCTGTCAGTCACACACCTTCCAAACACAGGGTTCAGCTGTTTGGGAATGTAGTTGTCTCTGTCTTTGATTTCATTCTTGCCAAGCCGAAGCACAATGTAAGGGTCGGACTTTCCATCCGGATCAGATGGGTGCAGGTTAGATGCCTGGAGAGAGAGAGAAGAATATAAATAGAATATCTAATCCAATATGGTAATTAGACAACTAAAAAGTAATGTATCCTGCACCCTACATATTGGTGATATTATACATGTTGTAAAAGGCATACAAATAAATTCAAATATAATTTAAAGAGTATCCTGCAGGAATACAATAGTTCAAATAGCTAAGATGTGCAATGCGGTTTTAAAACCTAAGCATTACAGGCAGCAAACATGATGAAAAAACACTGACAAAAATCTCTTCGTACAATAGGAAAAACGTGTGATTTATAATTCTGTGCCATATAAAGTTCACTTGATTTGATTTGAAAGGACAACAACAACCTAAGTGATCAATGTATTTTTATTACTTTAAATATACAGAAAACTGGAAGCTCTCACCAAACACAATATTTCCATAACTTTCTATTTTCTTGCAGGCATTTTAAACACTTCAGTTAATGAAGCATAGTTACTTCAAATGTAATATATTTCCCCCAGGTCTTTGGACAGTTACAGTATGATGAGATGCTCTAAACCAGGGGTTTTCAAAGTGTGCCTCCCCTCAGAGAACATAAGAACAGCCGCGCCCCCCCTCCCAATTATTATTGCTATTATTATTATTGTTGCTGTTGCTATAATGCAGGGGGTATACAATTGCATTTCAAAGAGGTCCAGTAAGAGCAAATTAAGACTGTTTCTCTCCTCTTGTCTCGTCTCTGTGTGTGTGTGTGTGTGTGTGTGTGTGTGTGTGTTTGAATCTATCGTGCTGACTGCTCCGATTTGATTGGCTGAGTAGCGTCACCTCCTTAAAACATTATACAATAACTTTTTTAAACCTTTTCATCTTTATGTTTTAAACATATTGTATAAAACTCCCCCACTACTTGGACTATTCCTTGCACCCCTCTAGAATAAGGCCGAATGGTCTCACCCATATTGCATCAGTAACGTGCACTTGTTGTTATAACAAGATCGCAAGGACAGTGGTAGCGATCGGAAAATTGAGTGTTGTTCAGTTTGTGTGTCCGTGCACGAAAATATATCACGCACCCAATTACAATTTTCAATTCACTACCCTGGAAGTCAATAAAGTTGTTGCAAATCTAGCTGCAGCACGACCCGTATATTTTCGCACGCGGTGTTCTCAACACATTTTTTAAAACATTTTCAACATCGTGGATACATCCTTACATGCTCCCGGCAACACACTGAACGTCATTGCCTCCTTATTACACTCACAAGTCACAACAACAATGAGTCTGCGTCTTTGATGCACACAGGAATAAACGCAGATCATACTCTGGCTGCAGCCTTGACCCGTACATGCTTTTGATCAAAGTCAATGCGGAAAACCCGCACTCACACAGGTAGGTGGAGGTGAAGGGAATGAGCACTTTTACAGCCTTTTTGGCGAGGTGGGGGAACTCGGTCTCCACAGACAGCCAAAAGTCTGCAAGTGTCACTTTACTCGTCTTTTTCTCGTTATTCTTTTTCTCACGCCGCGCCTCCCCTGAAGCTCTCTGGCGCCCCCCAGGGGAGGCGCGCCTCACACGTTGAAAATCGCTGATCTAAACAGCTGTGCAGTTTAGTTTGAATGATAAACTGATCTGTAGAAATGAGGACGTACAGAGACGATGTAAATCCTTATGAGGACTTGGACCTTCCCGTTGTCAGGGACTCCTCTGTTGACTTTGATGTCTCCCATGTCAGCGGTATCTTCCCACTCCTCCACCTCGTCCTTAGTCATCTTATACAGGCAGAATCGCCCCTGCAGAGAAGATTTAACACAAAGTGTATTAGATCAATAGTTAGGATATGTCATTGGTTTCCAGGGAGGACATTAAACTATTGTCTCACCTTGAATTTGCCAACAAATCTCTCATCACTCGCCCCCTCTTCCTCATTGGCTTTTCCTCTGAACAGCTCATATGTGCTCACCCAGTCATCAAAAGGCCCAAACTCTGCCTCCAGCTCCTTGCTGTACAGCTGTAGGGACATTGTCAGCACACACAAATGTTTTACCAACACATATTCACAAGGTTTTTAATCTCTTAGAATATATCATTAACTATTTATGCAGACTGGAGAATCCTATACCCCACTCAGATCTTTGCTTTACAACAACAACAACAACAACAACAACAACAACAACAACATTCATCCTTGTATAGGTCAAATGATATATTTAACAAATGCACAAAATATTCAAACCACACAATCCTGGTAAAAAAACAACAACTTTACAGTGTATCCTTTTTGCACACTGATCTGAGGCACCCACTCTATAAACCAATGACAATGATAACTTACATTGTATATCCCGATAGGTGTAACACAACTAATAGGAGAGCAAGGAAGCTGTCAATCAAAACAATCGATATACAATCTAATCTGTGTTTTCTGTTGTCCGTTACTGTGGGTAGCTTTATTTGTTTTTTTTAGCAGTCTTTCATTTGGAGCATCTAGTTGGAAATCAGTCAGTGTCTGCTGTGATCATGATGAACTTGCAGTGTTTATGCACCAATTACCTTTAGTGTGGCTAATTTAGTAGACTGGACAATGTTTGTCACCAGTGTTCCTTTCTCTTTCAGTTTTTTCTTCTTGTCTCCATCTGAGAAGCTGACTGATGAAACAAACAAGACACAAAACGAAGTGGCATGGATGTGAAGAGAAATCAAAAACATGTTTTTGCATTGTGATGTCAAAGCAGTTAACTGCAAGGAAAAAAAAACCCAAATCCATCACATTTTAACAACTTAAGAAACACCATGATCCCAATTGTCATTCATAAGGCTAGAAGTGACACAAGAGTCGTTTAAAAAGTACCAATTAGTTCCATGCATCCTGTGTGTCTTTTCAAGAGTTACTTATCTCCTTAGAATAACATCTTAGGATACACCCAGTACATTTTTGGCCACCACTTTGTCCGCTACTGAAACTATCTCGAGGGTAACAGTGCTAGCTGCAGGGCAGATCATGCAGAGACAGCATCATAAATCCAGTTCATAAACAGGTCAATCCAGAGGGTTGTACCCCAGAAACCAGAAATAGCCCCCAGAACTCCCAGCTTTCAGAATACACGTCACCTGGCAGAACATTAACATACGCCATTAAAATGTGCTCTCCCTTCAAAGGGTATAGTATGCAGAATTTGTTTTAGAAATGTTATGGACTTATACAAAAAGAATCATACTCAATCATTACTTGTGGCCCACTAGGAAAGTATGGCTGTGTTTTCTTCTTATTTTGTAGAGTTTACATTATTGGGCAAAAGCAAAGAGCACCACTCGGATGTATAACCCTGATCCAATAAGTACTGTAAGTTATGCAGCATGTTCTCAATCAAAGGTTGCCAAATACTGATTTGTCCAGAGACCATCAGCATCTGAAACATAGACAAGCTTAAGTGCAGTTATACCATTGTCCCCTTTTTTTTTATTAACACTCTAGTTTGCTTGACTGTTGCTGCTCTCTCTTGCTCAGGGGCCAACTTTAAATACTGCTGACATTTGTACCTTATATACCTTTAATGACAATCTTTAACTATTGTAGCTGCATGTCTTTGTCCTTACCTAAGGAGCTTATTCCAGCGCTGAGCAAGCCCTCCAACGGCAAAGCTGCAAATCACAACAATGTGTGTGTGGGTCGGGGGGAAATGATTGAGTAACCCATCCTGAAACCACTTGCATATTTATTTGCATAAGATCTAAATTGATAGTATCAGTGGTGAAAATATTAAAGTAAGTGGACTTTTGCAAAGATCTCCATTCACAATAATGCGGCAAAAATAAAAATGCACTATGGTTTTTATTCAACACAACTTCTTGTTTTTGGAAATCATTCCTATTTTCTACCATTGTTTACCTTTACCTTCAATATAGCTGCTAGTCAGAATGTTGTGATTGTTATTTAAAAACTGTAATGTTTCTGGTGTCAGAGACCCGATAAAGAATAAAATAATACTTAGCGCACAGTATTTAATTTCAACCAAGTGTTCAAAGATAACCTAATGTCCCATCAGAGGTGTTCATACCTTTTTCAAAGACCTTGGGGAATAGAGAGACGTCCAGTTTGGCCTGGAACAAAAACAGAAGGGCACATGTTCCATTATTTGACTTACATGTTTTGGTTCTTTTGCAACATAACTCAGATATCAGTGCTACCTGTTTCTCCACAGATGCGTAGTATTTGGACCACCAGTCGATGACACACTCTGCTGATTCGTCAGCTATGGTCCTTTTCTTCCTCTTGGTGGAGCGACCACGAGTGCCCGCTATTTTGCTGTCCTGGATTAAAAATACACAAAAAAAACATGCAAAAGATTATTTAAATTATGATAATATGTTATCAATAACAACATTTTTATTATTTATTAAATTATTTATATATGCAGTATCTCTCACCTTTTTCTTCCTGGGTTGTTTTTCCGGGGTGGGTTGAGCTGGAGGCGGAGGAGGAGGAGGAGGAGGTGGAGCTTCCTCCTCCACAGTGATCAGGAAATCTTCACTTGTTAGTACCACGGTTGAACTGGTCTCTCCAGCAGACTGAAACAGTCCTATTGGGAGAGAGACACAAATAAATCTTCCTATGGGAAAAGATCTACTTAGCCTACTGGATTGGAGGATCAATCAAGCAAAATGTGTGTTTTATAGAATTATTATCATGATTTTGAAATCGTAACACCAACAGGTACAGGACGTTTTCTGTCACATCAATAGATGAAGTTAGAGGAACAACATGAGATGTGCCTGAACATTTCCAGCGAGTGTGCTTACATATTTTCAGTATTTTTCAAGTTCAATAATGAATTTTCAAGCTCACAAGGCAAATTGTTCATAAACCCAGAGCATTTGCATTTTAGTAAAGAGGATATTTTAAGGTTTAAAAAAAATCGTTTTTGAACATAAAAATATGAAAAAATACTTTTACAATTGGTTTTATGGTTGCAAAATCATTCAAAGTAACAATAGCTTTTTCTCCACCGTCAAACCACAACGTAAGATGGCATCAACAAAAACAAGAGAGACAAATGTAGAAGTTGTTGTTGACCATATATAATATGCTTGTTCAGCTTCCTAGCTTTCAATAACAGCAGCACATTGGACACCAACACAAAGTCACACACACATTTATTACCTTCATCGCTTAGTTGCTCTGGCATCAGGACCTTGGTGGGTTGGTGTGTTTCTACAGGAGCAGGCAGGGCTGGGGGGGGAGTGTATTTGAAGGCCTTGAGATTGTTGATGATGTGGTTTCCAACTAATGTGCTGCGACCAAAGGCCCGCCAATCCACAACAGTGATGCTGAGAGGAGGGTGGAGGAGCTCGTTCTCTGGTAACTCCTAAAGCACGGCAAAAGAGAGTAGAAATGTTATGTTATGAAAATAAAAGATTAAACAAACGTATTTATTCCTCAGCCAGACTCGACCCAGGGACACCCTTGTCCACTTCATGGGCATGAAACATGTTTGATTGTTGAGCATCCAGTTCCAAACCAGGGGAGTACACTGTCAGCTTTCCATACGATTTATAAACTCACATTCAGCCTCCAGAGCAATAAGGTCTATCGATGCTGTGTTGGTCTTACCAGAACTATGGCATCAACCAGCGTGGTGAAGTTTGGGTTGGACTTGTACTTCTGAATTACGGAGGAACGCAGGGTTTTACCGGCACACTCTATGAAGACCTAGACAAAAGAAAGCGTTGGTTATTTCATTTCATGCTGGTTTTATCATCTTTTTTTAATATTTAAAGCGGTCACAATTTTGTAGATCCTTTCTAGTGTGAATTAACTGGTCGAGGCAAGACTCATTTAAAGCTACTTCATACCCGAAGGCAACCTGAAGTACTATAATACACAATAAACACATACAAAAAAAAACAATAAAAGCAAGCAAGCAAAAGCAAGATGCATCACTTGGTAACCCTGACTCCCTAAATGCATGAAGTGTGTTTGTGGCCTAGCATTACTATCCTTGTGGAGACCTAAATCTATTTACACAGTCACGTGTGGGGACTGGCCTCCCTTATGGGGACAAAATGGAGGTCCCCATGAGGAGAATCATTAATTTTAGGGTGAAGACTTGGTTAGGGTTAGTGTTAGGGTTAGTGTTAGGCATGTGTTGGTTATGGTTAAGGTTAGGATAAGTCTCCAGGAAATACATGTAAGTCAATGTAATGTCCCCTGAAGTAATACATGGTATGTGTGTGTGTGTGTGTGTGTGTGTGTGTGTGTGTGTGTGTGTGTGTGTGTGTGTGTGTGTGTGTGTGTGTGTGTGTGTGTGTGTGTGTGTGTGTACCTGTGGACGATCAACAGACAGGAACTGAACCTTCTTCAGCTCTCTCAGACCCCAGAATAACACCTGGTGGACAGAACACCCAAAAAAAGGTTTGGTAACTAAAATCTCTGGTTGGATTATGAGTCCAAATATTTTTGAAATTATAAAATTGACGTAAGAAAGTCCTGTAGTGTAAACATTTTAAACCCCTTAACCTTTTATATTATCAAACTAAAAACAATCCTATACTGGCAAAAGAGCATCGATAGTAGAATAATATAATGTTTTATTGACATTTTTTTTAGAGAAAAATAAAGAAACGGGATACCAAATACGTAGCATGCATAGAGTCCGAAAACATACACACCTCCAGCCTGTAGGTACTGAGAACAGGTCTGATGTTGGCAGGGACTGTGTAGAAGCCGCCTTCTCCTTCCTCCAACGCCGGCAGACTCTGCTTTGCGGAGTTTTGGATCTACACATTCATGACAACGAACCTAAATCATTACAAGTGCTTCTTTCTATATTCTTCATCGTTCATCATCATTGCATGAGACAAGGACCTGCTTGTTATCTTTCTCAAAGTTTTACCATTATTTTCTTTTCATTTTGTTTCTTATTTGAATATTCGTATATTACAAGTACAGCTATCATAATGGACAAGTATATTTTTTATTGAGATTTATATTTAAGTTGAATATATTATTCTAGAGTAGACCTTCTTCATTATTCTGCATTTTGTACCGTTACTTTAAGAGAACGCTCCCTGGCGCATTTACTTCAGTTACACTGTCGAGTCACACAGTTTTCGTACCGTGTCATTTTAAGTTTCATATCAACAAGCAAAGGAAACTCTCTGGATTTTACCTGCTTATTAAATCAAATCAAATATAACGTGTTGTATTCTTTTGTGAAATTCCATCAGATCGATACGAGTAGGCCATGGAAAACAACTGGATCACATTTCTGCGGTCTCAGTCAGGATGGAAACTAAACGTTTAATAGACTGGCCTGCAGTAGTTCGAATGCAGCCAGCAGGTCTCCCCCAGGCTGGCTGCCACAGTGCAGCGAGCTGTACTGCAGAGTCGGTGGGGTGTAGGCGTCGGAGGCTAGCCGGACCTCAGGCACTGCCACCGTGGCTCCCAGGTACTCCGCCTTACCCTGCAGGAGGAAATCAGACAGAGGACCCCCCAATTCAATTAAAACGACCTAAAACACTGATTAAACCAATGCTGGATGGACCATCTGCTACACTGGAAATAACAAATTCAGTGAATCTGCCTAAGCACAAACAAATCATTTATTTTGTCTACCACGCTAAGTCTTTCGGGGTGAGTAGACACCGTTTTTTGTTTTTGATGTATCTGATTACGAGTGTTCTATAGTATTACATGTGTGTGTCAACTGCTTTAAAGTCAAAAGTGCACAACCAAATGAAAATGTTCTCAAAGATTGTAGGTCAAGCTTTGAGAAAATCTATGAATATGAATTGTTAACATCAAATCAGAAATATGGATTCTCATGATAGCACTCTTTTGTCGAGTAACTCCTAAAATAGTTTTTGTTGATGTTGCAGATGTAGCTGCTGTAATGCAAGAAAACATTTAGATCTGAGCTGAGAATAAAGTATTAGTTTCTTGCTTTGTATTGTATCGTGTTGTTTCGTATCGTAATGTATCGCATCTAATTGTAATGTATTGTGCCGTATCTTGACGTATCTTGCCGTATTGTGACGTATCTTGCCGTATCTTGACGTATCTTGCCGTATTGTGACGTATCTTGACGTATCTTGCCGTATCGTGACGTATCGTATCAAAGTAGCATTACCAGTGCGTCCTCGTCGTACACCTCGATGACAATGCGTGGTGGCTCCTCCTGGATGTGCTGCAGATCTCCACTCAGCATCAGGCGGCCCATCGGCAAACACTGATTCCATGTCGGGCTGAGAGTCTGACTGATCACCTGACAGCAACAAAAAACACACCATGAACACAAACACATAAATAATCAGAACTTAAACAGACTACCTTGTCACTGTGCACCGAAGCAACTATTATTGTAATGCTAGGGAAATATTTTGTTAATGCTGCAAGTTTTATCAATATAATTTTGATGGTACACATGGGGTTTCTTCTCTTTTTCTAAGTGTATTCAAATAATGAAAGGCACAAGCTGCAATAAGACACAAGTTCACCTGTTACCCAAGCAGCTAGACGACCAGTATCCCAGAAAACATTATTAATGTTCGAGGAAGAAAAACACACACTTACGTTGGTGGTTTGGCTGTTGGATAGATATGTGACTCGGGCGAACGGGTCAGACAGGCCGGTGTTGTCTGCAGCGATGAGACCCCGGGCCTGATACATGTGGCACCTCATCTCAAATTCATACTGCTCTGGAAACAAAGACATACACACAACATAACATGTAGTTTAGGGTGACTTAAAAGCAGTTTATGCACATCCCAAAAACACGTTTATCTTCCTAGATAACTGATGTGGAAGCTTACATAAATATAATGTAACTGTGTAGTTATACTGTGCATGTCATGGTTCTTATTGGAATTTCAACAGTGAATCCTTTTAGTTGCATTTCTTTATCTTCATGTGTGGCTAATTCTCCCCCTTTTTCCCCGTGAAGTCAGTTTCTCTTTACTCCCTTTCTTGATAACATTTATACCATGAGAAGATAGAGAAAAGTGTGCTTTCTTCCCATTTGATACTATGTGTGTACTTTGTGTGATAGTTGTCAGACATCCTGAGGCTGAGGCTTGATCTCTGTCCTTTTCAGCTGAAAACCTGTTGATTCTGTTCAGCTTTCTTAAGACAAAAGATAAATATACCACCAAAGACAGCTGTTGTAACTTCACTGTCTCACTTGGAGATTCACATTGAATCTCCACGACAAAGGCAAAAAAGTACATGTCTTGCAAATAAACATATGCTCAAGACAAATTATGTTTGGTATCTGAGCCGCAGAATTTAATTATTTTGTCCTCATTGACCTCCAATGTTGTCTTTTACTAGTCAATGGTCAAAAAGAAGTCAAACAACATCTGTGCTGTTATTTGCAATATGGGAAGATCAAAGACAAAAAGCTAAAAGTAACCAGATACATGGAGGGATAGGCTCAATTCCAAACCACCCCTTACACACTACCCCTACACACTACCCCTCCGTTTGTGCGTTCGAGCGGAGGGTCCGCCACATTAAGTGCTGTTCCAAACCAACGAGTGTGGAGGGATAGTGGGTTATCAAGCCCTCAAACAGCGAGTCTGCATCGGTGCTGACTTCACCAAAACACCGAAACAAGCTGTTAACAAGTAGTTCCAGCAAACATCCACTGATAAACTGCGATGTTAACAACCTCATGATAACCTCATATGTTTTTAACTTAGGATCATACCTGTGTTTAGTCTAGAAAAAGGTAAATGTGTGCATTTTATTATAAAGTTGTGTATATTTACAGACTGTTGCAAAAACTAAGAAGCTTATAAACATCAGGTTTAAAACTAAAAGAGCTTTACAAAAAAGTAACACAATTAAAGATGTTTGGAGTTTTATTTGAGTTATTAATTTTCATTTTTTGTCCAAGAGATGCTGATTTGAAACCGTTGTTACATACAGTTACGGCATTCCCTGTTTCTGCCGGAGAGAGGGGAGGCCGTCCCAAAGCTTGTCGCTGTATTTACTCCCTCCATCTGAAAGGAGGGAGCCTTGTTTATCTGCGAGTGTCACTCCGCCACAGAGTGGGAGTGGGTAGGGTGTGGTTTGGAATTGGGCCTTAGTGATAATCTGCCTGTCGCTCACCTGTGCAGAGAAGGCTTATGGGAGGGCAGCTGGCGTCAGCGCCCCCTGTCGCTGGGCTGAACCCCGCAGGGAGGTCGTCCATCATGTGGTTGGAGTCTGAGCAGGTTCCAAACCACAGATACACATCCACCTTCGCTTGGACTGACAAGCCTGCAACACGCTTCCCTGGAGGCTGCACACATACACAAATGCATTTAGGAGTTTCCTCTGCCAGCCTGCCCACATTGAAAAATATTAAAGGTCCCCTATTATACTGTTTTTCATCAATATATGATAGGTCTCAGATATATACAAAACATGTCTCTGAAGTGTTTGGCTCCAAACACCAAACAGATCATTGCAGCATCCCATAATCCCCTCTGTTTCAGCCCTGTTTCAAAAGTGCTGATTCTCTGTCTGTTACTTTAGATGAAAATAAGGAGCCCCTCCCCACGCCCCTCTGAGAGAGATTTGGTTAAAAAGAACACAATGGTGCTCTAGGAGAAGATTCAGGTGATAAGGGGGGGGCGGGGTTACCTTGGTTGGTGATTGGCTAATGGTTACACAAGCCAACAAATCGTTATGACATCATAAAGTGGCCAAAATCGGATCCGCTCATTTTCAGACAGGTTTTTATAGAAATGGATCAGGACAAAAAGAGAGAGAATCTTTTTTCCTGAAACTTTCAGAGTCTCTTTACACAGAGGGGACACATGTTGATGTATGAAGACAGGAAAAAGTGGATTTTGCATAATAGGTGACTTTTAAGTTTCAAGGTGTGTGTGTGTGTGTGTGTATATGTATGTGTGTGTGTGTGTGTGTGTGTGTGTGTGTGTGTGTGTGTGTGTGTGTGTGTGTGTGTACCTTTAGGAACAGTGTTATGATCTTCCCACAGTGGGTTCCTCGGGCCTCCTGGCTGCTGGAGAACATCAGGTCTCTGGCACGGACCCGAGCATACGCAACACGCTTGTTGTTACTTAACAACCACACAAACATGTCTGGCACAGTGTGCTGGGGCTGTAGATGTGAAGGTGTACACATATGTGTAAGAAAATGTTGGAAATACAAGGTAAATAAAGTGGTTTCTCGTAAACCAATTGTCAGAATGTACATGTAACACACACACAATATACACACACACCTCCTCCACAAGGAAGCGTAGTTTTTGGGTGAGTTTCTTTGCTTTCTGCAACATTTCTTTCACACCACCAGCTTTTCTCTTCCTCTCTCCCAAGGACTGGGCCTCATCCATCATACTCTCCTGAAAAACACACACACACGTTCATTTTCCTTCGTTATTATTATTATTTTTTGCATATGAACAGATGAATGGAAAAAACACTGATGCCATTAAAAGTCTAACATATACTGTAGAGCATTTTTCAAGATCTTACAAAAGAAAATTCTTAGATTTTCCCACCAGTTCCTGTTTGCACATGGTGAGGCGTTTCCTGTCCAGCTGTGTCAGGTAGCTGGACTTCATCTCTGCCTTCAACTTGGCCTGTGCTGTTGTGATGAAACCCCTGCAGATACACAGTTTGAGGGCTTGACTGTCACTTGGGCAAGAGGTACATTGTTAGATACACTTAACAAAATATTTTGTATTCTAGTACTGTAGCTCCCATGTTATTTTGGTTCTCTGTGAATTACCATCCCAATGAAGCTGATCAGCAGCAGGTGGAAGGAGCATTCGGTGACATGTATCATGGAGGTACACGTGACTGTCATCACTCTTACCAATATAAGGTTATAGTCGACTTATAGTTGTGTGTCATAGAGTGCAACATTAGGCAATTTGCAGTGGCGACTGGTCATTAAGGCACAGTGTCAGCAGAAAGTAATTCAAATAATAATTCCAAAAAAATGCAAATAAATGCAAAAAAACCACATCTTAAAATATATTTTAAGATCATGTTTAATCATCTGATTCGTCTGCACATTGCTGTTTTAGTCTGTGTTCTGTGTGTTTGCGTCGCGATGAAAGCAGTTAATAAAATAATATCCAGGGGATGCATGCAGAGATGTCCTTGGCTGAGATAAGTCCGGCCGTGCGTCATGACTCTTTGAAACATCTCTGTTGCCGGAAATGCATCCACGAAGGAGCCGTGGAGGACCGTGGAGGACCCATCAGTGTATCCTCGGTTAGAGCTCCTCCAGCGAGCCTCCTCGACGCTCGATCCTCGAAGTGCATTTAGAGAAATGAGATGTCCTTCAACATGGCGCGCTGAAATTCATTTCCGGGTCACTACCGGAGGACCGAGGAGTCGAGGAGGGGGATTTGATTTGATGAAATGAGAAAGTGTGTGTGTGTGTGTGTGTATGTGTGTGTGTGTGTGTGTGTGTGTATGTGTGTGTGTGTGTGTGTGTGAGTGTGTGTGTGTGTGTGTGTGTGTGTGTGGCGAACTGTGATAATAAGATACATATTTTTGCTCTTTGCAGGTAAGAACGGAAATTGTGTAATTGATGAGTGAATATGTTATGTGTGAGTTTATGATCCCGGTTGGACTTTATGTAGTGCGGAAGTTTATGAAGAGAATTATGCAGAAGATGTGATGCAGCATATTTTTGGTATATTCATTTTAATCTCACCAATATATAAGAGGTGTATTGCATCATGTTATCCCTAAATATATGTGTGGGTATATACATTCCTGTGTATTAATAGTTGAAGGAACAAAATACATTTTTCCTCTTAAATATAGAGAGGTTTTTTATAGATTCCTGAAACAATGTTCCCTTTTTCTTTAAAGTAGATTAGCGCAATAGTCTTTTTCTTTCACTTATACCCTTTTCATCAAAAGGGTGCTTTAGGCTATTTTTGAGGGGTAAAATGCAGAATTACTTGTGAGTTCTGTTTTGAGTGAAAAGATTACCCTTTTGAGTGTTTTTCTTGGTTAACCATTAGATATAGTGGCTAAATTCGTTCTAAGTTAATTATGCGCATCCTGCAGGCCTTGAGAATTTAGTCACACAGTTAAGAGAGACAATGGTCCTTTTAGACTAAGGGTGAGCTTACTTCGGGTGAATAAAAGTTCAGAGATGATTGGGGGGGTATGAAGACAGTTAGGCGTTGTTGGTGAGCTAGTTCTGAGGATGTCATGGGATAATGACTGTTTTATTCCTAACAAGTATGGCTTTCATAAAGAAACACATGACTTGGGTGATAAGATGTGTTTTGTTGTAAAATGGGCCCGTTTGGTTTTCTGCTGGCCAGCGCTGGGTCACTGTGACAAAGTATATTTTGCGTCTGCCAATGAGAGGACCTGAAAAGATGACCAGCTGACCTCACCCCTTCCTTCTGTCTTCTGGTATATCTCCTGTCGATTCCTGACGTTCGGCCTCTCTTCACATGCTGTCAGGACAGAAGGATCTCCGCAGCACGCGAACCAGGGCAGAAGTGGGCCGGCTACTTCTTAAAACATTACAATATGATTTTAGTATATTGTATTATATGGTATTGTAATGTATTATAGTGCATTGCATTATTACCTTTGATAATTAAAACAGATTGTTTAAACTGGTATCTGGGTGTTCTCTGTCTGATTTCCTTCCTGTTATGATTTTAAGCAGGACTCGTCAAAACGACACGCGGAGCCGAGTGGGGTTATAAAAACCTCAAAACTCCAACAGTAGTAGTGTTTATGAACGTTACTTGTTCAGCAAACGTAACGTATTGAAAATGGCTAGCCAGTAGTTAGCACTGGTGGCCTAGTTAGCTTGAGCGAGCGTGAGGCGGGAGAGTAGAACTATGAGCCGGTCTAAAGAGCCCGGACTGCTCGTGTATAGTTAATAGATAAATAAATAAATAAGTTAAAAGAGATACCAATTGATTTGGTTAATGTGACAATATTCGGTAGACATGATTATTGTTTGGATGTTGATGCAGATGTTCATTATGTTTCTGTGTTAGGATAGTGAATACGTTCAGAGAACGTAAACACAGACTTGAGTGAAGTCACGGTGTGTGTGTGTGTGTGTGTGTGTGTGTGTGTGTGTGTGTGTGTGTGTGTGTGTGTGTGTGTGTGTGGCGAACTGTGATAATAAGATACATATTTTTGCTCTTTGCAGAACAAAATAAAAGACTTTCAAATGAAATGTGTAGTGGAGTGCTACTTCACTCTGTACCACGCTACATCTACACAGTGTGCCTATTGAGTGACGTGGGTCAAGCCCCGATCTAGCCCCTCTCTCTCACTGTCTAAGTCAGGGATGGGCAAATGGCGGCCCGCGGGCCGCATGCGGCCCCCACCTCCTCTTTTTGCGGCCCTCAGATTAATTTATAAACAACGTAATTTTTTTAATTACTTGTAGTACTGATACCGTCCACTAGACTCCTAGTTACGTCGCGAGCTGCGTAGATGATTTCAAATACCGCAAACATAATCTGTGACGCATTTGTGTGTATTGTGTTTGTTTCCCGGGGAAACCCTCACAAGAAACACCGGCTGTTGTTATGCCTGCTGTGACGTTAAGTTGCCTCTTGTAATTATGCTTAAATATTAACAAGCTTAAAAGTTGTTTTATAAGTTTAATATTCTTAAAACCAAGACTTTGTTTATTTGAAATCAGATGAAAACAAACTGTCACGGACCCTGCCGTGTTATCTATGATTACTACGCTTTTCATTCATAATTTCAGCCGGAGTGGTGCTGAGGAACAGCAGAGTGCAGGCTGACAGGTGTCTGTGTTGACATTCCCCTTATTGTGGAATAAGGGGAATGCAGAGACTGGCTACAAGTGTCTTAGGTTCAAGTTAGACAAGTAATGTCTGGGTTAGTGTTCATGAGTTCATGTGTATGTCATCTAATGGTTAATCTCAATACACACACATTTTCCGTGCTTTCCAATAGTTTAAAATAGTTTTATTCCACTGTTCAATACAAACATGCCACTTGTAAAAATGAAATAACATTTCTGTGAACTGATATTTGTTTAGTGAGCTTATTAGAGGATGTTCCCATTTTTGGGGGATGTTCCCTTTGATTGTAAAATGTCAATGAAGATGTCAGACTTTGTATATTTGTTAATAATTACATACAACACATGGAATTTGTGTGTGTGTGTGTTCCAAGTGAATCTGTGGCCCCCTGGTGGCCAGTACATCAATGATGTGGCCCCCACCACCATCAAAGTTGCCCATCCCTGGTCTAAGTGAATGGGTGCTGTAAAAACTACACTGAGCATGCTCAGAGTATTTTCCTATTCAATGTGTGCCAAAAAATAATCACCATAGGGGCACGGTGCTGACTTACCTACCAAACGTCATCTCATAATTCAGAGAGCTGATTGGCTGTAAGTACGTGTGCCGCGAAAATAGTAGCTGTTTCTGAAGAGTAATCAGTAAAACGGAAAGAAAATGAATGAAGTTGACCATCTACTTCAGCTTTGGTAAGTTCATTTTATGTCATATCTTTTGTTGATCTTCTGTGTTTTGCCTATAGGCTATTGCTCTGCTGGATTGATTGATATTGTGACCTCGGTGATGACGAGTGTCTGTGTTCCCCCCCCTATCGGAACCATGGATAGCCTACAGCTATTTGTTTACGTGTTTAAAAAAGCACCAGAAGCTTATATATACACTTCTAAGTTGTTCGTGCCCCTCCACTTTTGTACATATAAAAACATCACTGGCAATTTGTAATACATGATCGCCTGACAAGGGTTATATGAGCTGACTGCAATCATTTAGTCATCTTCTGGGCACAATAAATAAAATATATTTCTGTCCTTGTTCAGCTGCTATTTTAATGTAGGCTATAAATCAGTAATATACTTTCTCACAATGAAGCAATGAGCTGGGTGTCCATGATAGAAGTCATGCATCTACAAACATCCAGCTTTAATTGGCTGTACTGCGATACAAATACATTTCTAAAAATGAATATGAAGTTATAGATTGTTCATGTTTATGAATTGTCTTCCATGTTTTAGATTGTGTAACCTGCCTGCCTTGTGTTACCTACCTGGCGTCCATGCAGAATTCTTTGAGTATGGTTCGAAGCAAAAGCTCTGTTCCTGGGTCAGACTTCCTGTGCAGCTCTGCTACAGTGGCCACACCCTCTTCCTAAGAGAAAATAAAAGCATTTGAACTCGTTATTTCAGTGATTTTTCACTTTAACTACATAAATTCACTGTTATATTTTGTATATTTTTTACATTTATGAAATCACAATAATGTGTCAGTTGTCGCAACAATGTTTTATAATCCTCTTGAACCATTGTAAGGATTTTACAAATTCCCATAATTTGGCAATATTAGTATGCGTGTGTGTGTGTGTGTGTGTGTGTGTGTGTGTGTGTGTGTGTGTGTGTGTGTGTGTGTGTGTGTGTGTGTGTGTATATACATACAAACAGAACAGCTATATTCTCCAGCTGGTTAGAGTTGTGGAGTCGGTAGGTTCTGTTCTCCCAGTGACTCAGCAAAGTAATGCACGGCTTCTGCTTCTCCATGGGAAGATACATGAAGAATCTAAATGTGAACACATACATGAGAAATGAATTGTGAGTAACATTCTGTTTTTAGACTTCTCTGTTTCAGTGTGTGTACTCTGTATGAATGCTCTGTAGTTGATCTGATTGAAATTGTGATTTTAATCTAAAAACCGCTACATTATCTGTCAGGCAGAAACTTGGGACAATTATTTAGTATTCAACATTTGTAGAATACTAAGAGCTTTATTGAGTAGGGGTAACTGTATTAAGGGTTAAACTCATATCTTTATAACTTAGGGTTTAATGTAAACTATTGTGCCAGTAAAAAGTTTCATTAACAACTCAGGAGTGAGCCAGTTTCAATTTCCTATTGAGGCCCATCAGCTGCAGAGAGTTAACTAATTAAAGGGGCGTGGCCCCACAGCTGTGACAACTCAGCAATTAGGTGTCCATTTTAGGTAGCACTTTCCTGGAGCGGCAGACTATGGAGTCACGAGGGAGGCAAAGATGAGGTAAATCCTACTTTAAATGAGCTAAGTATCGTTGGTGTTTTTATCCACTCTTGCTAAAAACATGTGTATATTCTCCATTCCTGTTCATGTGTCTTCTCGCAATTATTACTGTCCCCGTGCATCTCCTAATCGTTATAACCGGCCTGCTCTCGTCTATCCCACATGCTCCACTGAGATCCAACATCTAGTTTCAGGGGGCCTGTGGAACTGCCAGTCAGCTGTTCCTAAGGCTGACTTCATCTCTGGCTACGCTTCCCTGCAGTCCCTGGATTTCCTTGCTCTCACTGAGACCTGGATTACACCATCCAACACATCCACCCCAGCAGCTCTCTCCACAGCATATTCCTTCACCCATACACCCAGACCCACTGGCAGAGGAGGTGGCACTGGTCTCCTGCTCTCTCCCAAATGGAGCTTTTCCCTCAACCAACTACCTAACTTCACTCCGTCCACCTTTGAATTCCATGCCATCACAGTAACCCATCCTATACAATTAACCATTGTTGTTCTCTACCGTCCACCAGGTGCCTTGGGGGACTTCTTGGAGGAATTAGATAATCTCCTCTCACACATCCCTGAAACTGGCCCTCCCACTGTACTTCTCGGAGACTTCAACCTCCAGACAGGGAAGACATCTGAACTAACATCTCTTTTAACCGCCTTTGCTTTCTCACTGTCTCCATCCCCACCAACTCATAAAGCTGGCAATGTCCTTGATCTCATATTCTCAAGGAACTGCACTACTTCTAACCTCTCTGTAAACCCGCTCCACACATCCGATCACTTCTTCATTTCATTCTCTCTACCCCTTTCCAAATATAACAAACTAATCTCTTCTCATCCTGCACCTGTCCGCCGCAACCTTCGTTCCCTCTCCCCCTCTCCCCCTCTCCCCCTCTACCCTTGCCTCATCGGTGCTCTCAGCCCTCCCTTCCTCTGACTCGTTCCAACTCCTGCCTCCAAACTCTGCTGCAGAAACTCTCCTCTCTACTCTCTCATCCTCTCTGGACTCTCTCTGTCCTCTCACATCTCGGCAGGCTCGTCAGTCCCCTCTTGCTCCCTGGCTAAATGACGCACTGCGTGCTAATAGAACCATCCTTCGGGCAGCTGAGCGGAAATGGTGGAAATCCAAACACCCTGACGACCTCCTAACCTATCAGGTTCTCCTCTCCTCTTTCTCTGCTTCGATCTCTCAGGCAAAAAGCACTTTCTTTCAAGATAAGATCCAATCTTCCTATTCCAATCCCAAAAAACTATTTTCTATCTTCTCCACCCTCCTAAAAAAAAGGTTGATATTCGCTCTTCTTTTTCCGACTCACCATTACTCACCGCTGGGTCACCAGACCCCCCTTTCACCCACACACTAACCTCCTTTTCCCCTCTCTCTCCAAGTGAGGTTCTTACCCTCATTACCTCTGCCAGGAGGTCAGGAGGGTATCCCCTCAAACCTCCTTCAGACTATCGCTCCTGATATTCAACCGTTTCTCACCCATTTCATCAACACTTCTCTAACTTCTGGTCACTTTCCAAACAGTCTCAAGGAGGCAAGAGTAAACCCTCTCCTAAAGAAACCCACTCTCAACCCGTCCGATGTTATAAACTACAGGCCTGTCTCTCTCCTCCCGTTCCTGTCTAAAACACTTGAACGCGCTGTCTTTAAACAACTGTCCTGTTATCTCCATCAGAACAACCTTCTTGATCCGCACCTGTCTGGTTTCAAGGCAGGTCACTCCACAGAAACTGCTCTCCTTGCTGTCTCTGAGGAACTGCACACTGCTAAAGCAGCCTCTCTCTCCTCTCATCATCCTTTTGAACCTGTCTGCTGCATTCGCCACGGTGAACCATCAGATCCTCCTTCGCACTCTCCAAGAACTTGGAGTTTCAGGCTCTGCATTATACCTCAAAGACCATACCTACAGGGTAACTTGGAGAGGGTCCGAGTCCGACCCATGTCAATTAACTACAGGGGTCCCTCAGGGCTCTGTCCTTGGTCCCCTCCGCTTCTCTCTGTACACAAACTAGCTCGGATCGGTCATTAGCCCGCATGGCTTTTCATACCACTGCTACACTGATGACACCCAACTAATTCTGTATTTTCCCCGCTCAGAGACCCAGGTCGTCGCACGCATCTCTGCTTTTCTCTCAGTGGATGTCTGCTCACCACCTCAAGCTCAACCTTGACAAGACTGAACTGCTTTTTCTTCCGGGAAAAGAGTGTCCCACTCTTGACCTAACAATCAACATCGGCCCCTCTGTTGTTTCCCCGACTCAGACTGCAAGGAATCTGGGTGTGACCCTAGATAACAAACTGTCCTTCACTGCAAACATCGCTGCTACAACCCACTGCTGCAGATGCACGCTTTACAACATCAGGAGGATACGTCCCCTCCTGACCCAGAAAGCGACGCAACTTCTGGTCCAGGCTCTCGTCATCTCATGCCTCGACTACTGCTACTCCCTCCTGGCTGGTCTACCTGCATGTGCCATCCGACCTCTGCAGCTCATCCAGAATGCAGCGGCTTCCTAAATTCTCCCACACCACTCCGCTCCTCCGCTCCCTTCACTGGCTTCCGGTAACTGCTAGAATCCACTTCAAGACAATGGTACTTGCGTACCATGCTGTGAATGGATCTGGCCCTTCCTACATCCAGGACATGGTTAAACCATATACCCCAGCACGTGCACTCCGCTCTGCATCAGCCAAACAGCTCGCTGCACCCCCACTGCGAGGGGGACCCAAGTTCCCATAAGCAAAAACACGTGGGTTTGCTATCCTGGCTCCAAAATGGTGGAATGAGCTCCCCATTGAAATCAGGACAGCAGAAAGCATACACATCTTCCGGCGCAGACTAAAAACTAATCTCTTTCGACTCCACTTCGAGCGATAGAATTACTAACAAAGCACTTGTATACTAATAAAGGGCTGGCTTATCTAAAGCCAGTTGAGTAGCACTTGAAATGTTTTGGCTCTATGAAACCTGATGTACTTATATGATTCTGTTTTCTTCAAGTTTGTATCTTCTTGGTCGAATGCACTTATTGTAAGTCGCTTTGGATAAAAGCGTCAGCTAAATGCAATGTAATGTCATGAGAAATGAAAGAAGAGCAATATTTTGTAAAATAAGAAAATGATCCTCCTTACAGGAGCTGAAAAAGAGACTGATATTAAACTATTAAACATCTAGAAATACTTAATATAAAGTGCTTACCCACTCAAGGAAGTTTTCATTAAAGCAATGGACTCCAAAGATTCGTGTAAACTTACTTGATATTTAATGTATTATTAGGCTGTTTTTCCACAGTAGCAACTTTTTCTGCTGAAGTGACATGTACATCGCCTAGCTTTTAAGGACATATTTGTATGTGCAAACACAGATGCAATACAATGTACATCACACACACTGTTAGCACATATTTCCAGGCTCATCATAGTGTCAATAGTGAAACAACAGAGCGACTCAACTTGTTTCCTTCAACGATGCACGGTTTTTGTGGAGGCGTGGTGGACTTAGAGACCAGGGGGGGTCCTGCTGTTCGGCTAGGAGGGGGGTGGAAGTGGAGGAAGAGGACATCCTGGTGGGAGAGCTACCCAACGTGTCGCTGCTGTCGGGGACTTCCAGCGGCCTCCTCCGACTGGGAGAGGGACTGGGAGCAGGGAGGGGGGCGCCTGTAGGCTCCAGGACGTTACCGTAGTTACCTTAGGAGGCAAGGCAAGTTTATTTATATAGCACCTTTCAACACAAGGCAATTCAAAGTGCTTTATAAAAATGTACAGCGCAGTGTGAGATACACACATCTGAAATGTTTAGGTCTGACTCTCAATCATTGCTAACTTTTTAGCAGAAATAGTTTTCTTTGACCTCACTTTCTTTCTCTTTTTTAGTTATTTCAAGTGTTTCCAACCCAGTCTCACAAAAAAACGTGTAATAACTACGTTGGTCCACAACGTAGGACGTAGTATTTCTACAAAAACGCCTCTGAAATTGTAAGATCCCTACGTTTTTTTTCACCATTCATTTCCAATGGCTGGCGTCTATGTCACGTGATCTTCAAATTTCTCCCTGCAGAAAAAAAAAACATGGCCGAACTTAGTTTTATTCTCGGTGTAAAATGCCTATTTTAAAGTTAGTTTGGCCATTAAAATGCGTTTTGATGTCATTTGATGCGAGAAATATGAGTTGTTATTTCAGATTATGTGTGCAGTGGATGCACATGATCTTAAGTTTGCTAATTATTACTAAGATTACTTCAGGAAATTGTGTCTATACAACGTTTTCATTGTCACCAAGGTGGTTGCTAGGGATGCTGCTATCGATATTATTTCTGTTATGTTGTGTAACTGTTTAATGGTGTAATCTTTATTGCTACCCCCTTCCCCGTCAATGTATAGTGTTGGTCCAAAGCGCAAACGTATTCGTTTAACAAAATCCGCATCTAAAATTGTGGCATATACGTTATTTTCCCCTGTGCAATTCTCCATTTACTCAACAATAACACATACATTAATTATCCTTGTGTTTATTTATTTGTTTGATTAATAAACACAAGTTGGAGTCCGTCAGGACCGAGGGTCGGAGCAGCTCATTTGCTTTACAGAATATTACACCCGGAAGTAAGTATTCTCTCCGCTTCGCTTGACAAACCCCGTGATAGTCCTCAAGCTCTGTGATTGGAGAGTTTGCCGAGCGTCGAACAGCACTTGGAATGGGATGGAACCACGGCAGACTGTCCAAAACTGGATTTGAACGGGTCCACCCCGACACAATTTCCTGAAGTAATCTTCGTAATAACTAGCAAACTAAAGATCATGTGCATCCACTGCACACATAATCTGAAATAACAACTCATATTTCTCGCATCAAATGACATCAAAACGCATTTTAATGGCCAAACTAACTTTAAAATAGGCATTTTACACCGAGAATAAAACGAAGTTCGGTCATTTTTTTTTTCTGCAGGGAGAAATGTGAAGATCACGTGACATAGACGCCAGCCATTGGAATGAATGGTGAAAAAAACGTAGGGATCTTACAATTTCAGAGGCGTTTTTGTAGAAATACTACGTCCTACGTTGTGGACCAACGTAGTTATTACACGTTTTTTTATGAGACTGGGTTGGTGTTTCATAATAAACGAACCCCCCTTTTGACAATTCTAATCTGCAACCCAATATTCAGAAAATTCAAAGGATCCTGGCCATATTTGTGTAACATATAAATTAATTTGCTTCCAGACATTCATGTGGCTTGCTAGTTTTGGATCCCATCTGGAGGGGCAAAAGAAAGAGAGGGTTTCTTTCACCAGCAGTGGAGGAAAGTAAATAATTACATTTACATAACTACTTTTACTTATGATATTGTACTTTTTACTTTACTATATGATAATTTTAGTAACTTCTATCCAGATTCACCAAAACCATAGCGATGTTGTTATGTGAGGGTAGAACATCATGTCAATAAGCATTCACAAACTTTATCATGCATGGTGAATACAATAAGGGGTCAATAATCTAATGTAATTATGCTCATATATGATTAAGTTACATTTGAAATGCTTTTGTACACAACGGCATTTCTGCTTTTACTAGTGAAAGGCTTCTTCCATATCTCAAGAAAACAGTGTAATTAATTAGTTTTCGGATTAGGTTTTCTATGGCTTTACTTTTGACCTACAAAACACTTTGTTTGTAAGCTGACAAACAATACAATATTTATTGTAATCAAGGGTACAGGGTTTTACCAACTAACAGAAACATTTCAAACACCTTACATTTCAGTCAAAAACTAAAGAGAAATATAAGAAATAACCCAAGAATTGTATTAGCACCTGATAAAGTGCACATTGTTAGCTCCTAACACAGCACTGATTGTTATGTGATTATATTTGATGAGTGAAGTGTGTCCATCAGTAATAATGGGAAAGGAGTGAGACTCACCCAGGGAGAACTCAAAGTTGATGGCCCTGTCTCCGATCCTCCTGTCGATCAAGGTGGCTTCAAGCAACGCCCCGAACAAAAAAAAGCTCTCGTTGTTGTGATCATCCGGCTGGACACAGAAACATCTCTGTTTATTCATTTATCTGTTTGTCAAATTCCCTTTCTGTGTCATATTGAGGCACTCTGTCAAAATGAAATCTTCCATTGCGGATTATACTTGGTGGATTTATTAATCATATATTTTAAGAGGCTAAAACTATCGGTGTCTCTTCAGATGAAGATTGAGGAGAAATGTATTTTTAGCATATCTAGCATATCTATGGGATTTTATATAGTGATGTCACTATGTTACAGACGTAAACAAAGGAGTCCAATGGAGGAGTTTCAGGCAGGGGGGTGGGGGGGAGAGAAACTTCCTCTAGAGAGAACTTTTACATGTTTGCCTTTGCAGACCATCTCCATGCACAAAAACATATATAACACACTACAGGAAACTCAGAAAAGCACAATAGGGCTCCTTTTAAAATCTCTACTCAATAGATGTGGTATTATTTGCCTTCTACCAAATCAATCTCATCAAAAAAGGGCCTGTCTACATAAAAAAACGTCATCTGTGGAAGCCGTAGTACTGTAAAAAGCACAACCAATCATTTGAGCCGGCCCGGCTAAAGTAACTGGATGGCCTACCTGCCTGTCAGCCTCCATCTGTGCACAAACTTATCTCGTGCCCTCATTGCTCATGTGCACGTTCGTGTGTGTTGGAGGAGGGGCTCTGTAAGGAAGTGGCAGATTGTTTCCGGCTGTGTATTTTCAAATTCTAGCGCACTCGAGCTGGTTTCTCCAAAATTACCTACCCCACCTTTAATAAATTGCTGAATCACGGTTCTATGTAGGGCAACATTTATGATTTGATTGAAAGAAAAGCTCTTACAACAGGAGGAGGTTCCACAGGCAGAACCTCTGCAGCCGCAGCTTTTCCTTTGTCATCTTCAGCTCCTCCTGCTGCTGCTGCTGCTCCTCCTGCAGGAGTTTTACCATCTTTCCCTCCTGCTTTTCCTGCTTTAGCGTCCTTCTTGACCATCTTGCTGAGTTTGGACTCGGGCCCTGTCCCTCCTGATAGGATCTCCACGGTGAGCTCCATGTAGACCCGACCCCTGACAGCAGCAATAATCGAACAGTTTGGTAAGTGGTACGTTAATTATAAATACATCAATTATCCCCATCATTTGATTTATTTAAGATTGACCTGTAGGACACGCCTTCTCCGATGCCCTCATTAAGCTCCACTGTGTCATCTCCTATCGAATAATTTCGGGCAGAGCCGTACAGGTTGATCCAAGCAGGACCAAAAGTTGGTAAAAACCCTGAAAAAAAAGAGAGAATAAAATAAAGAGAGACAAACAAAAGTCACCTTAATCCCACCAACAATTCCCACTTCTGGATTAGTGCACTTTCCTCACTCCCCTCTAACTAATGTCAACTTCTCCTGAACTTTTTCTCCTTTTCTTCCTACCTTTCTTTCTTTCTTTCATGAATTTAAACTTGCTCTCTTCCTCTCTCCTCACCTCTGTCACCATCCTGTTCATTAGAGATGCGTCTCAGGTCAAAGTAGTGTGTTCCTATGGTAACATCGCTCATGCTCCCCTCATCCCAGACCTGTGAGCAGAGAGAAGTCAGCATCCTGTCATGTTTATACTTGTGAATAATGTAGTTGTACATTTAAATATAAGTGTAAATAGAGGTGATATGTCAGTATTCCCCCCATCTAGAAATTAAAGCTCACACCTGGATCTTCAGTCTCTGACACAGAGGGGGGAACATCTCTGTGAAGACGATCTGCTCGTTCCACACCGGGTCTGCTGTTGACTTCTGAGTGGATGTGCGACCCTGAGAGACAAGGAAGAAAGTACATGTATGATCTGTATTATAGTGCTCAACAGAAACCAGTGTCTTTTGAAGGATACATTAGCAATTTACAGTGATAAGGGCTAGCCCTAAAATATATTTAAAAAAGTTTACAACCTTTTTTGTAAAAATAAAATATACTCAAAAAATCCTTTTCAGTCAAGCAGTCTGATTTATCTAGAAGTTGAATTGCACTTAAAGGTCCCCTATTATTAGGGATGGGTATCGTTAAGGTTTTAACGGTAGCCTACTACTTTTATCGATACCGCTTATCGGTCTGGTCTTTTAACGGTACTTTTATCGGTTCTTTTGGAGAGAAAAAACGAGGTAAACTAACTATATGTTGTATGTCAGGGACTAAGAATGGAAATTAGCTCAAAGATAAAATCCGGCATATTTACACTTGAAGCATTATTTGTCTAAAGTGTTCATTAATGTGCATTGTCCCTATTCAAATAAACGATTACATGAAAAAGGAAAATAAACAAATTGTGAACAAAACTAACATTGCTTTTTATTTAAATTAAATAAATAATATTTCACATCAAAAGAAAGTGTTTTAACAAATCGTATTATAATCTGATGACAGAATTGTAAACAGAATAGCTGAAACTTTAACAAAATAAATAGCTCTGTTACCTCTAATCATTAACCCATGTTTGTATAATGTAGTTAACTCCGTGTGTTGCTGCTAGCATACATAACACCTGACGTGGAAACGTTACTCGTGGATGGAGCTACAGAGCTGCTAGAAAGACAGTCGAACCCGGTACATTCCTCCGTCTGAATGTGGTGCACTTTTGCTAAATGTTTAGACAAATTACTCGTGTTACCGCCCTTACATGCTAAACTCTTAATGCACTTTTGGTAACGAGCATGATCCACATCGAGACGGGTAAAGTTTAACCACACCTCGGAGCGCGTTCTCTCCGCCATCTCCTCCGTGTGTGTGCTGCTGCATGTAGCAGCTGCGTGTGTGTAAACTGCCCCGTCCCCTCGCAAGCAGGCGGGGAGAGAGATCGAAAATACTAAAAATGACGCATTTTGCAGTCTTTTTGCGTATTAGAAACGGAGTTGGCGACACTAAAACGGCAATATAATGTTTGTGTAGCAATAATACACATGACATATTTTTTAAATGTCTCCAGTACCGATAAAAAGACAGATAACGTCGGAGCTTAACGGTACCACGGTCTTTAATAATTCAGCCCCGGGGCCCGTTTAATACCGGGGCTCGGTACCCATCCCTACCTATTATACAGTTTTTCATCAATATATTATAGGTCTCAGATACAGAACATGTCTCTGAAGTGTTTGGCTCCAAGCACCAAACAGATCATTGCAGCATCCCATAATCCCCTCTGTTTCAGCCCTGTTTCAAAAGTGCTGATTCTCTGTCTGTTACTTTAGATGAAAATAAAGAGCCCCTCCCTACGCCCCTCTGAGAGATATTTGGTAAAAAAGAACACAATGGTGCTCTAGGAGGAGATTCAGGTGATAAGGTGTGTGTGTGTGGGGGGGGGTTACCTTGGTTGCTGATTGGCTAATGGTTACACAACCAAAAAAATCGTTATGACATCATAAAGTGGCCAAAATCTGATCAGCTCATTTTCAGACAGGTTTTTGCAACAAGTCCTCCAACTCATACGACCAAATAGGTCGATTGTTTAAGCACCTTAGATTACGACCCATAGCCACGTTTTAAAGTGTAGCACCTCTAGTGGTCGTGAAAGAAACAACATGCTCCCGTTTATTCACAAATAACCCTCTCTGTAAAATCCTAAATTGTAGGATAGTTTGGCCATTAAAACGCTTTTTGATTCGATTTCTAGCGAGAAGTGTATATTGTACTTTTAGAATCCACGTCCAGTCGATATGTAGGATATATAGTTTGATAGATCTTACGAAGATGATTTGAGGTATGCGGCAGCCTCCATGTAAAGTTATGGGTTGAAAACAGTATTTCCGGTCTCGACGTTTTCAAAATAAAACCAATGATGAAATGAACATTTAATATTCATTACTAAAGGTACAGCCGAATCATCACAGCGCACAAAACCTATTACCGCCGCAGATGGACCAATAAAGGGAGCGTTTGGAAAAAAAGGGGGCGGGTCCGCTCAGTGAAACGATAACAACGAAACATGGAGGAACAGAAGTCTGCGTTTAAATCGTGTGTGTGTGTGTGGAGGTGTGTGTGGTTAAAACACATCAGCCTGCGGTCGCTCTTAGCCTTTCTAATGATTCTGAAGGTAAACACAGTGAAGGCACTGCAAGCTCCTCTTCTCAGAGGCTGAGTTAACCCTCCCGCTGCCTCCTGGCGCTGCAGAGATTTCATGAAGTGAAGGAGGTTTTCCTTCTATAAAACAGCTGTGAGTAGCAGATACTGTGAGTGTCACAGACATGAATACATAGATCAAGGCAGACTGGTGCACACACTCTCCTGTTTTGCCAATCCGGTGGTTAAACAAATATAGCTCAACACCCCTGGCCGAAATGTCCTTAAAATGAAGTCCGAGTTCGACATTTTAATTAATTCATTGCCTTTCCAACTCCTCATGCAGTTGACTGTTACAGGTCTATACAGGTTCATGGTACAATGCATAAGCTTCAAATCGAGAGACTGAAACTGTATTTTCCTTTACCGTTCTGTTTTAATTTCACAATAAAGTTAATAGTCATATTATGTTTGATATTATGTTTTATTAACTACACCACCGGTTTTTTAAACCCACGCCGCCTAGTGGTTAAAGCACGTTATTGAATTTTGTTGTTGAATAAGTTTTATTTGATGAAAACATTTAAATATTAAGAGTAGCCTACATACAAAATTGAAAATATCAAGAAGATACTGTAGTGATCTCTACAATAAAACAGCTTAGTGCAGGACGTCCAAAGATATTAACAGGAGGATGTGCAAAACAGACCAACTAGGCTTTATTTAAACATTAAAGATTACTTTAAGTTAAGGTCTTCTTTTGAATAAGAAAAAAACGTTGGGGTTATCCACAGATAAATATGAAGTCTGACAAAGTACTTAACGTCCAATATATTGCATAGTTTATTTTGGCACTTGACAATCACCTTCCCTGAATTTGACTCAGGTGTAACTAAAGTCTGATTTAAGGGTTGTTTATATTTCACATCATTAATCAGAATCTGCAAAGTAACTAAAATAAATGTAGTGGAGTAAAAATACCAGGTTAACCTTTGAATTGTAGTGAAGTAGAACAAAGTAGTACATGCTGCTGTAACAAAAACATTTCCCAACTTGGGATCAATAAAGTATATCTTATCTTATCTTAAGATGATCGATGGCTACTGCCATATTTGCAAAATGTGCCTCTGAACCTTGACAAGTGCATGTTTCAGGCTTATCAATGAACAACAGGAGGGGTCACAGACATAAGACCAGCTGTTAAACAAAGCTCTTCTGACCTTAGGTGTCATGTGGGTATATTAATTCACCCATTTATTAATTATATGTTTTACATTTGATAACACCACTGTGTTTCGTATTCCCTAAACCTCCAGGGTGTACACAGTTTAATACTGGCAACTTCTAATTGTGGGAAATACGAAAATGTCTTATAAAGAGACGTGCCACAGAACATGTTGCGAAACACACAATAGCCAGCATGTGTAGTTCTGGAAAGTCTGCCGTGGTTCCATTCCATTTCAAAGAGCTGTTGACGCTCAGCGTAACCTTGTCGCATTGCCACTCCAACATCCAATCACAGGGCTTGATGACTAATCACGGGGTTTGTAAAGCAAGGCGGATGTTGTAGTCCCAAACGATAACTGGGGATTATGGGTAGTGTAGTGTCTTCGGAAACTGTAGTCTAAACTCCTAAAAAACTATTTGTTTCTCTGAATCGAAGGTTAAAAACACAAAAGCATTGTACACAATTTAAACCAATCGATATTGTGTAATTAACAAGGATAAACTGATGTTTTTTAGTGGATGAGTAATGCAGATATCACTGTGTAATCATTTGACAGTGAGGGGAATATATCCGGTTTTATTATTAAAACTTCGAGACCGGAAATACTGTTTTCACCCACGCTAACTTTACATGGAAGCTGCCCCATATACACGTTATCCTGGCGAGACCTCAAATCATCTTCGTAATATCTATCAAACTATAGACCTACACATCCACTGGACATGGATTCTAAAAGTACAATATACACTTCTCGCTAGAAATCTAATCAAAAAGCATTTTAATGGCTAACCTATTCCACAATTTAGGATTTTCCAGAGAGGGTTATTTGTGAATAAACGGGAGCATGTTGTTTCTTACACGACCACTAGAGGTGCTACACTTTAAAACGTGGCTATGGGTCGTAATCTAAGGCAGTGTGCGAAAAAGTACACGTCCCACCGTCCGGGACGTGTTATTTACAATATCGGACAAGTAGATCTTTCAATTGACTTGTCCGGTGGACAAGTGACGTTTTTCGCCCTGATTTATTGACAAATTATTGATATATTCAGTTTACAAAAGGCAGAACTCATTCGCAAATTGTACGTGTCCGCCATTGTTCGTTTAGAAATGTTAGGAATCAACAAGCAGAACCGAAACTAAGGAAATGCATCTCGCCGCTTTCTGTACAGTTAGACGGAGCGGGAAGTGTAGCACAGTGGCAGGGTTGGGAAGCAAAACTCGGTTCCGAGTAGGAACAAATAACAATTGTCCGGTACCGGGATTAATAAGAGTTGTGAGGACAGGACGCGAGGCCGAGCCCCGCGGACCGCAGCTCTCTCTCTCTATGCTCCGTATCAGCTGATCGCTGCACGGTGCAGCTCAGCGTCTCTCTCTCTTTCTTTCTACACACAGCAGATCCGCTGCCCGTTTAACAGCCTCATCTTTGTCAAACTTTCTTTCTCTAACACGTAATGAAGGTTATTAATCGTTTTAGCTGCTATGTTGTTAATATTGACCGCCATTTCCTTTATGAAGTGAAGCAGCCTCCCTGTCTGTGTCCTCGCGCTGTCCTCACATCCCCGGACCCCCAGACTCAGAGGAGCACAGGGATGTCAGTATTGTTTATGAAGCAGGGTATAGAAAGTAGCTACATTATTGAAATGAAAATACTATTTATTTACTTTTACAAACAGTGAGCAGCTGGGCAGCTGCAGCATGTGTAAATAAATGCGTGCAAGCGTCTTTGAGTTGTAGAAAAGCGCTAGGCCTATAGGCTATAAATATAATGTATCATTATTATTATTAGGCCTATGTGTTGGACATGTGTGCTTGGACTCTGTCTCACAGGCAGGTTGCAGTGTAACATCAGAGGAGACTGGGCCAATTGTACATTCTCAAACTGCACCGCTTAGAACTAACTAAACAATGCAGAGATTATTTTTATATAATTGTATTCAATAACCGTAACGAAATTCAACAGTATGAAGTGATTTGTAAATAGGAATACAGATTTGACTTAATGTTTTCATAAATATATTTTTCTCCCAGTTTGTCATAGGACTTATTTTGACCCTCTCAAAGAACCGGAATCGAAAAGCAGAACCGGAATCGTTAAAATCCAAACGATACCCAACCCATTGTGTGATACAGTAAAATCTTACCGCTCACTTACGTTAGCGGTGTCATAAAAACCGTGGGAAAATGTAAAATACGATGGCGAAGAAGAAGATTCCAGTGGCCCCAATTTTTGTCCATTCTGGACAAGTGAAAAATGTATTCGGACAAGTAAATTGCCAAACTCACTTGTCCATGGACAAGTACTCTCTAAAAACTTTTTCTCACACTGTAAGGTGATTAAACAATCGACCTATTTGGTCGTTTCTTGTAGGAGGACAGGCTGGGTTTTTATATAAATGGATCAGGACAAAAAGAGAGAATCTTTTTTCATGAAACTTTCAGAATCTCTTTCCACATCCACATGTTGATGTAGAAGAGACATGAAAAAGTGGATTTTGCACAATAGGTGACCTTTAAAGCTGATATGAGCTTCAGAATAGCTTTCTATTTAGTTTTTGGAAAAATCAAAAATAAAGGCATTTTTGAACCCACCACTCTTTTGAAGAAGCTGACCACTACATATGGGTCGATGAGTGCTGTGTTGTCTCCTATGAAGGCCTTGGTGACGTTGGCCATGATGCTGGAGTTGTTCCTTGGAAGGCCTTCAGCTCGATAAACCTTCACAGAGAATCTAGCCCACGGTCGCTCAGAGGGGAAGCCTTCTGGTATCAGCAGGTTCCTGAGGTAAAGACAGAGATGGCAAAAGTACACACATCCTTTACTCGAGTAGAAGTACAGATACTCGTGTTTAAAAATACTCTGGTGAAAGTAAAAGTACTGCCTTAACTTATTTTCTCAAGTAAAAGTAAAGAGGCTTTGAAATGTACTTCAGTTAAAAGTACCCATAACTAGCAGCTGCTTTAAAGAGTACCTGACCTCCCTTTATATTAATAGAACAATAATGTAATTGTTAGCTAATAAATGTTTCCATGCTGAACAACGGCAACATGACAACGTTTTCATTGGTCCCTCTTCTTTAGAGAAGACCAGGAAATGATGGATACACAGATCGTGTTCAAATCAATAGGCACGCAATGACTAAAGAATAATGATCACGCCACCAAACACACATTCAGACTAAAGTAACCAGCCTGTTTTGAAAATGTAAGAAGTAGAAAGTACAGGTATTTGGGTTGAAAATGTAAGAAGTAAAAGTAAAAAGTAATCAGAAAAATAAGTAGTGGAGTAAAATACTGATACCAGAAACATGTACAGTGACGAAGTTTTTGTACTACACTAATTCCCACCTCTGGGTAAAGAGTTATGATTATTCAAATGTTTTCTAAAAGATAGAACAGTTCCAATATTTAAACAAGGCAAGCATTGCTGTGGTGGCTAATACAAATAAGTGTGATATACTTGTCTATCTGCTCGTCAGCATCACTTGCTTTCGGTCCCGGCTGCATGTTGTCTCCCTTCGCTGAGACACTGATGTCACACTTGACATATCCTTTGACGCCAGTGCTAATGTCAACAGGATTGGTCAGCATTGCCCATTTATTGATGAACTGGTGACCTGAGGGAGCAGGAAAGAGACAGTTGACCTCTGTGTGGAAAAGTCACAAATAACTCCAAACACACTATGAAGCTCCTCTTCTCTACGCTAAGAAACATGTGGTGATCTACCTGGCTGTTTGTAGACTGTCCACGCATCCAGCTTAAAGGACCCAATGCAGAAACTCCTCAGCATTTTAGAGTGCATCACCTGGAAAGAGTGACACACAAAGAGAACAGACAGAGCTTAAAACTGATGTCACTTTAAAAAGGAGAAGAACAAGATGAACCTTTAAAACATGGCATCTCAGACCAGAAGCAACTAGAAATGAGATGACACATTAACAATTATTACATTACATTACATGTCACTTGTTAGACGCTTTTATCCCAAGCGATTTACATACTCGATACGGTGGGCAATCCCCACAGGAGCAATTTGGGGTGAAGTGTCTTGGGGACACAACAACATGCTGGGTGTTTCTCAATGTCGAGTACGCTTGCTTGGTGGCACATGTCTTCCGAGTCACTTGCTTCAGAAGCTAGGCAAGAATACTTCCTGGCATTCGGAAAACAAAGAGTGGAACAGGCTTGCAGGTGTGCTTCATATGAGAGGTCCCACCTTACATTTTCCGCCACAGATTTGGGGAAATTGGTCTGTGCGCAAAGCATTGTGGGGATTTTAAGACCGGAGTCTACACATGTGCAGCCTCGAAATGTCTCCAAACGAAGTACGCCGGGCTCGGTAGAATTCCAAGTATGCTGGACATTGGAACAGGGCACTCGATGACGTAGTATGCTTGAAATAGTGGCTCTGGAGCAGCTTTACTCGAGATTGAGACTGAGACACTCGCTGACTGCAGTGGGGTTTGAACCTGTGACCCCCTGATCCGAACACCAACGCACAACCCACTGCACCACACGCCTCCCTATTATGTAAATCATTTTAATTTTAAATATTATAACTAGGGCTGGGACTTTAACGCGTTAATTAAGATTAATTAATTACACAAAAATTAACGCGTTAAAAAAATTAACGCATTTTAATCGCACTTATTTTTGCACCGCGGAACGTTTCTCACTGGATGAGTTTCAGGCGTACCGATTATACTGGAGCACCAACTAACGTTCATGACTTCAGACAACAACAAACCACAGTGAACAACAGTGGGAAATGTTGTTTTAAAAAACGGACGGATGGAAGCGTCGATAAGAGCACGGTTGTGTGCAAATTATGCAAAAAGGAATTTGCATATCACCGCAGCACATCAAGCCTCAAGTATCACCTCAATGCAAAACATATAGCAGCTAGCGTGGAAGCTAGCGTGGACGTTAGCCTCTTTTATCGCGTTCACACCAAAAAGAGCCGGTACTAAAATTAATTCATGAGAACCTTTTTACCCCCACGAAAGTCCCTACTAGAGAGCAGGGACTTTCGTACGGCTCTCTTGTGAGAAAAGACCTATATTTCTGATTGGCTGGGCGGATTGCAAACCACGCCCCGTAAAACTCCCAAAAAGTTTTGTGAAGCCGCCATTTTATTATCCTCGCATTAGCATTATTAGCATTAGCCCAGCGCAGAAACGCAGAGAGACTAACTTATGGCAACACAAAATAAAACATGGGAGCGGTGGAGATGAGGAGGTGTCGGCGTTCTGGTGATTTACTCGGAAGGCTTCAGTAGAAGCTGCTGGGAGTCCCAGCAGCTTCTACTGAAGCCAGTCCCCAACTCCGGGGACTTCCGGCCGGGGACTTTGGGCGGCAGTATACGCCGTGAAGTGGTTTGCGGCCTGCCAGTAAACCCAAAGCAGAAGAAGAATAAGTGACGTCAGCGGCTTCATTTGCCTAATCTTCCCCCAGGTTCAAAGAGTTCTCATGAACCTTTGTGGGAAAAGTACTGCGGTGTGAATGCGCCTAATGGTATACTAAAATCCATGTGAAAAAAATTGCTTCTCACTGTTCTTAGGTCAAATATTTATATGTGATTAAAAATGCGATTAATTTCGATTAATTAATTACAAAGCCTCTAATTAATTAGATTAATTTTTTTAATCGAGTCCCGGCCCTAATTATAACTGACAAAGAAGACCTCAATATCTGACATTTGTACAAGAATCCATGCTTTCTGATTTGACCATTTATAGTGTTAGACATAACATCTAAATCTTCTCTTTGAAATGCTAAATTGCTGGTTTTTTTTACTCACTGTCAGCTTGATGACTTTGTCAAAGAAGATCTCTTTGTGGGCAAAGAAGTCAAACACGAAATACTGGTGGAAAGAAGAGAGATACAGATGGTTTAAATAAGGGTCTCTTAAAAATCACCAAAGAATCACCAATCACTTTTACCTCATTGTAAAAGGGAGCATTGGTTCCCTCTTTGACTGAAGTCTGTTTCTTCTCATCGCCGATTTCAATCACCACACTGGGGTCGATGTTCTCTCCGACCAGCTGCCGGGCCTCGGTGATGTTAATGGCAATCTACAGGCAAGACAAAATGTTACATACCACAGCACAGGTGAGAGGAATTTTGTCAGGACTTATTCCCTATTGGGCCCAAGAAGCACTCAATATATTACATGTGTCTCATACTGTCTTTGTATTCTTATTGTGATTTTGTGCACTTTTTTCTTTATATATTACATATTTGTATATCTTTCATCAACTTGTGCATCATACATGACTCTATTTTCATTTTTTTACGATATGCATCAAAACCATAATTAGTTTTAAGTGAAATTACACTGAACAAAAATATAAACGCAATACTTTTGTTTTTGCTCCCATTTTTCATGAGATGAACTCAAAGATCTAAAACATGTTCTATATACACAAAATAACCATTTCTCTCAAATATTGTTCACAAATCTGAAAAAATCTGTGATAGTGAGCACTTCTCCTTTGCCGAGATAATCCATCCCACCTCACAGGTGTGGAATATCAAGATGCTGATTAGACAGCATGATTATTGCACAGGTGTGCCTTAGGCTGGCCACAATAAAAGGCCACTCTGAAACGTGCATTTTTGCTTTATTGGGGGGGTCTGGGGGGGTCTGGGGGGGTCAGAAAACCAGTCAGTATCTGGGGGTAGGGTTAGGGTTAGGGTAATGTTGTGAATCGAGTGGCCCATGGTGATGGTGGGGTTATGGTATGGGCAGGCGTAGGTTATGGACGACGAACACAGGCCACTCGATTAACAACATTACCCTACCCCTACCCCTCACACCAGATACTGAGAAATGGTTATTTTGTGTATATAGAAAATATTTTAGATCTTTGAGTTCATCTCATGAAAAATGGGAGCAAAACCAAAAGTTTTGCGTTTATATTTTTGTTCAGTACTTCTGTTTTCTACAATGCATGGTTCATTAAAGAACGTCTGTCTTTTTCATCAGAAAGCACATTCCCCAGTGAATTTGCGGAAATCTATTTAAGTTATATTTTAATTTGGTTATTTTAGTTTTATCTACAATTTATGTATTTTCTTGCTATGATTTTCAACGCATATCCTGAAAGTCGCACAGAATATGATTACAAAAAGAAACAAATGAGATAATTATTATTATTTCTATATTTTCTTTAATGACTGGTAATGTTACTACTCCACAATCTAAATTAAATAAACGGTGTGTTCTGTAAGCTTTTACCTGGAAGCTCTGCGGTTTCCCTTCACTCTTCTGGATGAGCGTTTTCAGTTTGGCCCTGTGGAAGTATCACACGTCAGTTTCTCTAACTGGTTATTAAAAGAGGTATACAGAAATATTTACCTTTAACAATTACTCATAATCAGTAGAGTGTCATTCAGACTGATCAACATACAAAAAAAAACTGCACATGCAGGTATTTAAAGATTCTGATGTGCTGTCTGAGCATTACCAAGGCATCTTGCTTTTACTGTAAGTCAATTGCATCAAGAGGCGATACAGCTTAGTGCTTTGGGAGAGATTTCAAATACACGTAAAACCCTTTCTCCCTCACATTGTGTTTAAATGTAATGTAATGTGAATATTAAATACCTCTTATTGTTTGGTATTATTCTGGTTCTGACTGCGGAACCTTCAGGTTGGTCTTCAGAGTTTTCTCCCTCAAGCAGGGAAGAATATTCAGATGGCACCGCCAACTCTCCTTCTACACACACACACACACACACACACACACACACACACACACACACACACACACACACACACACACACACACACACACACACACACACACACACACACACACACACACACACACACACACACACACACACACACACACACACACACACACACACACACACTTCTATTACACCGGAACTTTACATGTGACTGTTTGACAAGGGTTAGTCTTCCCCAGAGTGATATGACAGGAAAATGACTCTATTATACCCTGTAAAAACAACCGAGACATTATGTGAGATTGTGTGTGTGTGTGTTTGTTTTTCAGGCCTTACCCAACGCTCCCACGTTTACCATGACCAGGTCTGTGTTGTTTTCTTTCTTCTTCTTTTTCCCTTTTATGCCAAACATCTTCTGGGCCTTTCTGCTTGCAGAGAGACAAGAATTTCAGTCAGGCAAATCATATTTTCAACCTTCTCTGTTTCAAATGATCTACACACACACACAAACGCACACACGCACACGCACACACGCACATACAATGTATACATTACTTCAGGGGACATTACATTGACTTACATGCATTTCCTGGAGACTTATCCTAACCTTAACCATAACCAACACATGCCTAACCCTAACCCTTAACCTAACCAAGTCTTCACCCTAAAATTAATGATTCTCCTTATGGGGACCTCCATTTTGTCCCCATAAGGGAAGCCAGTCCCCACACGTGACTATGTAAACAGATTTAGGTCTCCACAAGGATGGTAATGCTAGGCCACACACACACACACACACACACACACACACACACACACACACACACACACACACACACACACACACACACACACACACACAAACACACACACACACACACACACACACACACACACACACACACACACACACACACACACACACACACACACACACACACACACACACACACACACACACACACACACACACACACACACACACACACACACACACGACATTTGAACAGCTAACATTTAGCAAATGTACAATCAATGTGAGATAAAGATCTTAATCTTGAATGAATAAATAAAGCTGTTTCGAACCTAGAACATACTTTTACCGCAAATATTTAGTATGATGTCTATACATTGACAGAGGGAAAACTCAAATCATTAGCTAACTCCCTTCGTACCATGAGAGTAATGCATCTTTGTTAACATAGCAGGAGCTACAAAAAACAAAATGCGTGATGCTTGCTAAAAATGTAATCCATTTTTTCTTGAAATGAAATTACACTTGTCATGTGCATCATATAAAAATATCTCAAAAAAACATAAATTAAATACAACCAGGAAAAACAAACCATAGAAGAAACTACTAGACTTTAATCTCAATGCTAAAACAAATCCGTTAAACTGCTCACGGAGATGTAGAACTTTCTGGATAATCCATTCTGTCATAGTCAGAATAAGTTTTCTTTGTTCTCCTTGTATCTACTATGAGGCACCCGGTCCTTCAGTTTACATCTAACTTCCTCCTCATCTCTCTCTGCTCAGACATGGTCATGGTCCTGGACGAGGCTGAATAATACAGCATGTGATCCTGGCTAATTTACAGCACAGAATTATCCTGTCAGCTCTCTTGTTAACATACTTTGCTCAGTCTTTACCACCCGTTCTTCACACGAAAGCCTCTATTATTTTATATGACCGCACTGCAAATAAAGATTGATGTTACTCCCTTCAACTTGCCCTCACGGAAAAGCCTGCTCTCTTTCCACACCTGCTTTCTCATTAACTTGATCCAGTCCGTCTTAAGTATCACTTAAACCTGAATGTCCAGTTCAGCTCTTTTTGACTTCTTCTTCCCATGTTTACCTCTCTGTGGTTCCAGTGGCTGATTATCTTTAAAGAGTTGTGTTTGTTTGTGGTCGGCACAATTTAAAAGCTGTTCACATGCCTTAGAAAGTATCGCACACTACTGTTTACTAATGCTGCCTGCCAGGATGTTCTCATGAGAAGTTGTTCTCATGAGAAGTGTTCCCTTTGTGTTATATAGGTTTTTGTGCATGTAAATGGTCTGCAAAGGCTAAAATCCTAAGGTTCACAGAGCCAGCCAACCAATCACAGCAGACTGGGCTCTGGTTTCAGACAGAGGGTGATGAGAGGCAGCACAGGCAGTATGAGAAAAATAAAGAGCTTCCTGAACATTAAAGCATGGAGACATGTCACAGTAGAGGAACAAATTACAAATATGAACCTGAAGATGAACATAATAATGCCCCTTTAACTAAAAGCATGAAGTATTGCAGGAAGAATAAAGTTATCTTATCGACCTAAGTCATATCGTAGCATAGAACAGCAAACTTCATTGAAATGTTTTAAAGCAAATAAAAAAACCTGTCTTTTTAATACGGATTTTAATTTGGGTTACTTTTAATTCTCACTAGTATCATTGTCTGTTTTGCTTTTATTTTAAATTTTCTTTTTAAAATTGTTTTATTTTAACATATCACTGTACATGTTTTATCTTGTTCTGTATTCATTTGAATATTATTCTAATATTGTTGTTGTGTTTTTTGTAAAGCACTTTGGGCTGCTTTGTGCTTTGTTTAGGTGCTATACAAATAAAGTGTATTATTATTATTATAAATAATAAATAATACATAATAAATAATCTCTAACGACCAACAACTTTTTTGATCGAGGTCCCTGAAGCAAAACCTTATCAAATGGGGGTTCCTTAATGAGTGTCAAATACTAAGGACCTTGACACCAAAGAGCTTAATTACCATTACTGTAGACGACCACTAGTTGAGACTGTAGCTGGACTGTATCCATAATATATAATGGCAAATACATGCTTCCTGTCAGAGAACAAGTTTTACAAATATGCTTTGAATAGAAAAAAAACATTCACAAAAAAAAGGCAAAATCTCCATTTCCCAATATTCTGTTGAGTATCGTTGTATAAGAACAATGCTCATATCCGACTGCACTAAATACAATAACATAACAACAAATGGTTGTCATTAATTACTAATTTGAGCATTTTTAACAGCACATTAGCAGCTATTTTCGTTTCATCTAAACATGATGAGTTCAGTTATCTGTCAAACATACGCACGGTCGACTCCTTCAAACTACTTAATGTATATTATATGATCCTTGACACTGTGGGGGGGATGAGAGGGTTTTGTTGACCCACCCATACAGCTGACATTCTTCTTAACAGTCACTTCATTATTTTAGTCTCAAACTGACAACAGCCATTATTCACACGATGAGCAGGTGTTGCTCACCAGAAAAATGTCAACAGAATCCCTCTAAAAGATCCCCTCCATACGTGATTAAAGACAAATACAAATATTCAAAATGACATCAACTAGCTGACCCTCGTTGCAAAATCCTTACTTTACTATGGGGCTGTGTAATTGTGCTTTTTCACTTATGATAAAACATGTAAATAAAGTTAACTCAGTTTGCCTTTCTGCTGCTTTAATTACATGCTTAAATACTACTTCATATTTGTTGAATGCAAAAAATTCAAATTTATTATTTTCAACGAAATGAACCATTGAACTGAACACACAAGGCACCAAAAAGGTATGGTAGTTTCATTTTGAGTCCAGCTTTCTACAGATACTCTTTCAACCCAGGTAGCCTTGAGGGCATATTGCCATGTGTTTAAAGCACAAGTTGACATTGCAATTAAAAATAATATGATTGTGTTAATTTGCATATTGGACCACAGTTAGCTGTCATTTTGGTGATGGCAGCCTTTAAAATAAAGAAAGGTATAACGATTGTCAGCAGGTGTAACATTTGCCCTCAGCAGTAAAGACTATGAAAGGCACAGCTCTAAGTTTAGGGTCAGAGTAGCAGTGCTTTAGGGTCGGAGTAGCAGTGCTGCTAGAGGTCCCAGTCGAGTACAGCCCAGTTTGAGTCGTACGTCTGTGTTTAAACCATCAGATGTCAAAACACTGCACAGCTGTTCAGTGATGATTTTACAACTCTGAAAAGCTACCATAGAGATATTCATTTGACTCTCAGATAATTGTCAGGTAAACAGTTGAATTAGCATTCATTAGATCACAAAGTAATCTACCTTGTGCACTTGTGTTTGTCCGATGTGCAATATTGGATGATGATGCATTTGGAAGCCACAAACTAATTGTTTTGCCAAATAATCCTGCATTTTTTCCAGAGCCTCAGCTTTAACAGTGGTTTCATTGAATGTCTTTGAATGAGGAGAAGACTTTGCTATTGTTTGTAACCCAACCTCAGAGTTCTGTGTGGTGCTGATATATAAGACATGTTACGTTAACACCAACAACACCCTATGAGGGTACAATATTTGAACTTTTTAAAGTATTTTTTCTCTAGTTTCTTGTGGATTTTGGAAACTAAACCGCACAGGCTTTTTCAGTTGCAGTTAGCAAAGTATCAGTAAAAGACTACATTTCAGTGATGCAGTAATCAAAGGGCTGGAGCTGGTCTCGTACCTGAGTGTGGGATCCATTCCTGCAGTCAGTAGTCAGCTTCAGTCATCAGTAGCAGCAGCTGGAGACGCTCCGATACATCCTGTGCACATGTGCTGGCTCAGAGTCAGAGTCAGATCAGAAGTACAGTTACAGCGCGGCAGCCCGGCAGCCATTGGTGCTGAGCTGTTTGTTCAGAGTTGTAAAGCATGTGGCTAAATCACGACTAGCTACTTATTCATTTTTACTTGATTACCTGCTTCCTAGTAAGTAAAAAGATTCTCCAATTGTAGTTCACTTAAATATGTATTATTATTAATACTATTATTATTGTTGTTTATTAGATGACTATTTTATTATTTAAAATAATATAATAGTTTCTGATTATTTTGTATAGCTTTTTATATCATACTTTATTAGACTTATATTTTTATATTATTAGATATTAGTTGCCATTTTTGTAGAAATAGCATTTATTTCAAATGTATTTAACTTATGATTATTTGATGACCATTTGTTGTATTGTTTGTGATTATTTTATAGCTTATTTTACATTATACTATTGAAAAAGTAGTGCTGGTTGCAGCAGTGTTATGGTAATAGTAGTACATTATAGCAGAAGTATTAGTAGTAGTGATCTAAATACCCGCAGCAGCAGTAATAGTGCTTGTCACATTATCAGTAGCTATCATTTCTTATCATTGCCAGTCAGATTATCCAGTGATTTAGTGACAATGTTTGGATAACATGCTGCTTTCTTCTCAAGTTGATATTCAAAATGAAATTAAAATGAATCCTTCGGCACAAATGGAGAAATGTAAAAACAAGAGCAGTAGCAGAGTTATTTACCTAATGTGCGTGTGTTCATGCAGTCCGGTGATCATGTGACCAGGATGTATGAAAGTTGAACAGTTATCAAATCCACCCCTGGTAAACAGAGCAGTCACACCTCATCAGTCAGAGAGGATCAGCAGACTGCAGCTGCTGTCCCATCACCTCAATTTCTGAAACTAAATGATAAGAAATATCATTTGCTGATCACATTTTTACTCGTCCACAATAAAGTCAAACGTGTGCAGTTCTAATGAAGTTCACCTCACCCAAGATACATTCAAATGGAAACAGGATGGTATCATTTTGAGTGTTGTTTTTCATTCCCCACCACAATGTATGTTTTTTGGACTGAAACCACCATGTGTGTTTCGAGGACATTACCTGTGGTCTTTGGTGTTTAATTTAAAGTCTTATAAATAAAAGATTTATAGAAGATCACACCATTTAAAGAACAAATACAACAGTAATATCGATGTAATTGGGAGCCTTTTATACAGATATTTACCTATGACTTATTTAATCCCTTTTAATTACCGATTGTTTGTCGCGTCTCTTTGAAAGTACAGTTCACTCCTGCTACACATATCTTGAGATAACATTTTCACGTGCTGTTACCTTCATTTATTTGCTCCATAATTACAATAATTAAACCACAACATTAGTATTAATTATTACCAATATATTACCAGGCTGTTGTATTAAGAAACATGTTTTTTTCAGAGTACAAAACTGATATACAGTGGGGCAAAAAAGTATTTAGTCAGTCACCGATTGTGCAAGTTCTCCCACTGAAAAAGATGAGAGAGGCCTGTAATTCTCATCCTAGGTACACTTCAACTATGAGAGACAGAATGGGGGGAAAGAATCCAGGAAATCACATTGTAGGATTTTTAATGAATTAATTGGTAAATTCCTCTGTAAAATAAGTATTTGGTCACCTACAAACAAACAAGATTTCTGGCTCTCACAGACCTGTAACTTCTTCTTTAAGCGCCTCCTCTGTCCTCCACTTGTTAACTGTATTAATGGCACCTGTTTGAACTTGTTATCAGTATAAAAGACACCTGTCCACAACCTCAAACAGTCACACTCCAAACTCCACTATGGCCAAGAGCAAAGAGCTGTCAAAGGACACCAGAAACAAAATTGTAGACCTGCACCAGGCTGGGAAGACTGAATCTGCAATAGGTAAGCAGCTTGGTGTGAAGAAATCAACTGTGGGAGCAATTATTAGAAAATGGAAGACATACAAGACCACTGATAATCTCTCTCGATCTGGGGCTCCACGCAAGATCTCACCCCGTGGGGTCAAAATGATCACAAGAACGGTGAGCAAAAATCCCAGAACCACACGGGGGGACCGTCAATGACCTGCAGAGAGCTGGGACCAAAGTGACAAAGGCTACCATCAGTAACACACTACGCCGCCAGGGACTCAAATCCTGCAGTGCCAGACGTGTCCCCCTGCTTAAGCCAGTACATGTCCAGGCCCGTCTGAAGTTTGCTAGAGAGCATTTAGATGATCCAGAAGAGGATTGGGAGAATGTCATATGGTCAGATGAAACCAAAATAGAACTTGTTGGTAAAAACTCAACTAGACGTGTTTGGAGGAGAAAGAATGCTGAGTTGCATCCAAAGAACACCTACTGTGAAACATGGGGGTGGAAACATCATGCTTTGGGGCTGTTTTTCTGCAAAGGGAACAGGACGACTGATCCGTGTAGAGGAAAGAATGAATGGGGCCATGTATCGTGAGATTTTGAGTGACAACCTCCATCAGCAAGGGCATTGAAGATGAAACGTGGCTGGGTCTTTCAGCATGACAATGATCCCAAACACACCGCCCGGGCAACGAAGGAGTGGCTTCGTAAGAAGCATTTCAAGGTCCTGGAGTGGCCTAGCCAGTCTCCAGATCTCAACCCCATAGAAAATCTTTGGAGGGAGTTGAAAGTCTGTGTTGCCCAGCAACAGCCCCAAAACATCATTGCTCTAGAGGAGATCTGCATGGAGGAATGGGCCAAAATACCAGCAACAGTGTGTGAACACCTTGTGAAGACTTACAGAAAACGTTTGACCTCTGTCATTGCCAACAAAGGGTATATAACAAAGTATTGAGATGAACTTTTGTTATTGACCAAATACTTATTTTCCACCATAATTTGCAAATAAATTCTTTAGAAATCAGACAATGTGATTTTCTGGATTTATTTGTTTTCTCATTTTGTCTCTCATAGTTGAGGTATACCTAGGATGAAAATTACAGGCCTCATCTTTTTAAGTGGGAGAACTTGCACAATTTGTGGCTGACTAAATACTTTTTTGCCCCACTGTAAATGACCTTGTAATTATTGATCTGTAAACCTTGTATTTATCTTGGTCCTAAATGACCACTGCATCATATCGATGTTCTTCACTATACTAAACCTAAATAACCGTGTTGCAAGGAAAACGATGTTTCTGCAGATAAGTAGTCATCAGTACACTTTAAAGCAAAACATTTTATGTATTTGTTCACAGTGACTGGAGCACAAGTGCATTTATAAAAAGGTGATCACAATTCTAAAATACAATATAAGAATTTCTAATTTGTAATCATTCTAAGTCCAAAAGGTGAACTACATACCATTAAATATAACTTGAACAACTACATTTGCATACAACCTAACTTGCAAAGTAACTTAAAATGTGATGCTTCAGTCCAGGTCAGGTAGAAAGTCTTTGGATGTCAGGTCAACGCAGTTTTCCAGCCACACCTTTGAAATAGTTCAACTCTGCGGTATCTTCCTTGCAAAATGTTCCCTTTCTCTTTCCATATTTGTCTTCTGGACCGGGATTGAAACCAATGACCTCTCAGCGGTAACTCAACTCTGCTAATCCCCGGTTTACTTGCCCCTTTATAGTCTCTTTCAATCCATCAACGTCCATCTTGTTTTCTTCATTGTTGAAAGTATGATCCCTCACACATATCTGGAAAAGACCAAATGAGAGAGTTAATGAAATCAGTCTGAGACCAAGTTTAACTTCTGTGACTAAAACGTCACCTTAACCAATGTTTAGGCAAGTTGGACATTTGGAGTTTTGCCAGCAGTTGAACTAAGAAACAAACTCCTAACATACAGTATGTATACACATTCACAACACTAAGTCTATCTGTTACTACTTATCATCTTTTCAATATGTACATTGTTTGTAGACAGAGGACAGGCATTAAAGCACACAGTCTGATGCTGTACATGTTTCATCAGGGCTGAAACTCAACGAAATGTTCACATCATATCAGAGAAACCAGAAAAGCTGGATGATATTGTTTGTTTACAGCCTGTGTGGATTCAGGTGTTCACATAGTTGGACAGCAATGAAAACAACGATTGGTAGCCCCTATATTTTGTTAATCACAACATGTTCTTTAAATAAACTAATGGACCTTCGTCATGAGTGATGGCTACTTGTATTTTAGGTAAATCTGGTATGATGTAAATACAGCATATTGTTATGACATGCCCCGCAGATGTAAAGACAACCTTAACGTGGTAATTTACGTCACGGCAAGATATTTGAATGAGCCTGTATGTTACCTAGAAGGTGAAGCCAAATCTAAATCGCTTGTTGAATCCCATATTTTCTGACCTGCAGCCAACAAAAAAACAGACTAGGTTGCCATATATGTATAATACTGGACCCATCATCCTAGTAGACATTTTGCTCATAGTCAGACAGTTATTGTTTGCATTCATTCCAACATAAAGCACTTATACACATATACATTCAACATGATGACTATCAGACTCAAATTTATCTCACATGCTCACTACTAAAACATATCTATTTGACCATCACATCACTGATCTGAGTACAGACACATCTGTCCCCGGATGTGTTCACGTTCTTACAGCAGAGATGGGTGGGAATTGGACAGACAATCACAGCAGGTGGACACCTTGATGGTGAATGATTTCATATTCAATCAGGGCTTTATAGCCTCTTGAGGGTACAACATTACATTAACATATACTAAACAAACAGTTGTGATACATGTACCAATTCCCCCTCATGTGAACCTCTCGGGAAATCATCAGAAGAACCACAACAGGCAGCAGCAAGGCCTTCTAATTATGACAATGCAAGCTAAGACAGGCAGCCACCGGCAGCTTAGCTTGGGCTTCATACCTGGGGTTTGTTGGCTAACTGAAGCTGGTGACATGGTGGTTTCAGAGGAGGAACTGCAGCCTGAAGACGTTGTGTGTGTGTGGGGGGGGGGGGTCACATCCAACTTTGTAAAAAAGCAATTGTTAAAGCAATGTTGATTTTGGCTAGGCAGGGGGTTCTGAAGGGGTCTTTTTACTTATTTTACAGAGGCATCAGATCGGGATCATTTAGTTTGATGCTTCAAATTAGTTTTAGAGGAAACAAAAAGGCAGTTTTTCTCCTGTTGAGGTGGTTGGTTGATATGGAAATAGCAGAAAGAGACTTGCTAGTTGATCACAGCAAGGTTTAAGAACATATTTCAGAGATTGATCTCTCACTAGATCTCTCACTATCCTGGAGGGGGGTCTTCAGATGAATTCCTAAACGTGGTAATTTCTTTAATTAGTATTTACAAGTATTCTTGAAAGGTTCAGGAGATTTCAGGAAGGGAGGACGAAGGAAGAGTCGGACCTTTGACGTCAGAACATTTCACAGGAACCGAAGAAAGACACTCTTTGTCTTCAGGAGGATTTCAAGTTGAAGAAGACGAAAAGTTTTGTTATTAGGAACAAGAGCATTCACAAGAGGAGAAGGAACATAGATTGAGGGAGCAGGAAACTTTCAAGGATTTGAAGGTAGATGGAAGGACCGGGGCTTTGAGAGAAAGAGCAAGGGATTGGAGTTGGCGTTAGGAGTACAGCGCATCAATACCTGCAGGAGTGAGAACCAGGGCTTGTAGAAGGTCAGACAGAGAGACAATCCCTCTCACCACATCACCGCTGTCAACCAACACCAAACGATGCACCTAGAGGAGAGAGGACATGGTCGTCATGCTTTGATTATTGCACGTGCCACATACTGTCATGTAAAAGAATAATACCAGAAGGAAAATTATAAAGAAAGACAAACAAAATCTGTGAAGGTAACTGTTCAAAACAGGAATTGAAATGCTCATTTCATATAAACATTCAGAGATGGGAGGTCACAGTGGAATACAAATATTGTTTTCTCTAATTCATTGTCAAAAACCACTTGCGTTTGAGTGTATCTTGACTGTGTCCTTATTGAAAACAACGGAAAACATGACCCATTAATGTGTAAGAATCGTAACAGAAAGCTAACTGCTAATAGATTAGAGTTCAGTCCAATGTATATGAACAAGAAAAACCTTAATTGCATAAACCAGTTAGGGAACATTATTCATCCTACATACAGTATAATAAGGTTATGTCAGTCAGACAGTGAATGAATGTGTGTGTTACCTCAGCCTTAGCAATGCGGTCGATGATGGTCTCCAGTGTTTCGTAAGGGTAACACTTCAGCACTCCCTCCACACAGCAGGCTCTGGAGGAAATGGCCTCCCTCACCGTCATGTCCAGGTTGTTGTAGTTTTTCTGGGCTGCGAGGTTCTGAACCAAGGAGAAAAACAGAAAACAATATTGGTCCACTAACAGCAGATTAAGTTGAAATGTAGTCGATTTTAGGCAATATAGTCCTCATTGCATGCATTGAAAGCTGAGCATGCAGCTGCAAAATCTGGACATGGAAAATGGCATTCCAAAATATGGATGAAAATGATGCATTTGACTGTGCTTTTGCGGGTATTAAGCCATATCTGAATGATATCTAAACCAGACAAAAACAATAATTGGAATGAGCATGACAAGGGATTGAAGGAACCACAATTATTATGAGATGTGTGAAACTAACTTACAATGACGTCAAACCTGGAGTACAGTGCCACGACTTTACCTACGGAGGAGAACATTGCAGACCATAGATGGTAGATGAAAACATAGATGTCAACTGAAACCCTCTTTTTATTAAACTGACAAACAAAATGACCCTTTTTTAACATCCTACAGTAAAATGTTATGTTGGCCTATACCTTGCTCATTGACTACTGGCAGGGCAGAAACTCTTCTCTCCACAAAGATAGTCAGAGCGTCATAGACTGAGGCCGATTCCTGGACTGTTGCAATCTCTCTGAAGGTACCGATCGCCACCTCATTGATCCGCTTCTGAAGAAACCTGGGCTTAGGAATCATAGATCCCTGGAGGGGATGGGAGGAGAGAGACAAATACAATATCTTAATGTCAAACCAAATTGGGAACAATTCCATAGAAGTCAAACAGAAATGCACTGCTAACATTTCTCACTGTTTTTGGTTCTCTTAAATTCTGTCAGTAATGCAATCTATATAAATGTATCAATTTCTCACCCCACATTTTTATTGATTTACTAATTTGCCCTTTCTCTCTTCTCTAAATACAAAACCCGATTTCCAGCACATCCTCAAATTACTCCATGGGGGAAGTACCCTATTTGGATGAATGTATAACAACTTTAGGACAAGCCCCAGAAAGATACTCTCAGAGAAATCTTACAAAGATGTGGAGGAACTTGAGGATGCGTTTGTGAGTCAGGATGTGGAGGACATTTCCTGACGCCGGGTCGATGATCGGCAGCCGGTGTATCTTATTCTTCAACAAGGAGTAGATGGCATCAAACAGACTGGGGAGAAATAGAATCCCATGATTACGATTATTATAATTACACATGAGGACTTTAGCATAGAACAACATAAGGCACAGCTCGGACTCGGGTGATGACTGGCTCCGAATGTAGAAAGGTTGACTTTAAGCCCAAAAATGTACAGCTTTTTGAAAATACCACCAACCATTATTAGCACTAACACAATAGTTAAACTTACAAGAGAGTGTGTAAAGAGCCATGAAAATATCCCACTTTTAAATACCTAAGACAATGTTTTAAACGGCTATAGTATCTTATGTGGCATATTACAATTTATAGGAAGACATTTTACCATGAACCTGAATTTAATGAATTATTTGAGAGGCTGGTTTTCACCTGCAGTCAGGTGTGATGCTGATCAGTCTGTTGATATGGTACTGTAGATAGATCTCTGCCAAGATAGAGAATCACAATGTATTAACACAAGGGCGGTGGTGGCGAAGTCCATAGGGACTTGGCTTGGCAACTGGAAGGTTACCAGTTCAAGTCCCGGAAATACCAAGTGCTACCGAGGTGTCCCTGAGCAAGGCACCGTTCCCTACACTGCTGGTAGCCTACTGCTCCTAACACTAGGATGGGTCAAATGCAGAGAAACCATTTTGTTACACAGCACCTGTACTGTACATGTACTACGCAATGACAATAAGTTCAAACTACCAAAACAAAATGTAGATAGTTAAAAAAAAAGAGAGAAAGAAATCAACTATATAATGTTGTACAGACCTCTCCATGTCTCTATCTTGTGCTCTTCCAGCTCATATATCTGAACCTGCAGAACAAAGAAACATCATCAGCCTCGAAAGTATATGTGTGATTTTTAAATCCGGATTTTCTACTTAAAACGGATCATTTAAAAAAGTGACACCACTGTGCATGGTGCATGGCATTTCAACACGACACCGACTGGCATGCAACACACTCTTAGGACCTAAGGTGTTTATTTGCCACAAATAATCCAAAGGTCACACGGCTCACCAGAGGAGACTTGTAATAGCGATGGAGAATGTTGATGAAGTCAGTGATGGTCAGCATACCTGCACGCAAACACAGGCACAATGGAAACATCTGACATGTATGGGAACATTTAAAGCAGCCGTATTAAGCTCATTCTCAGGTTCATATTTGGTGCTTCTACTGGGAAAAATGTCTTTATTTTCTCACACTGCCTGTGCTGCAGCACCTCTTTTCATCCTCTGTCTGAAACCAGAGCCCAGTCTGCTCTGATTGGTCAACCGCTTAGAGATTCCCCAAACTTCAGCCTATCACGTACAATGTGCTGGAGTGCTAGCCCATAGAAGCACAAGGAGTCCATTGAAGGCCAATGACGTGTGGGAGAGCAACTTCCTCTGGAGGGAACTTTGGGATTATAGGCTTTGCAGACATTTTTACAGTACATGCACAAAAACCTATCCAACACAGGAAAGGGAAAACCAGAAAAAACGAAATATGGCCTCTTGAAATATATACCACAAAGTCTCTTTCTCCCAAAAAGTGGTAGAGCCACATGTGTGTTATTGCTCACCCACAAAACACTTCAGCTTGTCGTCCCACAGTGGAGCGGCCCTCACTCCGTTAGCTACCAGAGCAAAGAAAGCCTTCTTCACCTGTCGAAACACACACAGATTTAATAATTACAACCCAAAATAGTCATGCATATAAAACATTTTTATTTATTTTTTAAATAAAAGATGTCCCATACCTGTAGTGTTGTGTCAAAAATGACCAGTTTGGAGCTGGTAGGGATGGCGTCATAGCAGCAGTGACTCTTCATGAAGTTCATGTAGATGAACGTGTCAGGGTCTGTGGCTGAATGGGGTACAAAAGTATGTGTTGCTTATGACTACCAATTACAAATAAACATGTGAAAACACTTCATATACACTGGAGCCAAGAGATATGATGTAAAGTCAAAATATCAACAACCTTTATTGCAATAATCATGATAAACGTTGGGCATTGGGAATGTGATTTTCATCCATCCATCCATCCATCCATCTTCTCCCGCTTATCCGTGGTCGGGTCGCGGGGGTAGCAGTTCCAGCAGAGAGCCCCAAACTTTCTTTTCCCTGGCGACATCAACCAGCTCTGACTGGGGGATCCCAAGGCGCTCCCAGGCCAGCGAAGAGATATAATCCCTCCACCTGGTCCTAGGTCTACCCCTTGGTCTCTTCCCAGCTGGACGTGCCTGGAACACCTCCCTAGGGAGGCGCCCAGGTGGCATCCTAACTAGGTGCCCGAACCACCTCAACTGGATCCTTTCGACGCGAAGGAGGAGCGGCTCAACTCCGAGTCCCTCCCTGATGACCGAACTTCTCACCTTATCCCTAAGGGAGACTCCAGCCACCCTGCGGAGAAAACCCATCTCGGCCGCTTGTATCCGCGATCTCGTTCTTTCGGTCATGACCCATCCTTCATGACCATAGGTGAGGGTAGGAACGAAAATGGCCCGGTAGACAGAGAGCTTTGCCTTCTGGCTCAGCTCCCTTTTCGTCACAACGGTGCGGTAAAGCGACTGCAGTACCGCTCCCGCTGCTCCGATTCTCCGGCCCATCTCACGCTCCATTGTTCCCTCACTCGAGAACAAGACCCCGAGATACTTGAACTCCTTCACTTGGGGTAAGGACTCATTCCCTACTTGAAGTGGACAGTCCATCGGTTTCCTGCTGAGAACCATGGCCTCAGATTTGGAGGTGCTGATCCTCATCCCAGCCGCTTCACACTCGGTTGCGAACCGATCCAGTGAGTGCTGAAGGTCGCAGACCGATGAAGCCATTAGAACCACATCATCTGCAAAAAGCAGTGGTGCAATCCTTAGTCCACCGAACTGCAGACCCCCTCCCCCACGACTACGCCTCGAAATCCGATCGATGTATATTACAAACAGGATTGGTGACAAAGCGCACCCCTGGCGGAGGCCAACCCTCACCGGAAATGTGTCCGATTTACTGCCGAGGACCCGGACACAGCTCTCGCTTTGGGAGTACAGAGATTGGATGGCCCTGAGTAGAGACCCCCTCACCCCATACTCCCGCAGCACCTCCCACAGTAACTCCCTGAGAACTCGGTCATACGCCTTCTCCAAGTCTACAAAACACATGTAGACTGGATAAGCGTACTCCCAGGCCCCCTCCAGGATCCTTGCGAGAGTAAAAAGCTGATCCGTCGTTCCACGACCAGGACGGAATCCGCATTGTTCCTCCTCAATCTGAGGTTCGACAATCGGCCTGACCCTCCTTTCGAGTACCTTAGAGTAAACTTTCCCGGGGAGGCTGAGTAGTGTGAGGCCTCTGTAATTGGCACACACCCTCTGATCCCCCTTTTTAAAAAGGGGAACCACCACCCCGGTCTGCCACTCCTTCGGTACTGTTTCCGACTTCCACGCAACGTTGATGAGACGTGTCAACCATGACAGTCCCTCAACACCCAGAGCCTTCAGCATTTCCGGGCGGATCTCATCCACCCCCGGGGCTTTGCCACTGTGGAGTTGTTTGACGACCTCAGTGACCTCCCCCCGGGAGATTGGTGTTGATCCCCCGTCATACTCCAGCTCTGCCTCTAACATAGAGGGCGGAGTTGTCGGGTTCAGGAGTTCCTCAAAGTGTTCCTTCCAACGCCCTAACACTCCATCAGTTGAGGTCAACAACGTCCCATCCTTACTGTACACAGCTTGGATGGTTCCCTGCTTCCCCCTCCTGAGGTGTCGGACAGTTTTCCAGAACAACTTTGGTGCCGCCCGAAAGTCCTTCTCCATGTCTTCTCCGAACTTCTCCCACACCCGCTGCTTTGCCTCGGCCACGGATGAGGCTGCTGCCCTTCGGGCCTGTCGGTACCTTGCAACTGCCTCGGGAGTCCCCCGGGATAACAAATCCCTGAAGGCCTCCTTCTTCAGTCGGACGGCTTCCCTGACCACCGGTGTCCACCAGAAGGTTCGAGGGTTACCGCCCCTTGAGGCACCTAGGACCTTGAGACCACAGCTCCCCGCCGCGGCTTCGGCAATAGAGGCTTTGAACACCGACCACTCTGGTTCAATGTCCCCAACCTCCACAGGAATGCCCGAAAAGCTCCGCCGGAGGTGTGAGTTGAAGGCCTCCTGAACTTGGGCCTCCTCCAGACGTTCCCAGTTCACCCGAACTACACGTTTGGGCTTACCAGGTCTATCCAGAGGCTTCCCCCGCCACTCGACCCAACTCACCACCAGATGGTGATCAGTTGACAACTCCGCCCCTCTCTTTACCCGAGTGTCCAAAACATACGGCCTCAGGTCCGATGATACAATAACGAAATCGATCATGGACCTTCTGCCTAGGGTGCTCTGGTACCACGTACACTTATGAGCATCCTTATGTTCGAACATGGTGTTTGTTATGGCCAATCCATGACTAGCACAGAAGTCCAGTAACAAACCACCACTCCGGTTCAGATCAGGGGGGCCGTTCCTCCCAATCAAGCCCCTCCAAGTGTCTCCATCATTGCCCACATGTGCGTTGAAGTCTCCCAGCAAGATTAAAGAGTCCCCTTCAGGAGCCCCATACAGGACTCTTTCCAGGGTCTCCAAGAAGGCCGTATACTCTGAACTGCTGTTGGGTGCATAAGCACACACAACAGTCAGAGTTTCCCCCCCCATAACCCGCAGGCGTAGGGGAGGCGACCCTCTCGTCCACTGGGGTAAACTCCAACAACGAAGCACCTAACCGGGGACTTGTGAGTATCCCCACACCCGCCCGGCGCCTCACACCTTGAGCAACTCCGGAGAAGAATAGAGTCCAACCCCTATCCAGAAGTAAGGTTCCAGAGCCGACGCTGTGCGTAGAGGTGAGCCCAACCAGATCCAACTGGTAACGCTCCACCTCCCGCACAAGCTCCGGCTCCTTCCCCCCCAGAGAGGTGACGTTCCACGTCCCCAAAGCCAGCTTCTGTTGCCCGGGTCTGGTCCGTCGAGACCCTCCGCTTTCACTGCCACCCTTCTGGCAGCGCACCCGACCCCATCGATGTTTCCCGTAGGTGGTGGGCCCGCGGGACGGAGAAGCGGAGGTGTTGCCCACGTTGCCTTTTCGGGCTAGGCCCGGCCGGGCTCCGTGGCAAGCCCGGCCACCAGACGCTCGCCGACGAGTCCTCCTTCTGGGCCTGGCTCCAGAAGGGGACCCCGGGCTTCCTCCGGGCCGGGTATCCTCACTTCTTGTGTCGTCTTTCATGAGGTCTTTTGAATGATTTTCATTATCAAATCATTCAGGTTTGTTTGCACATTGTTCACGCAAACAATTCTACAGAATAACAGGAGCACTTGAGGCTGTAGACGTTCTTGCTGCACAGGAACTATCGTCAATCACTGTTGGAGAAATACTGTTTTCTCCACTCTTTGGGTTGTTTTAATGCACTGATATTGTAAAGGCAACCGAACAACAAATATTTGCCAGTGAGGGATATGGTGTGAAGCTTTTCCAGACGCGTGGTGTTGACAGCAAATCAGGTCTTCTCTTTGAGTGCATTTAAGATGTTTATTTGGATTGCAGGATGATGACAGCAAAACAAGAGCCGGGTGTTTAACTGATAACTAAACAACTAACTGTGATAAAGAAATAAACCGAAATTAACTCAAAACAAACAGAAAACACGCACGGTTGAAAAACTGTGTGGCTTCCCTCTGGTGATTCCCAATCCCTAATGCTGTGCACCTGTGTCCTCCCCAAATAGTAGGCTGTACCCTGAAATTGGCTGAGTCCCCGCCTATGCCCAGGTCAATTCAGTAGTATCACAGCACCTTCATATACAAATATTAAAATACATCAAATTGGCTGCAACAGATATATCATGTGTGGCTCTGAACTGTGTATGACCTTGCAGCTGCCTCTTCTTGTGATAGGAGGAGGCAGGGCATTTCAGGTTGTTGATATTTATAAGAAGACAGACTTGATGTCTCCCAAATATCTCATTTCTATGAAGCGTGAAGGAAGTACGTGAATCTTTCCAGAAGACGTCACAGATGACCCATCGCAGATGACCCGACTTTCCGACACCCGCGGCTGATATTAGCGCCACCTCGATTTACGACTTTATTGTTATCTCAGTGTTTTGGACTATATAAGCCTGATGTTTTTTTGCTGCTCCGTTGAGCAACATACCCCATGTGTGTGAGTTAACCCATATCCTTTGTATGTGATTTAACTCTGCTCCTACTTGCAAGAATAAATTAGTTACCTGATCAATGATTCTCAACCTGGTGTCGAGTGATATTTTTTTTAACATATTGGTCCTTCGAGCCGGATCCAAGATCTCCTTTTTTCTCCGGGCAAACGAGCCTGACACTGTGCACAGGGAGTCGAGAGACTCTTAGAAAAAGACCCCTACCTTGTTTCCCTTACAAATAAACAATTTGGTAAATAGGTTTCGCTGGAGAGGAGAGGAGTGACGGATCCTTGAACTACCGACACAGGAGAGAAAGTCAATACAGGCATCGTTTTGGTTTCAACCCCTTGATGTGTTTGCACAACAATGGAAAAATAGGGGGATGGTAACATCCACAAACAAACCTATTACACTAAAGATTTGATCCTATCACTTTTGGATGCAGTATTTAATTGAATTGATTTATTTAAAAAAGGATTACCTAGTCGTTAATGTCGAGCCCTGATAAAGATTTGATCCTATCACTTTTGGATGCAGTACAACTCCCTAAGAGAGTGGCTGTCTGTAAGTGTGCAGCACACACTACAGGGACGGACCCAATTTCCACAGGGAACCAAAAGGCAGATGAAGAGGCTAAGAAAGCAGCGCAGTGACAGTGACAGGACAATGACCAATATATTTCTGAAAATATGGAACACATTGATCATGACATCCTAAAAGACATGCAAGCGAATGCACCTGACAAAGAAAAGGTATACTGGAAGAAGAAGTTGTGTACACAGAATAAAGAGGGGTTGTGGGAAAGTACAGAAGGCAAATTTGTATTACCAAAAAGCTTATTTCGATATGCAGCTGTATTGAGCCATGGGTTGGACCACGGCTCAACAGTGGGAATGGTGGACGTAATACAGAAGATATTCACAGCCTATGGCTTTACAAAGTACTAAAAGTAGTAAAATGGTTAAGCATGTTCTGTGTGTGCACAGTATAACCCTCAGGGACAGTTCAGACCAAAGAGAGGTAAAATACCGGAGCCCCAGTATCCGTTTCAGCACATTTGCATGGACTTTATTGAACTAAATAAATGTGAGGGAATGAAATATTGTCTAACAATCATTGACGTACTCAAAATGGATTGAAGTTTTTCCAACTAGGAATCCGGATGCATTGACAGTGGCTAAAGCATTGACAAATCACATAATCCCACGTTTTGGAATTCCGGAAAAGATCTATAGCGATAATGGCACACACTTTGTAAATAAAGTAATTCAGGATTTGACAGCTGTATTTGGAATACAATTAAAACAACATTGTTCTTATCATCCACAATCAGCAGGGTTGATAGAAATAAATAATGGTACAGTAAAAGCTAAACTAAAGAAGATGATGGCCGAGACAGGAAAAACATGGATGAGATGCTTAGCACCAGTGATGCTAAGCATGCACATCCTACCCAGTGCTAGAGGGCTATCACCTTTTGAAATGTTATATGGAAGACCATATTATCTGCCTGAGTTAAAACCATTTGTAAGAGAGGACGAGTATGAGTGAAAACACAGCAGAATATATGGCAAAAATGTTGAGAAGAAAAGAGATCACAAATGTTATTGTCCCCTCTGCACAGGAAGTACCTGACACTACACAGACAGTGAAACCAGGAGAGTGAGTGTTCACCAGAGCGATAAAGAGGAAGAGCTGGCACTCGCCCAAGTGGGAGGGTCCCTACCAAGCACTCCTGTCTACACTGACTGCAGTTAGAGTGGCGGAGAGACCATCCTGGATACATCTGACTGTGAAGCTGTTTAAACCTAAAGACAGAAACTCGCCTCTACTGTGGTGAAGTCTGGCTACAAAGGGAGGTGATTCCAATAAGGGCACTTGTCTCAAACCAGTGAAGAAACCAACAGAACCCAGTAGAATTTAAAGAGTGAACGTTAGCAGGGAAACAGTAACGGGTCTGAGTGATAGAAACTGACGATGTACAGAGAAATAATTAGGCCATGGCATCCATTCGGATTACATTAAAACATGTGCCTATACAATCTACCTATACCTCAGCCGTTTGGGTACTTTTGTATATGAATTTTTAATCTTTTATAATCATTTGTATTTTCCAAGTTCTATGTTATTCCGTAGTATAAACAGGAGGGATATGTTGGAGAAATACTGTTTTCTCCACTCTTTGGGTTATTTTAATGCACTGATATCATGTGTGGCTCTGAACTGTATATGACCTTGCAGCTGCCTCTTCTTGTGATAGGAGGAGGCAGGGCATATCAAGTTGTTGATATTTATGAGAAGACAGACTTGCTGTCTCCTAAATATCTCATTTCTATAAAGCGTGAAGGAAGTACGTGACTCTTTCCAGAAGACGTCACAGATGACCCATCGCAGATGACCCGACTTTCCGACACCCGCGGCTGATATTAGCGCCACCTCGATTTACGACTTTGTTGTTATCTCCTGTGTTTTGGACTAGCCTATATAAGCCTGATGTTTTTTGCTGCTCCGTTGAGCAACATACCCCATGTGTGTGAGTTAACCCATATCCTTTGTATGTGATTTAACTCGGCTCCTTCTTGCAAGAATAAATTAGTTACCTGATCATTGATTCTCAACCTGGTGGCGAGTGATATTTTTTTAACAATCACTATACACACAAATCACACAATCTTCCAATCTTACCTCTGCTCCTCACTGGGAGACCATCTTCTTCCTCATCCTCCTCCTGGTCCATCTCAAACAACGGAGCCTGGGAAAGGAAGCATATCAACACTTTTTGTAGTGTAGTTGTCACGTTTCCAGGACCAAATAAAGCCCTCAGTGATATTTGACTTGCATGGTCTGTAATATAATCTGTATCTGTGATGAAAACGTGTGTTAAAGACAGAGCGGTTGTAGGACTGTCTACATATAAGATGGCATGTTTTATGGCAGCAAACAAGAATGTGTATTTATATTTTTGTTGCAACAATCCTGTCATTTAAGGCCCTGAAGAAGTTGCATTGGAAAAACTGTGGAAAATAGATAAAACATGGAATTTGTGCAACGTATATCCTGGAAAGAGTCCAACTTGCAGCATGCCTGGGAGACAATGGAGATTCCCAGAAGGAGCAGGAGGAAGTGACAGCAGCTCTGTTTCTCTGTTATCACCATGGACTTGAGGAGTGACGGGGAAAAGGGTGAGAGGAATGGACTAAGTTTGACATGGAGTGTGCGCAGCGTTTATAGCTTTACCAGAATTAGCTATGAGCTACTTCATATCTGTGGGTCCTAGGCAGGAAACAAACAATAACATATGCACGTATGTCTACAGTATAAAGAAACCCTAACCAGACAGTTATTCATCATTAAACAACAGTAACATCAGCAACAACAACATTAAAGCAGCACAAGAACTGCGGCATATCTCTGTGCCACAAGAGCAGTGCGTACTTTGAAATTCTTTTTTTATCCATATGTTGGCCTTACAGGACACCATCCACTTGTGTGGCCTGAATGAAAAATGATATCAAGCTTATGGAATAGTTTCACACCATCAAGTATTTATTTTCTGATATTAAAAGCTATGTGGTTAACATGTCTCTAATGTGTTTCAAAGGCAAGGCAAGGCACGTTTATTTATATAGCACTTTTCAACACAAGGCAATTCAAAGTGCTTTACAAAAAATGAAAGACATTAATAAAATGGCATTTAAAATCAGTCATTAAAAAGAAAAGCTAATAAAATAAACATTAAAAGAAAAAATACATGGATAAAAGTTACAGTGCAGTCTAAGATATGAATAGTTCAATTAAACATTAAAAGAAAAAGTACATGGATCAAAGTTACAGTGCAGTCTAAGATATGAATAGTTCAATTAAAAGCAGCGACAAAAAGAAAAGTCTTCAGCCTGGATTTAAAAGTAGTCAGAGTTGCAGCGGACCTGCAGGTTTCTGGGAGTTTGTTCCAGATATTTGGAGTATAATAACTGAACGCTGCTTTACCATGTTTAGTTCTGACTCTGGGGACAGAAAGCTGACCAGTCCCTGAAGACCTGAGAGATCTGGATGGTTCATAATTTAGCAGGAGGTCAGAAATGTATTTTGTGCCTAAGCCATTCAGTGCTTTATAAACCAGCAGCAGTATTTTGAAATCTATTCTTTGACACACAGGAAGCCAGTGTAAAGACTTCAGAACAGGAGTGATGTGATCCACTTTCTTAGTGTCAGTGAGGACTCGAGCAGCAGCGTTCTGAATCAGCTGCATTTTCCTAATAGATTTTTTAGTGAGACCTGTGAAGACACCATTGCAGTAGTTGAATCTACTGAAGATAAAAGCATGGACAAGTTTTTCCAAATCCTGCTGTGACATTAGTCTTTTAATCCTAGATATATTCTTTAGGTGATAGTAGGCTGATTTAGTAACTGTTTTAATGTGACTGTTGAAACTCAGGTCAGAGTCCATGACTACACCTAGATTTCTGGCTTTATCTGTTGATTTGAACATTGCAGACTGAAGCTCAGCGCTAACTTTTATACGTTCTGACTTGGCTCCAAAAACCATCACCTCAGTTTTATCTTTGTTTAATTGGAGAAAGTTCTGACACATCCAGTCATTGATTTGTTCAATGCACTTACTCAGTGTTTGAATTGGAGCATAGTCTCCTGGTGAAATTGTTACGTACATTTGTGTGTCATCTGCATAGCTATGGTAACTTATTTTGTTGTTTTTCATTATCTGAGCCAGTGGTAGCATGTAGATGTTAAAGAGAAGAGGCCCCAAGATGGAGCCTTGAGGAACCCCACATGTCATATTTGTCAACTCAGATGTGTATTTACCTATAGAAACAAAGTTGTTTCTGTCCTTTAAGTAGGATTCAAACCAATTTAAAACTGTTTCCGAAAGTCCCACCCAGTTCTCCAGTCGGTCTAGTAATATGTTGTGGTCAACAGTGTCAAACGCAGCACTGAGATCTAATAATACTAACACTGAAGTTCTGCCACTGTCTGTGTTTAAGTGGATGTCATTGAAGACCTTTACAATAGCAGTCTCAGTGCTGTGGTTTGGACGAAAGCCTGACTGGAACACATCGAAACAGTTATTTAAATGCAAGAAATTACTCAACTGTTGAAAAACAACTTTTTCAATGATTTTACCTAGAAATGGGAGGTTTGATATGGGCCTGTAATTGTTCATTACTGAAGCATCTAGATTATTCTTTTTTAAGAGCGGTTTAATGACTGCCGTTTTCAGGGCCTGTGGAAAAATACCTGAGTGAAGAGATTTGTTTACTATATGAAGTAGATCTGAGGCCATGCAAGGCAAAACATCTTTGAAAAATCCTGTTGGAATAATATCAAGGCAGCAGGAGGAGGATTTCAGAAGTTGATTAATGTCCTCTAGGTTTTTATCATTAATCTGATGGAATTGTGTCATGGTGTTTGAATTGATGTTAAGTGGACACAGAGACAACACATTTGCTGTTCCTGATGCAGAGGCACTGACTGCTTGTCTGATTTTCTGAATTTTGTCAGTGAAGAAGGCAAAATCATTGCACGCCCTGGTGGATAGAAATTCAGAGGCTACTGACACTGGGGGGTTAGTTAGTCTGTTGACGGTAGCAAACAAGGCACGTGCATTGTTTTTGTTAATGATGTCAGAAAAGAACGATTGTCGTGCGTTTTTCAATTCCAAATTATAAAGGCCAAGTCTCTCTTTATAGATTTCAAAGTGATAATTAAGGATCATATTTAAAACTTGGTGTTTTGCTGGTAAAAAAAATGGTCGAGATACCCATTATAGGCGGTTTCAGACAAATGGGTAAAAAAGGGAATGAGAAGTTAACGATATGAAAATAAACAATAATACAATTAAAATCAAACTTTAAGAGACTGTTAACATCTCACAGCTTAACAGCTAGAATCGGTGCATGCACACACTCACTTTGTTCAGGCACTACACAAAGAATGTGAATGTGCTTGACTTTAAAATGGAAATGAACAGCTGATACAATGAACCTGCATTGTAAAGAAGCCCTCTTTTGGATCCTCTGATACAAAGTCATGTTCAGCAGATTTCAGTTACCAGTAAAACAGACAGCAAGTGTTGGTGGAGTGAGTGAGCAGAGTGTCCTACCTCTGCAAAAGGCTCCATGACTGGGCAAGGGGAGCAGGAGGTCTGCCCCTGTGAAACCAGAACTGCTGGTGAAAGCCTGGACTACAACCCTCGACCTGCTGTCCAACTCTGCTACCATGTCAATATAAAGAAGTCCAAGCAAGGAAAGAAGGAGGTACTGGACGTACAAGACAAAGTAAATATGCGCACAACCTGCTGCTATAGCCAGCTGGGAATGAATGTCTGGGAAAGACTGAGGTCTAAATCTGGAGTGAGGGGTGATAGGCCTGTGGCATTCATACAGAAAGGGAGGGGAAGCATGCACAGGGAGGCTAAACACAGACACATGAAAATACTTTATAACGTCTGTCACTTTATCATCCAATGGTAGGATCTTCAGCTTGCTGTTTACATTATAATGCAAGTCAATACACAATCTTGTTATTATTGCTTTTATGCTTTAAAAAAATACAAAATCATGTCAAGGGTTTTCAAATCATACGAACGATTTTATTGAAGAAGAAGCAATCTTGGACATCATACCAACAAATTGCAGGTTTGGATGCCCCTCAGCGTGTTGCATACTAATTGGACATGTGAGGAGTTTAATTAAATGTAACAAAACCATAACTCAATTATCAATGTGACAACAACACCTTTCTGATCTACAGATTCTGATGGTCTGTTTCTTTTCCTTTAAAGGTAGGGTTAGGGTAAACACATATTTTGCACGAGTGCACTTTTGGAAGATTGATAGAGCTTCATCGCTACCGCTGTTACCTCACACTGGCACCTGTGTGTTTGCTTACATGGGGACTAATGAGCAGTGTATCTAATTATGAGGAAGTCTCCCAAAACACACAGGAGGAGTTGTTACAGCTGGTCCTTTGCCTTAAAGCTGCATTGGTTCATTTTTTCATCCACTCAGGGGCAGTGCAACAAGCTGTGAACCAAGCACTGACAAATAATCTACCAGAACATTCATGGAGTCGTGTTTCTGGACCTAGTTGAACCTCCGTGCTGAAAAATGAAGCCAGCACGGAAGAGCTAAAAACTGCAGCGACGTGAATGGCCACTTGAAGCTGGCTCCAAAAACATGTTCCTTATAGAGGCCCTTATTAAAATGCCCAGCCAGCTTAAGAGGCTGAGCGGACATATTTACACCCTGGTACAATACACGTTTCGCAATTATGCCACATCAAGATGGAACGCTCTTCCCACAACTGTAAAGGAAAGTAAAACTATACTTACCTTCAAAACCTCTCTTAAAGAGCACCTTCGGGGGAGAGCATTGCAAAACTGGCCCCGGTAATGGTACAAATCTCAACCTGTCGTTCAATGGACAGCTTCCCCCCACCATCTATGTATATACTCGCATTTTAGACTCTGTTACTAACTGTATATCTGTAGACTTGGTATGTCTTAAATGTCTGGTTAGGATGTATTAGAACGAAATCTAAAATGAAAATTGTAAATAAGCAATCTGTATGTAAAAAACCACCTGTATGTAAATTGTAAATAAGCCATCTGTATGTCAAATATGTCTTATATGTCTTAAATGACATGATGAATTGGAAATGGGGGACCCTGATGTAAACAAGACGAAAGTCTTTCTCTGGTCTGCATCCCCTTAACAATTGTATGTTTTGAGCTGTACTGTACTGTACCCAATATACAAGCTGTTAATACACTTTTCAATCAATCAATCAATCAATCAAAGGTATTTGGCCTCTATAGTGTCCATGACAACTGTGCAAGGTGATCGTTTTTTATATACCTGTTTCATGTCCCATTATCCAATTGTTGTGGGCTATTTCTGGATACCTAGAGCTATGATTTTATCAACAAAAATCTGAACAGAAAACACCATAGTCAACATTTGTGCGGTTCTTAACATTTCGGATATGTATTTCTACCTTAAAAAGTAGCTACTTGTAGCTAAAAACCAGGTTAAAGCGAGTTTTAGAGGTAGCGTTGAGCTAGAAGCTACTACTTAGTAACAGAGTTCATGGTTTGTGTTGGCACTTCATTTAGTTTACAACAATAATAAATAAATAATGAGATAAAGCAAACAGCTAAAAACGCTCTGTCTGATCCTGTAAGTATAATACAACAGTTAAAACATTGACAAAAAAGCGGGAAAAGTGACCCAAAACAGTTCAGTTGTAGCACATAAAGTCTAAACAATCAGCTAAAAGATGCTATAACGCTCTTCAGAGCTAAGGTGATAGGCTACATCTTTGTGGGTTTGTCACAAGTGGTAACTGTCACATTACACAGTAATTTGATCCATTGTTAACAAAAGGAGGAACTAATAGACATGTGCAGCTTTAAGGATTCATCTGTCCTACTGTGAGAGACGTTCAAGTTTCACTGGGTCAAACTATTTATAGACATACAGAACGACTGTAGACTATCCCCTCCTTTTCATGGAGTTGTGACATTACAAGCAGCGTTAAAATACTGATCAAACATGTATTCAAAGTTTGAGATTACATCAAATAAATACCAGCAAAAATGTAGAATACATGTGGTTATTTCATCCAACTTTAACTCCAACAGGAAATCCTCTGTCAGGTCAGAAATAAACCATCAACTACAGTATGCACATTTTTCAAATTCTAGCACAGCACATCCTTGCAGCTTGCCTTTACCTGTTGGTGGTGAAACCTGCAAGCTTAACTCTGCATGTATTAAACAGGTATACTAAATCAATCTTCGTTTAGTAAAACCTAAATCAGGATTAGAAAAGCTGTCTGATTCCAGTTTATATGATATGTTTCTGATGTACAGCAATTATCTTTCTAATAATAAATGCAGTTATCCAAATGAGCCTGTCACTGCCAGTTAGATGGAGAGGAGCTCAGATATTAATAGTTAACAACTGCTCGAAGTGTCCTGACACACTTTCTGTGGTATTCTGGTCGCTGTGTCTTTACTCTCACGACAGCGCTGCTAACAATTCTCTCTATGCATGTCTGTATGTCACTATGTGGTGTGCTAGTGTGTGCCGGTGCTCAGATATCAAAAACAGTTTTTGCAGTTGTTAACAGGGTCATTGTTGGCCAACATGCAACCTGATAAAATGTTACCCTTACAATACTTGAGGAATAATATTAGTCTTGTATTGTAACGGGTTTGACATTTCTTTATAGCAGATTTTCAGAGTCGTCGTCATAGATTGCAATATATAATTTTAACATGTTTTTAGTACATTTAAATGTAAAGCAATGCAAGGCCTAGATGACAGTTGGCTAAACAGCAACACATTTCAAATAGTAAAAATGTATTAAAAAAAAAAATCGTACAAATTATTATTTATTATGAGGAACACTATCGTCAACAAACTAGAAGAAAAGCATGTTTTAAGATCACCCGGAAAAAGAGAAAACCATTGGATTTGTAACACAAATAACTTTTATTTTGAAATTGTCATTTTACAATTAGTAAAAAATATGATAATTTCCCTTATACAATATATGTATTCTCCACTTACTTATAATACTTCTCTTATGTGAAAAAACTGTTCTAACGAAGAGTTCATTTTTTTATCAACAAGTTCTCAGATTCTCTACTCTTCATGACAGAACAAATATTTTTCAAATATTGACCACTTGGGTGTAAAACTGTCATTATGCCTTTTGGGTGAATTTCAAATATCCACGTAGGTTAGAGGTTAAAGAAAAGTAATTGTTTTCATGTGACAGCTACAGCTTTTTGATCCATAAGTTCCGACTGGAGAAAGCGTCTTTTACGAAATATTCTATATTATTCTCTATACTATCATTTGTGTACATGTTATGGTCACAAAAAAACAAAAGCCCTTTTTAAAAGTGAAATGAATAATTAGAAGAAGACTTCAATATGACAAAGTTAAAATCACAATTGTTGGATATATTAACTTCTATTTGTTCGAACAACACACATGTCAGACAAAGCAATCAAAGTATAGTCTTCAAGTATCTATAGCATCCTGTTAGTAAACACATGTAATCAAGATGAGGTTAGGTTAAACACCGCAGTAACACATCAACCAGTGAAAATAAAGTCAAGCACTGAGAGTTCAGATAATTGCAATACGCTGCACAGATCTCAGCACACCTTGCAAAGTCTGGTGAGATCAGACTGTATTTGTGCAGCGCTCCTTTTCTCCCATCTCCTCCCTTTATTTGTCTGAGCCCTTTTTCTTCACCTCTCCATTTCCACACAAACAAAAGAGTCCATAAGGCTGGGAATGTGATACATGTGCAATCAGTTGCTCTCAACACCAAATCAGCAACAGTCTCAGATTCAAGACATTAGAGAAATAACAGTATTGTGCCACTATTACTGTTTTCTGTAAGGTAGAGTCGGCTTTTAAGGTTTCATTTTGCTAATGAAAGTGCATAAAACACACAGACCGACAGCTTGTGCTAACATCGCTTTGTGCTGGAGGTTTTGAGGAAGCCCAGTGTGTCTAATTCACAGTTTAAGCAGGTATTCATCGAAAAATGGCAAAGTGCTGCAAGGTTGTTGGGCTGGCGAGTTCAAATCCCAGTGAGAGGATGAAGTACCATCCAGTTTGAGGAATATATCCATGAGTTTTAATACTTATCTGAAATCAAATACTGCACAGTGGATTATAATCCCTTAAAAACACCTGTGAAAGCATTGACAGTCTGAACTGAAGAGTATCTACCTGGCATGAATACTTGATTGCATTGCCTTTCCAGATGATGCAGCTTTGAGGCAGAGTTTAACTGTACCAAACCTCTGCTTTGTAAATGCAGTATCAAGTGTGTCCAGAGGCCTTAATGAGCGTCTTAGTAATGTGTCTGAGATGCAGGTAACACACTGACTAATGTCAGCATGGGAAATTGACAAATTAGGTGGAAACAATGCTTTCTGTGATGCATTTTAGATCTCCAGCATGTTTCAAGTTTCTGCAGGATCGTTTTGACCATAAAACACAATGGATATCACTGTCTGCTAAAACGCTTATAATACAGTTGAACTAAAGTTGGCATACTGCTGATTTGAAGTACCTCAACACTGCTATGGTCCTTTAGGTGTTGTATTCTATAATAATTCAAGCGACTAGAAAGGATAAGCCGCCATGAACTGACCGTCTTTTTTTAATTTATCACTGAAATAGCAAACATTCAAAAGGTTCCTCCATTTTCTGCACAAAGCTTCAACGCTAGATATTAGTCACTGTTCATACTTACTTCTGAAAGCAAACCAAACATCTGTTCAAAAACAAAAGCCACTCCCTTCTACAGTGTTAGTTAAGACTGGACTTCTTATACGTTTTAAGTACACATTTTCATGTACATCTTTAGAGCCATTTGATGTTTGCGGAGAGGTTAGGGCTAAGTCCTACACCCGGAGCTTTGTGTCTGAACATGGTGTTAGCAAAGCGGGTCTCAGAGCGAAGCAAAGTGCTGGGGCGGCAGGCTGTGGGCCAGGCCGGGCTGAGGGCTGGCACAGGCACTGCTGCTCACACTGGACCCAGGACTGGATGAAACAGGCAGGCTGGAGACTGAAGAAGCCTCCTTGTCTGAACCGTCATCATCTTCAATGTGCTGGGAGCGGTGCTGATGGGTGACCACCACCCTGGAGAAAAGACAGTGAGATAGTCCTGTGAGTTTTACTTTGTAGTGCGTACATACATTTAAATAACTTTAAACATTGTGTTTTAACTTAGATGGAAGTTCGACATGTAATATAACTTCATCAGAATGGTCTGTAAGCATCTCCCTGTATCTTCTAAGGATCTATCGTGGATTTTTGTTTTGTTGTTGTGCACCTTGATCTCGACGGGATGATGAGGTCTTGTCTGTTGGTGTCAAACCTTGAGATGTAGCTACTCTTTGACCACTGGAAGACACAACCGCAGAGAAAAACATTTTACATACATCACTGATGATAAATAAACATCACATTCTTCATTTATTTAGACACATGGATTTGATGTTCCACAGTCCCTCACCATGTGAGCAGGGTCATTGGTTCCCAGATGAACTCCTTTCTCGCAGAGAGTTGACAGCAGACCGATTCCTGCACAAAAAGAAGGCACAAAGAATGCTAAATACCTGGATTAAGTCTTCAAGCAGTGTCCATGTTTTTCTTGGTCCTCTCTGCTTAAAAGGACACATGAGACTTGATGCTCCTTGGTCTCTTTATGCAATGAAAGAGATTCATCTCACTCTCTGGTCAGAGGCTGAGCAGTATTGAATGCACTGTTGGTCATTTTGTGATCCAAGCAATAATAGACTATGGAGTTTGATGGTGATCCCTGCAGTGTTCATCTATGACCAGGAGTAGGGCTGCACGATTTGGGGAAATAATCTAATTGCGATTTTTCTGACAGATATTGCGATTCGATTTGCGATATTTGTTTTGTCCAACGGAAGTTTATTGTAAAATGCGGCCATATCTCCGGCTAGGAAGGTCGCATCAACATGCTCCCGTCTCTAGCACCCCCGCAGGCAGAGCTACGAGTGAAAGAACTAAACTTACATGAAACTTCCGTTGGGTTGCTTTAAAGTCAAGCTTCAGTTTAAGATTCACCCTGTAATAGATGTAAAACATGTGATTGGATCAATCTGTCTATCACCTACTATTAGGGATGTAACGATATATCGAATATCATGGTAAATACATGTTTCAATACCGTCGTGAGACTGACAAAATCTACCGCAATGTTTTTTTTTAAACCTTTATTTAACCAGATGGACAAAAACATGTAATTTAAAAAAAAAAAAAATTATTTACATTTTTTAAAAACATTTTTTAAATCAATGGAACCCATTGAGATCATCGATCTCTTTTTCAAGGGAGACCTGTCCAACATGGCAGCAAGTAGGTTACAACATGAACATAAAACAACAGATAACACAAAAGGACATCGTATTTACAGGGCTACATGTACATACCTAGAGACATTGACAAGTACCAACAGTATATTTATATCTCGCCCTGTCAATAAGCCTCACCTTCTTGGCAAAAACTGTATTGTTTTTGAAGTGGTGGAGAGACAATGCACAGTTTGACCCACTGCTGTCACCCATGGCCAAAGCATATATCTCTGTCCCAGCAACATCAGTACCAAGCAAGAGAGTTTTTTCACATTTTGTTTTCTTTATTTTTCAATATCGCGATAAATATCGTATCGTGGACTTTTTAAATCGCGATATTATCGTACCGTGAGTTTTTGGTATTGTTACATCCCTACCTACTATCATGGGCCACTTCTGATTGGTTAACAATGGCTGGTACATGTGGAGCACAGCACTTCTGATTGGTGTGGATGACATTTTTTTCGATTTAAAATCGATTAATCGTTCAGCCCTAACCAGGAGCCAAATGATACACCTTCTCTCTAAAACAAACAGACCCAGTGATACAAACTGGAAAAAGCTTCTAAAATCAGTGTTTCCCCCGAGGACAAAGGACAGAGCTAACTGCTAACAATTGCTCAGCTTGTTTCTCAGACCTCTCAAGATCGCGACTTCCAATGATTACAATGTTGTATCAGGTTAAAATGTAGAGTGAAAACAACCAAGATCTAAAGTTTTATGAATTAAGAAAAAGTGTGCCTTAAAACTAGATCAAAAGTAAGTTGAAGACAGCTTCTGGCAAACAACCATAAATCATACGCATTCACAAGGTTAAGGGCGGGGCTAAATTGACAGATTTCTCTGATTTGTAGTTGGTAAAGTTGTTGGAATTTTTTTGGGGATAGTTATTAGGATACGACTAACAAATATATAACATATAACATGGAACACACATACCTTTTGTCCTGTTGTTCCAGTACTTCTGCTCCCATTGGTCCAGCAGGACGTTGAGGTATCTTGGACACTCGAAGAAGCGAAGGTAGCGGGACGATGACTGTGATGGGAAAATACGCTGAAACTGTCCGGCACGAGAAAGCTCGTCTTCACTCTCTGTGAGCATACACACGTCCTCTGGAGTCAGGACATCTAACACTGGAGAGAGGAAGTCCTGACAGAGACACAAGACACACAGCTTTCATTTCTACTAACCTTTTTAACCAGATTAAATGCACTTTATGTACCTCGGATGTTTTCAAATATATTGTCTTATTGTTGATTCACTTTCCTGTCTAAATCTTTACTGTATTTAAATTCATTTACCTGGTCGGCGTAGCGCTGGGTGAGGTAAAAGGCCCGTTTGACTTTCTCATCGGCAGACAGATCCGGCTTGGTCCTTTCTCTGTTTCCTCCACACAGACTATAGACACATTTAAGTATTAATACATACTAGGGCTGCACGATATTGGAAAAAACTGACATTGCGATATTTTTTCCCCCTGCGATATATATTGCGATATGAAAAAATACAGGAATTGAAGAAAAGACAGTTTTTGGTCCGCAAACCATCCTTTCTTGAATTCTAATGCTATACAATTGGTATTTTTTCTAACTATATTTAACCAGATGAAGGATTTTAGTCACGGACTTCTGGATCTAAAGTTATCAGAGCGACAAGCTGAGCTAGCTCGGTTATCCTGCTGTGATCAGATCAAGAATGATTGTGATTGGTGGTTTGCTGTGCATGCAGAGCCTGCATGTCACTCACTCAAGTACCCCTGACATGAGAGCCGCGCAAGTTTTCCTTTTGTAGCAAGCAGCAAAATAATTGTAACATGAAGTGTTTGAGTTCATTTGCCAACTTAATATTGCACGTCCTAAAAAAAATTATTAAAAAATGTGCATGTCCTGCGATGTGAATATCGCGCATGCGCATAACACGATTATCGTCACGACACGATATATCGTGTAGCCCTAATATATACACACAGACACAAAAAGATTTGTTGATACAATTCAAGGTCTTTTTCTAAGGCTGTTTAAAGTGGACCTATCATGCTATATTTGAAACATATATTGTAGGGCCATACCTATATAAAACATGTCTGAAGTTTTTTTTTCAAAATACCAAACAGATCATGCATTTTAGCCGTGCCTCATTTCACTCGATTTTTTGCAAGGGCTGATTCTGCTTTTGTGGCAGACTACAGCGCCACTTACAGGCCTGGCATATGTACTACAGCGTCTCCAGCGCTTTGGAGCGGTCTCTCATTCCCCTGATAGGTGGAGAGTTGCCCATATAGCCGGAGCACCCCTTTTCTGACATCAGAAAAATTCAAATAATAATCAGCTCCGTTGCAGCCCCGTTTTTAGAGATGTGGGTATGGAGGAAAAGAGAGAGGGTTGTGTTTTCTGACACTTGGTGAGTTCCCTGACACACCGGGGACACATTCATGTATAAAAGACGTACAAAAGTGGATTTTGCATGATAGGTCCCCTTTGAATTGGATTCTATACATTGAAAGTTGTTTCAAGACAACCAGAATAACCTAGCTTCCTAGTCTTCCAGTACGTCCTCCCTACCTGGTTGTGGAGCTGGAGGCACTGCTGCAGGGCGTGATCACGTCATCTTTTTGGGGAACACGGAAGCCAGCCAGGTTCAGAAGGTCCCTGATCATCTGACCTTTCACTGCGACATCCAGCGCTGTGTTGGAATGAAGACTGGAGCGGAAACACAACATTAGAATAGTAGTTTGAAAATCTTGATGCGTTTTGTTTTTATGCGTGTGCATGTTACCTTGGTGATATGTTGACCTCCAGGATCCAGGGTTTGAGCTTCTCATCGAGCATGATGTCGAAGCCGAACAGCTCGTGGCAGCTGTAAGGTGTCCTGACGTGCATCTTCAGCAGAGTGTTAACGTACGGTTCGGACCTGATAATCCACACACAGGCCATTATCTCAAAGTTATTATCTTTTTTTTATTTCCAAAATACTTTTTCTAACACATTTGCAGTCATTCGACACTTCGGCTCCTGCAGTTAACACAAAGATTCCTCTGAGTTCAATAGTAAGGGCTGTGTCAGAAACACACAGACTTTAAATCATTCTTTTCCAAACAGAAAAATATAAAAATTGTGAATAATAAAATGTGCCCTACAATGATTTGGCAAACTTACGCAATGATTGTTTTGATCACAATGTCTTTAATCTTCTCCCAGATCAGAGTAGTGTTGACTCCTTTGGAACCCAGAAAATGCCACAAGGCCTTCAACGCCCTGAAGAAACACATATCATATTAATGAATTATAATGTATAGCATAGACATATGAATACAATAGTAACCAAGATGTGTCTCATATTTGAGTTTCACTTTTACAAACCATTTGTGCCCCTGGCAGGCCTGGTCGTCGCTGTTGCTCTGGTATTCAGAGTTCTTCTTGTTGACGCTATAGTTGGTCAGATGCATGAACTTGTTACCCAGAGTCTTCATGGAAGACGAATACCTGAAGAGAAGAAACTTTGAATTCAATCTAATCTATCATTCTATCAAAAGCTTTTTCTCAAGTCTCTGACACATCTAAATGTCCAATCAGCCATTTAGATTTGAAGATCATATTCATCATACAACGACACATCCTATCACCTTGTCCTGCTTAAATGAAAGATTTGCACCTTGAGCATCATTTATTTCCATTTGACATAACCTATCCTACAGTATCTGGCCTTGTTGTCACTGTGGTGGATGAAAACTGACTTGCAGCTGGCGAATCGAACCAGTCCATCAGAGAAAATGTAAACTCTGAGCGGGTCGTAGGATGACACGTAGACGTAGATCCGCAGGTCAAACTTGTTACCGCTGATGAGGTAGGGCTTGTGAAGGTACCTGCCAAACACAACCAGGAAACAAATGTTTTATCCTAAAGATTCATTTAGTGTTGCGTTCTGGAAAATGGTCGATGTTCTACTAAGTTTCAAACTATTAACGGACTTGGCTACTTACTTCTGGACCAGCAGTGGTCTCTTGCGGGGCAGCTGGCCCCATCTGTGGATGACCTGGATACCGATTCCTCGGGCCGAAGCAGGCTATCAAAAGGAGAGAAGAAAGACAGAATTTAATAAACAAAACACATATTTTCTTTAACTTCAAAACATTTTTTTCTTAAGCATCAAGATCTGGAGTTATTCTTTGGAACTTGAACTAATTGCCAAATCGTTTTTTACAGCAATTAAAGCCAATCATCGTCATCATTAGAAAGAACACCTTGCTATAAGGCAACTAAAACCAGAAAGACACAAAAAAACATACAAATAAATAAGCCATCCTTACAGGAAAGCATAAATATGACTTAATATGCCAAGTTTGTAATTCAACACCAGCTGATGTTTTGTTGCCAATAAATCCAAAACACAATTCATTTAGTCCATGGTTCTTTTGCCAGTGATTTGTTTGTCTATGTACAAGCAGAACATACCGGTTTGATGATCCATTTCTGCCGGGGGCCGCCGTCCTCCCAGGCCTTGCGTAGCATCTTGATGTCCTGAGGTAGGACGAAGGTGCGAGGGAAAAAGCTGAACTCTTGTTTGCCGAAGCGAACCTGCATCTTGGACAGGTTCCTCCACAGCCGGTCCTTTCTGCCGATCTGGAACGTTCCCGGGAAGTGGTTCAACTGGGACAAAAGAAAATCACAAAAACCGCCAAGTTAATACTTCTTTGGGACAGAAGATGTAAAGAGCACATTTCATAATTACACTTAAGTTAAAAAGGGACTGCTGCCCAAAAGTACAGATTTACCGTCTGACCATAAGTGCTATTAAGATTGGGGCAAGAAGGAAGTGTTCATGTACTAAGGAAATTGAGAATAATAGTTGAATGTTGCTAGCTCATCTACATAGCCCCTCATTACTGAAGGGGACGCAATTCATGTTTACATTTCACGCTGCATCAAGCAGGAACCTCTATACCAGGGCTATTCAATTAGTTTGGAATGGGGCCGGTTGATGAAAATGCTCCAAAGCAAGGGGCCGGGAAAAAGATGGCTTGAAATATGAGCAATCATATTAAGAGCTTCAGATACAGTTAATACTACAACAGCATAGTGCATATATTGTGTTTAATTAAATCAAACAACATAGCCCCAAGGCCTTTCTAGATCTAAAGGGCAAGTTCAGAACTCAGTAGGACGACATGTGAAGCTAATTTAACCATCAACATCATTTCATTTGATTTAATCTAGGTGAAATGATCTAATCATTCAAGCAGAGATGCAATCAATGACAGGAGTTGTCACTACAGTAGCTAGTAGGTGAGTTCGAAACCCGAGCCCGCCGAGGTTTTCAGGCAATGTGTTCCCCTCTCTCTCAATGTAACACCCTCTCTGGAATAAATATCCCCCCGGGCCGCTAATTGAATCGCCCTGCTCTATACCATGAATAAATGCTTCCCTTCGGTGCTGTGACATTGGGCAGGTGCACTTAAAAGTAAATAGTTCCTTGATGAAACTGTTCATAACAGGGTCATGTCATTTTGTTTTGACATGCCCTCTCGTTCCATTATAGTCAAGAGAAATCAAACATCTACAAATAATTGACATCTCGCACCTAAACCTCTAGATTATTATATACATTTAATAAATACAGTTTCTGACCTTCTGGTGCTCTGCGAGGGCCTTGAAGCCAGGAGACTTCATGTGGTGTCCCCAGCAGCCCAGCCAGTCATAACTTTCTAATAAACGAAAGAGGGACACACACATTTGAATTACTCAGAGCAAATGTTACATGATTTTAGAAGCAATGAACTAGAACACATTACATACAATTTTGACAAGAGATATGAAACCGTGTCCGTTTCAACACATGTGATGACTTACTTTTGGTCGCCTTGAAGTGTGACCTGCCAATGGTGTGTTTGACAATATTTGGAGTGACGTTGCTTATCTTCCATTTTAACAGTCGTCTTTGTTCAGCTGGCAGCAGTTCCACTGTGGATCACACAGCACAACATTTGTGCACATTTATAAACAAATAAATACACATTGTGCTTACATATACTCATGCATAATGCAAACACGGAAATGGTTCACAGTACATACATATTTTGGTATAAGATGTAAACTTACAGTACAATCTTTGGTACCACTTTACAATAAGACTAGCCTTATAAAGGGTTTACGAATAGTTTGTAATTCATTTATTAATTAGGTTTTGAACACTTTATAAATCATTAATAAGCTTTTATAAGACATGAGATAAACAGGGCAACTGTGACCGGTTGCTTGCCAAATAGTGAGCCCATATTTATCTGTACTGCTAAGCCTTATATTGGCTACCTAGGTTACTTCGTCTTCTTCATCAGCCAGCATCCTTGTTGTTCACTGAGTTGATTCTCGCTAAGTATAAGGCTTAGTCATCTTGCCAAATAGTGAGCCTGTGTTGATGTATGAAAACTATGTTTATAAATGGTTCTTAATGATTAATAAAGTGTTTACAACCTAATTCATAATCCTAAAACCCGGGAGTAAGTTAGCATTTGACCACTTCCGGTTCCTTCGACAAAATCCTATGGAGAAATTGCATTGGTTTTTGTCGAAGGAATCGGAAGGAGTTTGCTTCCGGGTTTTAGGAATCTGTGGCACTCGATAGCAACCCTTTATGAATCCTTTATCACACTTAAAGCTACTAAATCAAAACAGACGTTCGGGTCCTGACCTTTCTCATTGGCAGTGCTGAAGTACAGTGTTGGTGGGAGTTGAGGGAACAAACTGGGAACCAAAGCTGGTCTCTCCTCTCGATGATCGTCCGCCTCCAATGACATCGGCTCCTCGATACTAAGAGAAAGAGGGAGGAATAATGATAAATCATAAAATGACTGTTCAGAACTAAAAAAGGGAAAAGTTGGCATTGTGATGGTCGCGTCAGAAACTTCTGATAAGGACCATTTTGGGTGTATCACTAGTACACTATAAACAATCTCAACAAAACCATCCCATCTCAAACAAATACATCAACAACAGTGAGTGAGACATGTGTCGTAAAGGGACATCATAGGTAAAGTATAAACTCTGTAAACTCATAAATTACTATATCTACAAATAATCTTTCTGTTTCCTTCTGAAGTCAGCCCAGTTCCCGCCCTCTCAGCGCCACAGCTCTTCTTACCTTGTCACAACTAAAACAAGCAAATTGCTCACAACTAAATGAAAAAGTAATGCATCTAGTGTTACGTTCAGTGCCAGAAGTTGGCATCCAGTCAAAAGTGAGTAGAGTGTGGACTGGATTGATGACCGATTGCAGTATCCGGTAGTAACATGACGCGTGTGTGAATTTGGTGTACACCACACGGAGAGTAAATGTTCACACTGAGTCGATACTTATGAAGAAGGCTTTCTGAAGAAGGACACTTTTCAATCCAACTGTAAGGATTACTATTAATATCTCTATTAATAGTAATCCTTAAAGTTGGATTGAAAAGCTAAGACATTTAGCCAGGACAGCAAATGAGGACATAAGTAACCTCAACAAAATAACACTGGAGCAAGACGAGAGCCGGTTGAATCAACGGCGAGTCATTTTTACGCAGCCGTAAAGTGTTTTTCGTTGTAGGCAGTTTCAAGTAAGCCAAACATTCGAATACTCCTGAGCTCTTTTTTCAATTCAACACACAAAATAATTAGAATCAAAACACAAAATAAAAAAACTCACATGACAGTCATATAGGAAGAAAAGATGGATCAAGAAACGGGATAATGTTATCTTCTTGCAGATTGTTTCTCTTAAATAAAGTCCTTCTACCATCAAGAGGTATATAACTGCATAACAGCTGTGCTAGGCTAACTTAACACTATACTAGAGATACAGGTGCTTTAGCTTAGGAAAGGGAGTGCAGGTGATGGGGTGTATGCAAATGAACACAAACAAAATCAGCTGGTTGGGTGAAAAAAAAGGTGACAATAGCGGTCCCTATCCAGGCTGTTTTCACAGAGAATCAGCTCCGAGTCTTTGGTAGGGAGTTCTATTGTTGAGGCCATCATAGTGGAGAACAAAATGACCCACAAAGCAGCAGACCTTTCCACCACGCTCTGCTGCTTTCAGACTCTTTCAACAATTGCAGTGAGAGAGAATGAGAGAGAGAGAAAGAGTCCACAGGATCTGATGGATTTAGTTTTATTCCATGTTAGGAAACCAATTCAAATCCAGGCTTGGATGTTGGGCGTTCCAAGGAAAGGACGTGGACATTTTGGAGTTGTTTTAGCAGTTGAGAAAAACGCTTTCAAACCACAATAACTTGTCTGGACAAAAAACGTTTAAAAAGGTACACTACATACTGAGAAACATTGTTGTTATTGATAGATATCATTTTATCTGACCATCAGTTATTTAAATGACCATAATAAAACCTGAGAGAGGCATGAGAAACAACGTATAAATGTATATAGGTTATAAATGAATACAGGAAGTATAGAATTTGCATGGCTGCCGACAATGATTGCTGCTCCTCGTCAGGTATACACTTAAGTACCACAAGAGGGAACAATAGGACTAAATGATTGAAACAGCAAGCACGACTCAGAGTTAATGTGGATTCACACTTTAGAGAAACAGAGGGCTATTTGCTCAATGAGAAAGAAAACTAGACGTGTCTGGAAAACTGTCCAAAAACACATTTTCATTGTGCAAGAAAACAGCTGTACTCCACAGAGTTTGCATCAGGAATAGTCCGTGTTCTTGTGGGTACCATGAATGTTAACCTAAAAGAAAAGTGTGTGGGGGCGGGGTTATAGAGTGCATCTTACCCAGAAAGTAGAGCGATGGATGCTGTGGACGAGGTGCCAGCTATGGATGAACAGTCGGAGTTATCTGAAAAGAAGACAAGACAACTAAAATCAGTGTCTATAAAATACAAACTATAGAGCTAACTGGCTGATGGCAGCTTACTTTTGATGAAGTACTCAGTGTGTATTTAACATCTTACCATCATCACTACAGTCATTTTCCATCTCATCATCAACCAGCTCCTCCTCAGCTCCATCCAGCTGCAGAACACAGTCCTGGCTAGAAACAATGAATATAAGGTCAGATATAGACAGTGAAACACAGCATCTACTGATTGAGAAGCAAATAGCTGTTGCTCACCCAGATGGTTCAGTCTCTCCAGCCGGGCACTCCGCCGTTGGTGAGGGTGAGGCAGCGAGAGGAGAGGAAGCCTGCCTGGTTAGATGGATGGCAGAGATCTGAGACGTCACAGAGCCCATCATGGCTCCTGATGGACTGGAGGCCACAGCTACAAGGGAAAGAACACCTTGCAGTCATAAAGGGAGGACAGGCATGTGAACACACACAGTTCTCCGTTTCAGCGTGAAAAACTATTTAAACACTGAAATTGTTATTCTTCTGTCAAGTGACTAATCGATCAATTAACTATTCATTTCAGCTCTACAGAGGATTCAATAACCAGACAATATATCGTTCCCCAGTTCTAGCACGCTTCCCAGTAAAGTAATAATTCTGATTACCTGTGATGGCATTCTGTGGCGAGGGCTGCTGCTCCTGAGTGGCACGGACATTGGCACTGAGCACAGTTGGCGTGGAGCTATTTGGAAAGGGACTGGCGGCTGCAGGGCTGATTCTTCTGCATGTGGACAAGCTTCTTTCCTGTGGACATTGACGGTCTGGGGCCTGCTTGTTTAGGTCAATGGATACTACTGTTTTGGGCTTGCAGTTTGTCGTTGCTGGAGGACCACCTATTACTCGCAGCTCTTTGTTTAAAGCAGTTATTGTGCAACTGTTTTGTGTCTGACTGCATATTTTTGATTTTGCAGAATGGCTCCGTCTCATAGTTGCTGTTTCTCCTGTGCTTCTTTTTTCTACTTTTGTGTCCTTAGTGCTGGAGGCATCTCCCAATGCTGCCCCCTGATGGTCACAGAGAGAACGGCATAGATGAGGCACTGATGGTAGAGAGGAACAGTCTGCAGTCTCAGGCTAATAAGACAAAACAAGGAAAGGTCAAGTCTGGAGGATCTATGGATTTATCAAATATAAAGAAAAACTGAAAGCATTTCACTTGAAAAGCAGACATTATTTTTAATTCTGGGGAAAACGTCTGACAACAATTCTATACTATAACTCTTGTGAGATTATACTTCTTGAGACATCAATACTCACCATCATCTTGATAGTTTGCTGCAGAGTGGGCTGTCCTTTGATAAAAGGTCTTGATGAGAAGCTGAGGAAAGAGGCTCCGATCCTGACAGCGCGTCCCCTGTGGCAGCCGGACATCTGCTCGTTGCTAATCCTTTTGCCGTTAGAGAGGTTTGAAGCCGCATACAGTTCTGCGTAATGCCTGTTGAATTGACATTGAATCCAATCTTACATTCATTCTTGGGGAATGAGGAAGTGGCACTGGTGTCTTTGAGGCTGCTTCCACCCAGTACCTGGTTTGGGTTATTAGTCCCATGAAGTTGTGGCCGGTTATCAGATCCATCTGGCACAGTGGTGAATTGGCTATGGGTGGTTTCATTTCCGTTCCCATTCTCTAACACAGAAACCATATACGCTGTGTTCCGCCTCAAGGGGGATGCAGATGAGGCAACTTTAGAGGAGAGAGGTTTGGCTGCATCCTTTCTCCTGGAGAGCTCTAGGGAAGTCTGATTAAAAGGCACTTTAGTGGCCACACCTGTCTTGGCATGTGTACTGACAGAGGTTGTAGAGGTGGGTCTATCGTCAGTGGAGCAAGCCCGAAGATTTGCCCCACCCCATGGGGAGGACTGGTTGGTGGGCATGGCACAATTCAACAAAGGTCTAGTTATTTCCAAAGGGCTAGATAAATAGAATAACAGTTGCAACGATAAAAAGGCCTAAGATGAAGGGGGGGGTCCTCTTGGTAACTCCTCCTGATTGGCTCTTCTGTTGGAGTGACTTTTGAGATGTCAGCTCCAGTGGAATGGAGTTGTTAAATATCTATTGTTCACCGTAGATTGAAAAAAAGTTCTTGATAAATCCTCCCCAACAGTTAACATACCTGCAGTCACAGAAGCAGTGATAGCAGCACAACACTTGGGCCCAGCAGCTGTGGTTCAGGTCAGCAGGACAACTCTTCGTAGCGATGCAGGGTTATAAGCCTTCATGTGAGCAGGCACATAAGCATTTCCTCCAGAGGCAAAGCGGTTCCCACTCTAATTAAACAGTGACACTAAGCGTTTGATATATAAAGAGGACACATCAAGGAGTCTCGAGGACATTGCTGGTGCAGACTGAGCCAGAACCAGTTTCAACTCCTTCTCAACAACTCTAGTGATGAAACGTAAGCTTCAGGCTACATTTCTCAGCATTTTGAGATTTACCGTGTCTGTTTTGTATTTATCGATTCAGCTGGCCTGGTTTGATTGCTCTTTATGAGTATTTTTGCAAATAATGTCCTCAAAAGGGTTGAGAGCTAAACAACGTTTATGCTAAGATTGTTTCTATTTCTTTTTTTAATTACATCATGCCCAATAATTGACGACAAAAGCTGAAGTTATATTCACGTTGAACACTCACATTTACCATGTTCCCCACCTGCCCTGAACACAACACTCCTTCACTTCCTGTTCACCTGAAGCGCAGGTGATATTGATGAGGATAATAACTCACTACTACTTTTTTACGATGTTGTATTTTAGTGTTGCCTCTGTGTTTAGTGTCCTGTCTGTAACTTTGTGTGGTAGTGTTACCACTGACAGGTCTCTCTTGAAAATGAGACCTTGTGTCTCAATGAGATCTACACCTGTATAAATAAAGGCTAAATAAAATAAAAAATAAAGCCGGCGTCCTTCCTTCACCAGAGGACTACTTTGGAACATATTTGAGTTGCATTTTAACCACGAAGATCACAGACAGTAATGTGATTCGGTTTCACCTTCAAATTCTCCATGGGATAACTGTGAAGAGCTTAGAGAAGAAAAAGAAGAGACTGTTCTTAGGTGGTTCAAAGATCTTTGGAGTTCCTCCGGAGAATTTAGCCAAGAATACTTGGCATACTCCAACAAGGTGTCAGGTCTTTGGAAGAGAGAGTGGTATCCTTGGAGTTCTCATGTATTCCTCAGTTGATTCACAGGAGGCAATAAACCACTGGAAGTACAAACAAGAGGAGCAGTCAGTTTAGTCCTATTGTGATAAATTACCATAAGCAGAAGACATCATGTTAATGTTCATCATTCGTATGGAAAAAAAGGCATCTTCAAGACACCAATGTTGCATCTGTTATTCCTTCACCAGCTGTTTAAAACATATTGTCTCAATATGTTATATTAAAAAGATAGAACAAGGATGTCAATGTGTTTCAACAAGGAATAATTCAACCACTACTGAAGCCAGTCAAAACATATGCATAAAAACAGTGTATAGTATAACATTCATTTAAAATGTCCTTATTTAAAGTATTCTCTTTAAATAATAGCTACCAGGTTAAACTACACTGAACATGTTGGTGTTTTGAAGATAAGTCCTGCGGTCAATTCAAAAGCACTTGTGTGTTAACAACTAAAAAAGTGATTAACAGGCCCAGCAGGTGTCCAAAGTTATAATGAGTAACATTAAGAAGATGCCCAACCATTGAAATCACAGCTATGTGAGCTAGCTAGGCGAGTTAGCTAGCCAATATCACTAAAGCAAGACATTCTACTGACAATATGATTACAGATGCTACCAGCAGTTTACCAGCATTATTTCTTTAATAATGTTTTATCATGTCTCTTAACAGCAGGCAGCGTGCTGTGTGCTGAAAACACTGCTGTCATGTCCTGGAAAGCAGTCTCACGTGTGTGTGCTTCCAGGACACGCCGCTTCATGCTTCGCTTTACATTAGGCAACGAGCAAACTAACTAACTTACAAGTCTTCTGTGATTATATTAAAACAATAAAGTAAGCTGAGGCAAGACTTACTTTAACACCTGGTTTCCATGACAACAATACACTTTTTATTGCCCTGTAAAATGCCGGCTAATGATGCTAGTTTGTGTCCGTTTCTTAGCTTAGCAACAACGGCCAACACAACACCAACTGTCATTGGTTGTTTGAAAGCCTCCATCCACAGTCAATACTAACGTTAAAACACAGCCTTGCTATCAATTTATGAATATATATCCATACCTACTTCGTCCCTGTAGTGTCCCTAACATGTTGTTCCGCTGGTGTTTAGGGAGCTACCCGGCAGAAGCTGTTACATTGCAGTCAGTGGTGAGCTGAAAAGTGCGAGTGAAACATCATGGACGAAGATCGTCTACTCAGAGAAGAGAGCCACTCCTGGTTCAGAATCAGAGCTCCCTCCACTGTCAATGTTAATGTTTTCAAAGATCCTTAAACATGAAATATGTGTAGAAGTTGTCGATACTATAAAATAAAATGATCTACAATATGTTCTTGCAATTTAAAACATTTTTTGTAATAGTTATTATTTTAAATAGAAATGTTAGGCTGAACCCCTTGAGATGCACATTTCGTTTTCAAGGGGTCTCCAGTGTTGAGAAGTAAGTGGCCTAGTGTGACCATTGAAGAGGTTTTCATCCCTCCAATTCTATATTCTACATTCTATTCAACATAAATGTTTGTCCCCACCACTTTTTAAAAGTATTTACTTATAATATAAAGTGTCTGAAAATAGGTGCACAAGAATGTAATAAAGAAAAACACTGGCTCGTTGTGTGCATAAAGGTACAAATTCACTCCAAATCACATCACAGCAAGACCTATAGTTGGGCGCTCATTATATTAAAAACACATTGGTGGTCCAGAGGTCTATGCATTGGTTTTTCAAGCAGGTGCTCAAGGTTCATCACCCAGAGGAAAAGTTTTCATGTGATGTGATTTAGAGTGCTATGGAATTTGCCCTGGCGTACATATACATTGATATTTCAATTTCTATATCAAAATGTAACTTTGGTTATAGTTAAACAAAAACAATGTAATCCTTGAGAGTTGAATACATATCCGGCTATCTTTGTAACAATGACTTGGAGCGCTTCTTAGGAAAAAATGTAACAATCAAACAATGTTTAGACATATCTTAATTTCTAGTTTCAGCACTACTCAGTGTCTTTTCAGCATAGTTCTTTGCAAACACATCATTTTTCTTGAATCAAACTGAGGAAATCTTTCGAGGCACCACTTTGTGTTATTGGTTGTGATGTTGGTTGGTTTTCAGCTTCAGGGTTGACTCTTATTTCACCACTAGATGGCTCATTAGAGGGAAGACCTGTAAAACAAACCTCTGTCCTCTCCTCCCTTCTTGCTCCTCTGAATGCCCTGTTTCTCCTCTTTTATTCTGACCCATTTTATATTTTATCCACTCGATTTTTTCTTCTCTCTCATCTATTCCTTTCACAATATTTCTTACATTATCTTCCTCCACTCTTTCCAACTACTATCTCTCCTTTTACCTTCCCTCTTATTCTCACTTGCTTCTAGTTGTCTTTCCTATTTTTTCGCCCATCCCTTTCTTTTCCTCTCCTCCCATCTTTCTAATTTCATCCCCCCTTTCTATTCTTCTCATATCCCTACAGTTTCTTCTCCTTTCCTTATGTCCTTTATTTCATCCTTTTCCCATCCCAACTTTTACTCTCCTCTTCACTTGCCTGTTCATCTCGTTTCCTAACCACCCTCTGCTCTCTTTTTCTTCCCTGTTTCCTTCCTTCCTCTACAACCCCTAATCTTTTAAATCCACCTCACTTTACTATCATTTCCTGCTCTCTCCCTCTCTCTAAACTCCCTCCTTCATCAAGTCTTGTTTTTCTTCTTCACTGTTCCAAATACTTTCCCCTTCTCATCTCGTCATTTATTCTTTTACTTTTTACCACCCTTTCTTCCTCCACTCTTTTCCTCCCGCTGCCCATCATCCATTCTTCTAAAGCTTTTCCTCTTTCTGGACTCTTCTCTTCATATCCTCCTTTCCATCTGGCATGCCAGATCTTGCAGACAGAGGAAGAGAGAGAGAAAGTGTGTGTGTGTGTGTGTGTGTGTGTGTGTGTGTGTGTGTGTGTGTGTGTGTGTGTGTGTGTGCATGTGTGTGGGTGTGTGTGTGTGTGTGTGTGCGTGGGTGTGTGTATGTGTGTGTCTGTGAGAGAGAGAGTGTGTGAGAGGGAGAGAGAGAAAGTGTGTGTGTGTGTGTGTGTGTGTGTGTGTGTGTGTGTGTGTGTGTGTGTGCGTGCGTGCGTGCGTGTGTGTGTGTCTGTGTGTGTGTGTGTGTCTGTGTGTGTGAGAGAGAGAGAGTGTGTGAGAGGGAGAGAGAGACACACACACACAAATAAAGAGAGCCAGCATACTGAAGCTGAGCAGTGTGCGGGTTGAGGAGCAGGATCACTTCTGTCCTCAGAGCTCAGGACGATCCAGTCTCAAGTGTCACTGAGAGGAGCAGAGTCTGCAGCTGGTTGTCCACAGAGAAACAAGATTAATAAGACACCGGACCTTTTTTCAGACTTCAGGATGATCTATCACCTTTCAAATCAACACAGAGACTAAGCTGCTTCGGCTCGGTTAAATTAACCATTCCCTGAAAGAGGACTAAAGAAGAAAAAGAAGAGGAGGAGGAGGACAAGTCATTCTATCAACAAAAGACAATCAAAGAGGTCTAAATTGGCGGCTTTGGGGACTATTGGATGTTTTGTCCCTTCTGAAACCCAGAAGAAAAGAGGAATAAAGAAAAAGTGACACGAGAAAAGAAGGAAAATGGTCCCATTGTAAGAACAACCAGAAGAGGATGTTGATGTCTGTTGCATCCACTGATTCGCAAAGAGAAGAAGAAAATAACATTGAAAGAAACATAGAGAGAAGAAGACAATAAAGATAGCTTTTTACCAAATCCAAGAGGAGGAATAAAGTAGATAAGAAACAGACGGAAGAAGTTTTTCTACCAACCGATTGATCAAAGACCTTGTAGACCAGCATTTGTGTCATTCTCTAAAGTTCGGATAACAACGAGGAACATCAGCTTGTTAGAATTAGGGAAGAAAATTCATTTTACATCAAAGTTTGAGATTTTTATTAAATATTCTCAAAGAAAAAGGTCTTCATTTGCAGTTTGCTGAAGACAGAGAAGTAAAAGGACCAAACATAACAGTCAAAGGAAGCTACAAAAAGAGAATAATTAAACAGAGGAATAAAGAGAAAAGAAAAAAGAGTAAAAGAGAAATATCTTCTGAAAAGGGAGGAAAAATAAATTCGAAGCGACCACAGAGACAAAAAGGAATAATCAAGGCACAGGGATGAACCAAGAAGAGAGGGAAGAGTAAAGAGCCCAACAAGGACACATTAAAGTAATAGGGGGGACTGAAAAACAAAAGTCCTGGAAAAGGACAAAAAAGGTTTATAGAGGAAAATCAAGAATAGAGACTGAGAAGGACCAGGTGTGACAATGAGGCTGCCTGTGCTTCTTGCAGCTTCTCTCTCCGTCCTCTACATTGCAGCCGTGGTCCCGGCAGAAAGCTTGGCCCCGGGCCGGCTGGAGCGCTGGGTCCGATCAGGCCTCCAGTCGCTGCAGTGGGACCAGCTGGAGCGATGCCTCCGCATGTCCTCCCTCACTGAGGCCGAGTGCAGGCGCATGGCCCACCTCCCAATGTCCTCTGTGGCCGTTTACATATCGGAGCCTCGCTCTGCTGCAGGTAGGAAGAGCAAAAACGTTTGTTTTTTTAATGCTGAGTGAGGGTTTAACAGGAGATATAATACAGGTTACAAACAGTTGATGTACATTTCTAAGTGATAAAAAATGTCAAGATGTGAAGAAAATCCATGGTATTGGACCGTTAAAAATGGTTAGTTAAAAATATTTCATTGATGCATAAATAGCCAACATCAAAGTTCATGTTAACACTGCCCAATTGGAGAGAACACTAACAAGAGAGTGAATGAGACATCATGTGCAAAAATGAACTGTTTTAATGGATGTAATATGACATTTGACAAATTAACTTAATTGAAAAGTAAATATTACAAGTAAAATGAAAAATGTGTGAAACCTGTTGACATAAAAATTGCTCTGTTATCCTTCTATATCATATAACTTTAGAATTACCATAATATGTTTTGTAATTTATGCAAAAGGCTACAGGTTTTCTTTGAAGATGTAACCACTCATAAAGTATGACCCTAACATTGAGCATAATATGTCCTCTTTAATGTTCTAGTATCTCTTTCAAATGCAGCATTAGCTTTGTATAGTTGACTCTCCTAGTAACAGTCTATTTTTTATCAAAACCCTCCAGGTAACTCAGACAAAGTTTTTGCCATCCTGCCGGACTCCTCAGGTGGCTCGATGAGCTACAAGCCCCGGGGAGGATTCAGTGTCAGCCAGGCTCTGAATGGACGGGAAGGAACCCACAGGCGACGGCAGCTTTTCCCTGGCTCCACAGCCCATGATGCCGTGCTGGTGCTGGATCCAAGCCCAGGGGAGAACTTTGGACACCCAGTGGTCCTCTTCTACGTGGATGTAAATGTGACAAAGAAGAGATGCTCCCACCTGGATGGAATTTACCTGGGTGAGTCTTTTGTACACATAAAGAAATAAAGTGGTTAGCCTATGTTAACTTTGTTTAAATCATCTATTACTTGCAAGTTAATTTCTTTGTTAGTCAATTGTTTTTTTCCGCATATTGCATTTACAAAGATTACTATGCTTACAAATTGTTTTCTGGTATAAATCTTCAAGACCTGTCAGATGCAAGGGAAGCTTTGAATCTTTAGCATTCATAATTCTAGTAGTAGTAAGCAGTGGTTTTGTTCTAGTGATGATGGTAATAGCAGATAAAGCTCATAAGCAAAAGTATTAGTAATTATAATCACTAACGGGGTGCCACAGGGATCTATTCTTGGTCCCATTACAATTGATATTATTCATAAAAAAACGATTAAACTATATTTTGTTCAGATGATACAATTTAATGTCACAAATTCTGTCATAAGTGAGTTGTTATTATTAGTAGCATTAGTCTTTCAATGTGACTTCGTTGTTCAATTTGAATCCATGCTCCAAATGTGCTCGTATCTCTGAGCGTATTTAGGGTATGGCGTGTAAAGTTCTGCCATTAACTGAAGCAGAAGAGAAAATTACATTTGGATGTGCATGGTCTAACCCTCTGAAAGCTCCATTTATAGCTCATTGTGTGATGCAGGATACTTTTCTGCAGCTTCAGCACTTTTAACCCACAGCAACACCATTCACAACTTCATGCTCTGATTTAGGACTGACAACATAAAGATATCATGAGGTTTAACATTTGGTTAAGATTAAAGGATAATTCATAGCTTTTGTTTAGCTATAAATGATGATCAAAAGTAAATTGCCAGAAATAATAATCAAATTGTATTAAATGTTCGTCTGAAAGCTTCTCCTACCTCTACTCATCACTTAATATGGGGGTAAATCCATATTTCATGCCCTATATATTTTTTAATATTGTCATATATAATTTTTAGTCTTAATACATCTATGTATTGGGGAAAACAAAGATGCTCTGAGTGATCACAGAGAATTTCAGGAGGAGTTGGGCAGATGTTCCATGACACTTGGAGTATTTTGGACATATTTTTAAAACATCAATGTCTTAAAAAGGTCCACTATTGGTGGCGGTAAACAACCGCATTACGGTGGATAAAAGGCCAAAGTGAGAGTAAAAGCAGTAAAAGAAGTGTAGAAATAGGGCACAGGGACATGTATTCTGTAATGGTCCTCTCAATTCCTGTGAAAGTAACATGCTTGCAAGTGCAAGTTGTTGACCCCCGCTGTGAGAGAGGTTAGGGCCAGATGTTGAGGTAAATTTGGCCCGGTTTTATATGACTGTCAATTATTCATACACATACACACACAGCACTGGACCCCCTGATGGGCCCTGTAGATGGTTTTGGACCAAAGTCTTTTAGAGCGAAACTTCATTTAGACCCCATTTAACCTGGTGGTGACAGCAAAAAAGAAAAAAAAGGGAAGGGTGAAAAAAAAGTTTTGGGAAGCACACGATGAGAAGAGAAAATGATGACATAAAAGAAAATTGAGCTGCATTTTGAGCGGTTGCAAATATACAAAGGTTCAATCTATCTTTTAAACATTGCTATTGTGTTTTTCTGTTATGAACACAATTAGGCATAGTCGCAGATGTATGCCTCATCCGATCTGCATGCAAGGATAAACCTTCTGCAATAACCCTAGCCTATGACTAGTATAGGAAAAATGAGTGAAATGCATACGCCAGCACCATAGGAAATTAATAGAGGCAACCCACAAACATTAGAGGGAAGATAAAAAGTTTAACGATACCATTAAAATGCAGAGAAAGTAATAATACCGTAAATACTACTTAAATTGTTTAGTAAGAAGGCTCATGGTCACATAAAGTATTGGCCAGGTGCACAATCTCACACATCTGAAACTGCTTTTGTACACTTAAAGAATGCAACATAATAGGCCTATTAAGAAGCCAAACCAGTTATAATAGACTAATCTAATATAGTTACACACGCAAAGAAAGTACACATGCAAATGCAACAGAAACAGTAAACCATCAACACACAGCTTCTAAATATTTAAAATTAGATTTTTTTTCATCACCATTGGCAATATATGTATGCTGTAGGTGTAGTTAGTATACACTGGTGTACGTAGGTTCTCAACGCTCTCCTATCCATTTTTTGGAAAATAATCAGCACCTTTAAGTGTGTGATCAGGACAGTTAAGAATCAGTTTAGCTTTACATACATAGATATGCTTACACCTGTAACAAACATTTGATTCGTAAGGTTTAATTACGATCTCACTTTTACAAATACAATTCAACATTTTTCTGTTAAGAAGGGGAGGCCAAGCTGACCATTACAGCCCACTGATCTTATTTCCAAATGCTGGAGAATATGTTGACTCATCTTGTGTTCTTTCACTCTCTGTGTCTTCAGGTGAGGAGTGTTTGACTCTGGCTTTGAAGGGTCGCTGTCAGAACCAGCTGAAGCGTCGGCAAGCAGGGCCAGAGAGGCTCATGGGTAACGGACATGGTCGGCTGGCAGGTGGTGCAATGCGTGGTAGTACAATTACTACTAGTGGGGGAAGGCTTTGTGAAGTCCACTTCCTCCCACTGGTTGTCGGAGTTGGAGACAGCAACCGAACGCAGAGACTCAGATGTGTTGGTACGTTTTAAATAATTCCTTTTTTTCAGGGTTCAGCAGGTCCGAACAAAATCCAGCCAACTCCTTTAAGTATTAAAGATATAGGAAGTTATACTTCTCTTATTTCATTCAAGGAGTTTCCCTAAACCAGGCTAAGTTCATCCTGGGTCTCTACCCAGATGTGGGACCAATTCATTGCTTTAGCAAGTCACCACTAGCTAAGTCTTTGCAAGTCAAATCCCAGGTCAAGACAGTTAAGTAACTAATCAAATAGCTGGAGACCTTTGATATCAGTGCCAATGTCTTGGCAATCCACCTAATATTGTGAAATAAGTGACTGAATATTTGTTTGAATATGTCAGTAAGCTTATTTTGTATTGAATTTGAGATTTGAAGAAAACATTTGATGTCAATAGTCTTGGTGAAATTCAGGTTGTAAAGTTCCACCTGATTTTAAATGTTGGGTGGCACGCTTCTGCACTTTTCCTGAGTGAAATGCAGAATAATTCTCATGTTGTGCCAAGACCACCCACACCTGCCGCCTCTGCCAGAAACCTGGGCCTCGTGAGAAAAACGGCTGGGAAAACGGTATCATGCTGTTATAGAAAACACAGACAATCCTTAGGATAAAACCACCTACCCACCTTGGCAAACTACAAATATGGGTTAGGATTACGTTTTCCTTAATTTATTGATTGTGCCCAATTAAACCCACTGAGTACACTAGCATACTAAGTTTGATTGGACCTGATGGCAGATGATGTGTTTAATGTTTTATCACGGAGGCTCTGCTTTATTTAGAAGTTGTACTTAAGACATGAACCTGTGCACTTTCTGACTTGCCCTTTACTCCATCAGACCATGCAGAGTTTGCAAGGTGCCCTCAGCCGCTGCCAATGGGCTCTCCCAGTTTGCCTGTCTCCAGCTGTGAGCTAAATAAAAACACCAGACGCTGCCACCAGCAGCCATTGGCCACACACCTCTCCTGTCGACTCTACCAGACCTGTGACCACGCTGTGCTCATCTCAGGTAGGACAGTTGTTTTTTTAGATTCACATTTTTCGTGCCAAATTAAACCAAACAGATGGACTTAAGATACAATCATTGAAGGTTTATCAGGAGATGTATCGTGTCTCAATGTCTAAAGTCAATGTATTGCTGACTGAAGAGGAAAGACTAGCAGTTTGACAGCCTGAGACACCTGAACATCTCAGCAAACATGCCCTCAATCTCCACTGGACTCGCCAAGAAATCTTGGTTTACGGCACAACGGACCATTAAGCAACCAAAACAGAAAGAGGATAGGGTTTTTTTTTCTCCCAATAACTGTTGTAAGCTGTCTCCAGGTACCGAACAGTACATTTGTTTTGTTTTTTCAGTTACTATCCCGCAGTGTGGCCTATCAGTGTTGTTGGGTGCTGCTAGGCTTTGAGGAAAACAAAAAGTGTGTTCGCCACAGCCTCACCAATGATAATACTACTTGGAAATGGAGGAAGAAATGTCTGTTTCCACTTGAATATCTTCTATAATGTCATAACCATAGATAAATACTGTTTAGCAGGTTATTTAAGAACCCACGTAAGAGTTTAAGGTGCAAGAACTAATGGTAAGAATGAAACACTTGGATTGTAATAGTGACATTTTGGCTGTGTGTACAATGGTGCGCTGCAGGCGGCTGGCAGCAGCAGATGACGTTCCAGCGTCATGTCCAAAATCTTCAGAGGTTTTACAGAATGCTGCAGAACAACGGCTTCCACAAAGAACACATCAAGACCTTCTTTGCCAGCAGCGGACACTTTACTGGTAAGACAGAGTTGCTCTATGAACAATACAAAAATTATTCTTGCAATTCTACTTGAAACAACTTATTCTCTGTCAAACGTGGCAACAATTTGTTCCTATAAACCTAAGTAATAGCCCACTTCTTTTATTACATACGCTCTACGGAAAACTGGATAGGTTAATTACGGCATTTTACGGTCCATTATTTATTTAGAGCAGACCCTTGCAATGGATGCAGTTCTGATCGCCAAACATAACAAGTAAACATGTTTTGGAAACAATGACATCATTTTAAATCCATACATTATGTCAAATTATTGATTTCGATAGTAGTTAGTAAGTAAGATAGTCTTGTTCAAACCATTAAGCTTCAACAGAGCATTTCAAAATTAATTTACAAAAATGTTGACATGCTGCCTGATTATTTTTGAAAACCGAGCACTGCATTAAAGCCTATGTCTTTTATTTATAGTCTAAATGCCAGAGAAAGATCTTATACTTTTTGTTTCCCCTTATTTTTTTTAGGGGAAATGTCTTAAGAAACTCACTTCTCTGTTTGGCTCCTAAACAGCAAAGCTCCCCAAAAGATTTTAACTATTTCAACTCAACATCTTGTTGGGTTCAGAATTCCAGAAAAGACAGACAACTTCTAAGTTTAACTATTTATTGTAAAGAGAGCAAAATATATATTCACTTGGCCAAGGACTCGCCACGTCTCGGAAATCACAGCTAGCAAAGCTATAATCTGTAACCACCGAATCCGTAAAGAGCCCCGAACCTCGTGTGACAATACATTTTATTACACAGGGCGTTGCCCGTACATTTATGATTGGTCAAGACTAGCTGAAGAGATACCGTTGGCAACACGATCCTCCAATCATCATTCGGCCGGCTGGCGAGGTCCCTCCCTACTCTGTCTCTAACACACATCATTTGTTTTCTCTAACGTTTCTTCAGATATAGCGGAAAACCATAATGGTGCTTCCTAGCTCTGCGGGGGAGCGCGGCTCCCATACAGAGTCAAGGCCGGTGCGATGTGCTGTTCTAACGACCTCTTTGTATTCTCTCAGTCTCTGCACCTGACCTTGCTACTTTCAATATTGCAAGCTAAACACTTTCTCATGTAACTTTTCCCTACGTTCCTGTCCACCCCATCAAAACTTGGGGGGGGGGGGGGTGTGATTGGGTCCATTTATTCCAAAGTCACAGCACATACAATGAGCACAATAAGCAAATAATGTAATAGTAAGAATCTTGTAATGATATATAAAAATAGACTCCACAATCTCTAAAACATGCCTCACACTTTCCCACCCTCTCACCCCCCACAGAGGATTTAGAGGGTGTGTACTCTGCAACGGAGAAGGCAGTGATTCGTAACCACATGTCGTACGTCTGCAGGAAGCAGCACTGCGCCGACACACTGGTTCTGTACCTGAACTCTCCAACACGCAACGATGGCACCATGCTGCTGTGGGACGCCAACCTCAACGGCATTGTAAGGGAAAATAAAACACTTACTTAACTTACTTACTTAAAGCACTGATAATGAAGGGGTTTAAGAAAAAAGAGAACATTTAGTTAATGTCATGTCAATTATTAAAAATCAGCGAATGGAAATTCTAGTTAATGCTTGTTTCCATAAACTTACATTATGCAACTTTTAGGCTACTTTGGTTAATAGAGATAATTTCCCCAATGGGTACCATAACACCATTGCAGAAGAAGAGCACACAAAAAGATGATGTAATCAAAGAACTCTGTCCAAAAACAACCGGAAACAATGTGGAAAAAGTTTCTTTTGTATTCATTTGAGGAACGTTAGTCGCTTTGTGATTCGACAAACACATCTAATGTTTACGTATTTACATTTTTGTTAAAGTCACACATACATTATTCTTGAAGTCTATTCCATTGCACTTTTGATTCTATTGACACCAACTTTTCCTCCTTAGCCAAGAAACACAGACCAAAAGAGAGGGTCACCCAGAAAACAGCATTTCTGTTGTTGTCTTTCAAAATGAGGAAATTAGCTCAACTGGCAGTTATTACAAAACAATTGTGACAAAGTCATAATGGATCCAGCAGGTTGCGATTATGGATGTTAATACATGCTTGCAAAAAGTATTCTTAAGTTTATTTTTCAAATAATATACATTTAAGTTATTAGTGCTGACATAGGTAGGGCCTTTCCCATTCTTTGGTGTATGTCCCTGATATTTCAGCTGATAAATCCTATTTTCCAACGTTGACACAATGATAAAAAATCAGATTTACCTTCCTCATTTGTACATCCTTTCACGTCTTCTCCTCCCTTTCTATCTCCAGGCTGACCTGAAGGAGCGATACTCCGTCAACGAGCTGCTGGCCGACCTGGCGGGCTGCAGGGCGACTCGTGTTCTGCTGTTTGTGGACCAGAGCTACAGCGGCGTTCTGTCCAAGAGGCTGCGAGGGTCCCAGAAACATCTCAACGTGGTTTTGATCCAGAGCCAGGCACGGCAGACCCACAGCCACCAGAGGATGAACCCTGGCTGGGAGGAGAGCAGCTGGTCCTACATCAACCCTGCGAGCTGCCTGCTGGACCAACTGGGAAAGGTAATTTAAAGGTCACCAAAATCCACTTTTTCATGTCTTTTATGCATAAACATGTGTCCCCTCTGTGTAAAGAGATTATGAGAGTTTCAGGAAAAAAGATTCACTCACTTTTTGTCCTGATCCATTTATATAAAAACCTGTCTGAAAATGAGCTGATCAGATTTTGGCCACTTTATGATGTCATAACGATTTTTTTGGCTTGCGTAACCATTAGCCAATCACCAACCAAGGTAACCCCCCGTTCCCCCTTATCACCTGAATCTCCTCCTAGAGCACCATTGTGTTCTTTTTAACCAAATATCTCTCAGAGGGGCGTAGGGAGGGGCTCCTTATTTTCATCTAAAGTCACAGACAGAGAATCAGCACTTTTGAAACAGGGCTGAAACAGAGGGGATTATGGGATGCTGCAATGATCTGTTTGGTGTTTGGAGCCCAACACTTCAGAGACATGTTTTGTATATATTTGAGACCTATAATATATTGATGAGAAACAGTATGGGGACCTTTAACACATGTAAAGGATTCTTTTAATTTGACTTTTTTTTCTTATAAACCTCTAATCACTGATTGTTGTCCTCAGGGTCCTGGGATGTCTCGTCTCCTGGAGCCATGGGCTGGTCTATTGAACGTGACACTGGCCGGCGCCCCCTGCAATGCCACGCCGCCTCTGACGGATGGCGAGATGCGGCGAGAGTACCAGGGCTGCCAGAACTTACCAACTGCACTCTGGCATCAGAAACACAGGAGGACCAACTGAGAGAGAGACAGAGAGACACTGAGACCAGGGCCGTGGGAAGTAGGGGTGCTGAGGGTGCTGCAGCACCCCCTGGTGGAGGACAGGGGATCTGCACTTCCACAAGATTAAATACAAATATAATACAATTTTCAGCCTTGATGTAACAACATTCATAATTAAGTAAAGATAACACCCTTTTCACCCCGGTTACATTTTCCATTTGCCCCGTACGATGGGCGCTGTAAGTGGGGGATGTTGGCTTATCAGGCGCCCGCAGCTCACAGCCAGCGAGAGAGAGAGAGAGAGAGAGAGAGAGAGAGAGAGAGAGATAGAAGAGAGAGAGAGAGAGAGAGAGACGAGAGAAGAGAGAGAGAGAGAGAGAGAGAGAGAG